TTCGTGAAGTCGTGCCCTCGTTGCCAGAGGAGGAAAGGTACCCTTAAGGTACAAGCCCCACTTCAGGAATTTCCTGAAATTCGTGAACCGTTAGATCGTGTGGGGGCCGATCTGATTGATTTACACCACAGTCATGCGGGTAACAGATACGTGTTGGTGCTAGTTGACCATCTGTCTAGATACACTACACTAGTTGCATTACCTCAGAAGGATTCTCGTACGGTTGCAGATGCATTCTTGCGTAGGTTCGTTACTGTATTCGGACCTCCTAAAGTTTTAGTCCCTGACCGGGGTCAAGAATTCAATGGGAATATATTTAGAGAAGTTTGTAAGATTTTAGAGACAACTTCGGCTTTTACAACAGCCTAGTTTGTTACACCCCCTCCCCCGGAGGGGGAGTGAATAAGGAAAAGTGCATCTTTCGGGTTTCTCGTAAGGGGCGTTGACCCTCTTGCGGTTCGCCCCGTTGATGGGGCGATGGGGAAAAGCCTCACTCTGTTTGCTTGTGCCTGGTCCCACAATTTGTGGGCGTTTCAGGTCATCTAAAGCCTGCGGTGGCGTTGTTTGGCTCCTCCTTCGGGGGGGGGGGGGTTCAGGGGTATATGGGGCAGACCTCTTCTGCTGTGCTCTGTCAGGTCATCTTGGAGTGGGAATGCTTGGGCGTGGTCAAAACGACCCCGTTTCTCAGGTGGGTTTCCTGCCTGTTTCCAGTTCTGAAATGGGACTGTGTGGATCTCAGGTTCATTCTGGACTTGTCCCACCTGAACCCCTGGATCTTCTGTCCTTTCAAATGACCACTCTGTCCCAGGTCCGGCTTCTTTTGGAGCTGGATGCTTGGATAGTGTGTGTGGACCTCCGGGAAGCATATTGACACGTTCCGATTCATTCAAGGTTCAGGACCTGGCTCAGTTTTGTCATAAGGCATCAGGCTTACCACTTTCATTGCCTTTCATTCGGCTTGAATCTGGCACCTCGTGTTTTCACACGCCTTACCCAGGTTGTGGTGACCCACTTACTTCTGCTAGGGGTTCAGATTCTGTCCTACCTTGACGACTGCCTGGTATGAGCTCTCAGCCAATCCACGTGTCTGCTCGCCAGGGGTTTGGTTCTTTCCAGCTCGCCGGGTTCGAGTTCTTGGTGAACTGGAGGAAGTCCCATCTGGTTCCCTCTCAGGTTCGAACTCGGCTGGTTCTTGTGTAGGACTCTCGGACTGCTTCCTTGTCTCCCTCCTGTGGCGTTGTTGCAGCTGCGGTCCCGCCTACAACTGTTTTTCGAGGGCACCCGGGATACACATCGGTTGTTCGAGCGGGTGCAGGAGCCTGAACTTTGTCATGCTGGTCTATTTGTCGGGACGGATTTGGCTTTGACGGCTGTTCTGGTTTCTTCGGGGACGTCCCTTCCACCGCTCTCGTGATCGTTGGTTCGGATCCCAGGAGCCTTGCATTGGCTGCTGTGTCGCCGGCTTCCTCTGTGGGTTTTTTTAGGTTCTGTGCCGTGGCGCCTCCCCAAGTCCTCGCTCGATGTGTTCATGGATGCCTCGTCTCTCGGTTTGGGTTTTGTGACTAGTGCTCACCAGACCGGCCAGGGTCGGTGGGGTCCGTCCTTCCATCGGGCTCACAGCAATGAGGGAAATATAGCACAGCAAGAGGGAAATAACTTTGTAACGTACCACCAACATGGGTTCAGGGATGGTAAATCGTGCCTCACAGGTTTAATAAAATTCTATGACCAGGCAACAAAAATTAGGAAGGAAAGAGAAGGGTAGGCCGACTGCATTTTCCTGGACTGCCAGAAAGCCTTTGACACAGCACCCCAGAAGAGGCTGTTAAAAAAGTTGGAGCAACAGGCAGGAGTAAAAGGGAAGGTGCTCCAGTGGATAAGGAAGTATTTAAGCAACAGGAAACAGCGAGTAACGGTGAGGGGGGAGACATCAGAATGGCGACATGTCACCAGCGAAGTTCCACAGGGCTCAGTACTTGGACCCATCCTGTTTCTAATACTGTATATGTAAACGATCTTCCGGAGGGTATAGACTCGTTCCTCTCAATGTTTGCTGATGATGCAAAAATTATAAGAATCAAGATGGATGAAGATAGACAGAGACTACAGGATGACCTGGACAAACTGGAGGAATGGTCTAGAAAATGACTGCTAAAGTTCAATTCAGGAAAGTGTAAAGTAATGAAATTAAGCGAAGGGAGCGGGAGGCTGAACACAAGGTACCATCTGGGAGGTAAAATCCTGCAAGAGTCAAATAAAGAGAAAGATCTGGGGGTTGATATCACACCGAATCTGTTCCCAGAGGCCCACACCCACATCAAAAGAATATCATCAGTGACATATGCTAGACTGGCCAACATAAGAACTGCCATTAGAAACTTGTGTAAGGAATCGTTCAGGACCCTGTATACCACTTATGTAAGACCAATCCTGGAGTATGCAGCTCCAGCCTGGAGTGCATACCTAGTTAAACATAAGACAAAGTTAGAGAAGATTCAGCGGTATGCCACCAGGCTCGTCCCAGAACTGAGAGGAATGAGCTACGAGGAAAGGCTAAAGGAGCTGAACCTCACATTCCTGGAAAACAGAAGAATAAGGGGAGACATGATAACCACCTACAAAATTCTCAGGGGAATTGACAGGGTGGACAAAGACACTCTTCAGCATGGGTGGGGGACAAGGGGGGACAAGGGGACACAGGTGGAAACTTAGTACCCAGATGAGCCACAGAGACATTAGAAAGAATTTTTCAGTGTCAGAATAGTTAATAAATGGAATGCACTAGGAAGTGATGTGGTGGAGGCTGACTCCATACACAGTTTCAAAGGTAGATATGATAGAGCCCAGTAGGTTCAGGAATCTGTACACCAGTTGATTGACAGTTGAGAGGCAGGACCAAAGAACCAAAGCTCAACCCCCGCAAGCACAATTAGGTGAGTATAGCACGACGCAGGAGTATGTGGTGGTGTGGCTTTCGCTTCAGAGGGTTCGTGTCGCTCGCAGAGCAATGATCCGGCTCCATTCGGACTACTCCCCTGTGGTTCATTGTCTGAACCGCGGGGGTTTCGATGCGGTCCTTGGTTCTTTGGGGCTGGTCGCTTCGGGTGACTCGCCTGCGGAGTTCTCGGGGTTTGGCTTTCCTGACAGTTCATGTTCAGGGGGTGTCAAATGGCCTGTCTCGGTTCTATCCACGGAATGGACGGTCAACGCCGACTTGTTCAGTTGGCTCTGCCGGATGTATGGGCGTCCGGAGGTGGACCTCTTCACAACGGCGTGGTCGAGGTGTCTTCCAGTGTATGTGGCACCCTTCCAAACTGCGAGGCTGTCAGGATCGATGCCTTTCGACTGGACTGGTCGAGGTGGGGTTACCTATACCTCTTTCCATCGGTTCGGTTGTTGCTCCGGGTCCTGGCTCGCTTGGAGACTTACCAGGAGAGAGTAGTCCTGTTGGTTCCTTGGTGGCCAGCCCAGCCCTGGTTTCAGGCGCTTCTTGCTCTGAACCCGAGGGTCTTCCCGCGGCTCCGCCTCTTTCAGCAGATCGGTCTGGTATGTGGCTGATTCAATCTTCTCCACTCTTCTCGTCTGGTCTTTTTGACGTGGGTTTATAACTACTGTACTTGTATGGTGATCAGGTGGCTTTGTTGTTCATAAGTTCGTGGGTTTGGCTGCTGTATTTGGTATTATGACCTGGGCTGACATTCAGACATGGGACTTTTGGAGTTCGAACAGGGTCCTGGTTGCACGGTACCTCATTAATGTTCCTTGCCCTTCTCAGGGGTGTGTGTAGCCTTGAGTCGCAGGTTGCAGCCAGTTGTCTTGACTTCGAGTTGAGGGGCGAGTGACGGCCGCCTCCCGGGTAAGTCCCTTTGCTTTCTTCTTTATCTTTGGTTAGGTAGCTATGGGGAGCCGAACTGGCTCTCCACAGAAAACCAGCGTTGAATGTAATGAAACACCATTTTCTGGGTGAGACCCAGAGGCTCCACAGCATCCCTCCCTCCAGTTGGCGTTTTTTTCGCGTTTTGGATATTCAGCCTCTGAACTGAGGAGAGTAACCGGCGGGGTGGTCTGGAACCCTTCCCCCCTTTTCCCCTCCCGGGAAGGGTGGGGGTTGCGCAGACGGATGCGTAGCGGTTGTGGTGACTTCGTGCTATTTTCCCTCTTTTTTTGATTGGGGAGTTCTGCTTGCTAGTTCGGCTTTCAGTTTGCAATTTTTGACCAGCAGGACTTTGTTTTGGAATTCCTACCTTTCTGGGTGCCTGACCTGATAGATGGCAGACAAAGACTGCTTCTAATTACACAGGGGGTGTCTTTAGGCCATTCCTCCTCATGCCTCACCTTGAGGGGGGGTCAGGTTCTGGCTCTGGTCCCCTGTTAGGCCTTGAACTCCTTCGATCGACTGTTGCCACGGTCTAATATATACACATCAGCCCAGTATAGCTCTGGGGAGCCAGAGGGACTCTCCACAGAAAGTAATACAAATTGTATGTAAAACACAAAAGTGTGAGGAGTCACAAGGTCAAAGCATGTTGTTTGAGAGCCTGTTCAAAGTGGCTAAAATGAGCAAAAAATGTGACAAGAGCAGGTCTTGTGCATTGCTTAGTGTTCACTCCCTGTTCACGCCCATGCATAGATCACCTCACCTTGTGCAAAATATCTCGTATCTATTTGAGTACATGTACTTGCAAAACACCCCTAGCAATTAATAATGTTAAAAAATAAATAACACTTGTGAAATTTTTACTTTTTATACTCAAATTGGGGTTTACTCTACAGTACTGTATATATATTGAAGGTTGGACATGAAAAGCTGGTTGAAGGGCACTTGGAAGAGAAGACAATACTTTGTGAATGTTTGTGATGGATATTTGGTAATTAAATATCCCTAATTACATTTCTTTTTGCTATAAGACAGGCTGTTTTTGCAGTCTTGAGAATTAACCTTCAGGCTTTTGATTAAATAACCTTATAAAGGTATTAATTGTGTGTGTTGTGTATTACAGGCTGTCCTGCAGAATAAAACGAGCATTCTTAAATTTTTCCTGGCACTGAGTCAGGATAATGCCTCATACAGCAGCATGCGGATTGGGTCTCCATCGTCAACTGCTCGAGCATCAGTAAGTAATCACGAGGAGTTATATGAAAGTAATTCACTTCTAAGTAAGAAAGTAAGTGAAAGTCACTTCTGGAGTGTGAGTTTTCAGTTGCATATAGTCCTGGGGACCATTCAGGTTTGTTTGCATTTGTGTTCCTCACATGTGCCCCAAAGAATGAGGTGATTTGATAAAATACCATGCCCAAGATTACCAACCGAGTGCCGGCGGGGGGATGGAAATAGCCTCGGCTACCATCCTGTTTTGTCCGGTCGTGTTGGTCGAGCGGTTAAGGGATCCTGTACACCAGCAGAGTGCTCCTGGCAGTATGGGTTTGAGTCACTTCTGGCATGTGAGTTTTCAGTTGCATATAGTCCTGGGGACCATTCAGGCTTGTTCGCATTTGTGTTCCTCACGTGTGCCCCAAAGAATGAGGTGATTTGATAAAATACCATGCCCATGATTACCAACCGAGTGCCGGCGGGGGGATGGAAATAGCCTCGGCTACCATCCTTTTTTGTCCGGTCGTATTGGTCGAGCGGTTAAGGGATCCTGTACGCCAGCAGAGTGCTCCTGGCAGTATGGGTTCGAGTCACTTCTGGGGTGTGAGTTTTCAGTTATATATATATCTATATATATATATATATATATATATATATATATATATATATATATATGTATGTATGTATGTATGTATGTATGTATGTATGTATGTATGTATGTATGTATGTATGTGTAATTATCTAAGTGTAGTTACAGGATGAGAGCTACGCTCGTGGTGTCCCGTCTCCCCAGCACTCTTTGTCATATAATGCTTTGAAATTACTGATGGTTTTGGCCTTCGCCACCTCCTCACTTAATTATTAACTTGTTCCAACCGTCTACCACTCTATTTACAAAAGTGAATTTTTGTATATTTCTCCTGCAGCTTTGTTTCGTTAGTTTAAATCTATGACCTCTTGTTCTTGAAGTTCCGGGTCTCAGGAATTCTTCCCTATCAGTTTTATCGATTCCTGTTACTATTTTGAACGTAGTGATCATATCGTCTCTTTTTCTTCTATCTTCTAGTTTTTGCATATTTAATGCCTCTAACCTCTCCTCGTAGCTCTTGTCCTTCAGTTCTGGGAGCCACTTAGTGGCATGTCATTGCACCTTTTTCAGTTTGTTGATGTGCTTCTTAAGATATGGGCACCACACAACCGCTGCATATTCCAGCTTTGGTCTAATAAAAGTCGTGAACAATTTCTTTAGTATTTCTCCATCCATGTATTTAAAAGCAATTCTGAGGTTAGAAAGTGTAGCATAGGCTCCTCTCACAATGTTCTTAATGTGGTCCTCAGGTGACAGTTTTCTATCTAGAACCATCCCTAAATCCCTTTCTTTGTCAGAATTCTTTAAAGATTTCTCACATAATTTACAGGTTATCTTGAGAGGTTATCTTGAGATGATTTCGGGGCTTTAGTGTCCCCGCGGCCCGGTCCTCGACCAGGCCTCTACCCCCAGGAAGCAGCCCGTGACAGCTGACTAACTCCCAGGTACCTATTTACTGCTAGGTAACAGGGGCATTCAGGGTGAAAGAAACTTTTGCCCATTTGTTTCTGCCTCGTGCGGGAATCGAACCCGCGCCACAGAATTACGAGTCCTGCGCGCTATCCACCAGGCTACGAGACCCCCAAAGGTTGTGTGGGGTCTATGTTCTCCAATTCCACATTCCATAACATGGCATTTATTCACATTAAATTCCATTTGCCAAATGTTGCTCCATATACTCATTTTGTCCAGGTCTTTTTGAAGGGCATGACAATCATCTAGGTTTCTTATCTTCCCTGTTATCTTAGCATCATCAGCAAACATGTTCATGTAATTCTGTATTCCCACTGGTAGATCGTTTATGTAGACAATGAACATTACTGGTGCAAGAACTGAACCCTGTGGTACTCCACTCGTAACATTCCTCCAATCCGATACCTTGCCTCTGATTACGGCCCTCATTTTTCTGTCAGTTAGGAAATTTTTCATCCATGTTAGTAGCTTACCTGTCACTCCTCTAATATGTTCCAGTTTCCAGAACAGCCTCTTATGGGGAACTGTCGAAAGCCTCTTTTAGGTCCAGATAGATGCAGTCAATCCAACCATCTCTTTCCTGCAAAATCTCTGTGGCTCGATCATAAAAACTGAGCAAGTTCATTACACAGGATCTTCCAGATCGAAAACCATACTGTCTGTGTGTGTGTGTATGTGTGAAAGGAAGTAAGAAAAAAACTATTAAAGAATTGTTATTAAATTGATTTAACTTTTGTTTAAATATATTTTACTGTTCAGTAATAGGTTTTCATCTTTCTTGATATATATAGTAATTGGTGAATTATTTTTTCCTCAGCATGAAAATGGCCTGTGTAATGGACATAGAGATGATATGCTCCACTTGCCCAAACTGCATCAACACCTTGATTCAAGTGTTCCCTCGGAAAACATTTTAGCTGGCACTTCACCAAAATACATTGTCCCTGAATCAATTGAAAGTAGATCATCACTTGCCACAGGAAGTAACAGGGTGTCTCGTTTGGCAGAAATGTATAAAGGTATGAAATGTAATGGTTTATGATTGGTTTGGTTTATTACTGCATTTTAAAATTAGAACAGCAATTAGGAACACACTTACTTGTATTTCTTCTAGTAGAGGAGACCTTGTTGGACTTCTATTAAGGGTTACCTTTATGCAGTGCTAGAATCCAACCACTTGGGCTGGACGATAGAGCGATGATCTCGCTTCGTGCAAGTCGGCATTCAATCCCCGACCGTCCAACTGGTTAGGCTTCATTCCTTCCCCCTGTCTCATCCCAAATCCTTATCCTGATCTCTTCCAAGTCCAATATAGTCGTAATGGCTTGGTGTTTTCTCCGAATAATTCCATTCCATTCTATTTATACCAGGATGTATATCTAGAATTTTCACAAAGACAACTAATAAGTTAGCAAGTGAGAGTGCACTTGTCACTGAGAAAACTGTGTGGTTTTAACCAGTCTGGGATTTCCACATATGGTGGTGACAAAATTTTGCATGTTGCAGAAAAGGATCTTGTGTTAATCCAGGAATAGGTGTACTGCTTCAGGTCTAAAAACAGTAAATGAGTAAAAGTAGTTATTCCAATTATGGTTATGATACAGTATTTAAGTTTATTACTTGAAGTTTCTTCAGTTTTGGGACATCCATACATTGATATACTGGGCTAGCTTGTGCTCTTTAGCTGTGTGTGTCATGGATACAGCAGCAGATATCTCAGTGGAGTTCCTTAGAAACTCATTAAATATTTTTCTATTCCTAAGGCCTCAAAAGTCTGAAATTTGTTCTGCTTGATAGCTTCAGGAACCTTATGGATCATTGAAGGTGATGTCCGAGTTCATTTGATATTTTATATTTACAGTAGCAGCAAGAAAGATTCCAGACTCACCTTTTGCAGAACTTCAGCACAGTTCACCAACAGTTGATAGATTAAAACTTCATCATCAGCATCATAAAAATACTAGTTTTAAAGAAGGTACAGTATGTTTATTGCATGTCTCCTGGAACAGTGTGAGTTGAACACAGTGCTGGAAATATTTCAGAAAAAATGTCATTTGATATAGAAAAGTTGATTGTAGCATCAGATTATTAAAAAAAAGGATGCTGTAATAAACTGTATTCAACATTCCTGTGATATATATATATTGTATTACCAATTCATGAATTATTATAATTGTATAGCCTGTATATTATGTTAGAACTTTGAGGATTTATGGTTTAAGAACTTTTCATATTTGCAGCACTTATTGAGGTGACGGAAAAAGTGTTAATCAGAGAGGTGCTCTTTATATTCCAAGGGATAGAAGGTAAAATTATCAAGATGGATGCTAATAAAGATGGATATAGATTAGATCCTAAGGTAGGTGTGAATGATTAGGTTAGCTTGTTTTTGGCTGGATTGTTATAAATATTATCTTATATATATATATGTATACAGTATACTGTACACATGTTTTTTAATTTATGTAATATATTCTTTTATATCACTACTAGATTGTTGTACTGTCCATGGATGTTTAATGCTACCTTAGCAATTTGTTGGTGGTTATAATTTGGAATGTGATCCATATATGTTGCTAATACTGTGTTGTAAACCTTATCATTTTAGGTTCGTCTGTCACACAGTCAAAAGGAGATAATTCTCAAGCTATCAGATGTAGGTTGGTTATATAACAAAGTACAAAATTTTTGTGAGTGGGGAGGGAGTATTGCAGGGAATGAGCGCACTAGTGACCGAACTGCATCTGGCCTTGTCAATCAATCTCTGGTGTTGGCGTTGAGAGAAGAGCTAACTGAGTATTGCAGACTCATTGCTCTGCTGGAAGCACAGGTAAATAGTTGTTCCATCTGTTTAGTGATTTCTTTTTGTATGCAGAGTTGTGAAGATGTAATTCAAGAGTGTTAGGATGTAATTCAAGAGTGTTAGGATGTAATTCAAGAGTGTGAGGTTGTAATTCAAGAGTGTTAGGATGTAATTCAAGAGTGTTAGGATGTAATTCAAGAGTGTGAGGTTGTAATTCAAGAGTGTTAGGATGTAATTCAAGAGTGTTAGGATGTAATTCAAGAGTGTTAGGATGTAATTCAAGAGTGTTAGGATGTAATTCAAGAGTGTGAGGTTGTAATTCAAGAGTGTTAGGATGTAATTCAAGAGTGTTAGGATGTAATTCAAGAGTGTGAGGTTGTAATTCAAGAGTGTTAGGATGTAATTCAAGAGTGTTAGGATGTAATTCAAGAGTGTTAGGATGTAATTCAAGAGTGAAATATGCAATTATTTTATTTCTTTATCATGGAAAAGGATTTCACATGTATCGCTATAATTTTGTATGGAACACTATCTGGATCAGGTCATGAAAAAGATATAAATAATTACATAAAAATTGGAAATATTGGAAATTACTGTACTTCAATATTTATATTAATCATTGTAATTATAATTGCTAGTTACACTCAATACCCCAAATATTTGGGGCTGAACTAATTGAAAATAACCTGAGCTTTCAGATTCTATATACAATAGACCCGTGTTCTGTTCAAGTTTGGATAATATAAACTTGATTGTGGGCTGTTTTGTTTAAAGAATGAAATTTTAATATCGTGAGAGTGGGATGTGTATGCAAGTTGATGTCAGATTTGTGCAAAAGAGCATAGATTTGATTCAGAGGCATGGTCTTGGTTCCGCAGAAAGAATAGAAGTCCCACTGAGAAACCCTCAAAGGAAAGCAGGGAACAGAAAGCTGAATTGGAAAAACAGTGAGGTAGTGGAAGAGTGTCTAAATTGTACTGTGATGGGGAATATGCGAACATGCCTAAATGGAGCAACATACTCCTGAAGCCTTACCCAAACTCCAGAGAATCAGAGGGCATCCACATGGATTTGGGTTGCCAGAGGGGTCTTGCAATCCCAAATGTCTGTGATCATACCCTGCCTTAAAAGGGGGAGGACCATAAGGAAGCTTTCATCCCTGCTGGAGCCCAGTGCTTCAACAGAGGTAATAGACAAGGTGTCAACTAGAAAAATCTCAGGAACCCTGGAAAGCCAAATCCCGAGACCCCTCATATACATCAGGGGGCAGATCCTGATGCTGCCACTGCCAGCTCTACATTCATCAGTGCCTGACAGCTCTGAGCATGAGTCTAACCTTATAGGAGTCTAAACTAACAAAGAAGACAGAGGCCAAGAACCAAAGTAAACCAAACTGGCCACTCACCAGCAAAGGCAGAATGGGCATAGGAAGCTGGCTGATACTTCACACTAATATCTATGACCAAATGGTCATATGTATTGTTTAGGTTTAGGTTTATTACATAAATTTATTACATCATAGGTTTATTACATGACCCTCCTTGAAAAACAGAGTATTGACTCCATACCACCCATTACAGAGGCAACAAGAGCCTATACTGTATCATAAGGTTGGGTCCCACATAGGCAGCTGCTCAAGAAAGTGGTTTGGTCAAAAGAGAAGTTAAGCACTAAGAAACAGAACACAGCTGAGGTTGAAAGACCCCTGAACCCAACAGTCCAAATGATGGAGGTATGGAATCAAATAGAAATCAAATTTGTTCAAGATAAAACTAAACATGTTCCTGCAAGAAGTGCAAGACAAACCAGGCTGTAGTGGATATGTGGGCCTGCAGGCCAAGCTATTACAAATTAAACTTGGGTCCAGGCCAGGCTAGGGGAGGAGAAGAACTGTTAGAACCTTCTCCAGATATATTCCAGGTATAACCCCCTCAGGTATCTCTGGCTGTGCATTGGGAAATACGAGCTGACCCGAGGGAAGGTAACCCTGGTTGCAGTCAAAACAAAATGTAATGCTAGGATACACACACATATTGGGTGACGTAAACAATCACGAAGTAAAGCACAAGTGAAGATTAAAAATCAACAGCCCCAGTGGAACAAATGTTACAGGAAAATCCAGCATCACTTAGCTGGATTAGCTGAAAGTGTTATGTAGGTAACATGCCCCTTTCATCCACAACTTGAAGAGGAGAGTGGCTGGCTGAGATTCTTAGTAATCTGGACTATTGCCTGGTGGTGGCTTCGAGAATTTGGACAGGTGTAGTTTGCCTGTTTCAAGGATCAGTTTTTTGTTAAGTTCTTTCTCATACAGGCATTGGCTGTGATGCCGCCTATCAAAGTTCTGAGTAGTTCACTTTGTTATTGGTATAGTCTTCCTTTGATCCTTAATACTCCACTCAGGTCATTGAGGGGGCCAGATATTGGGCGTTGCTTTTGGCAGGTTGAGAAAATATCAGGATCCTGACATCTGAAGATGGCTCTTGTGCCATTGCTACAAGCTCCAGGGAACTACTGAGATGCAGCACAGAAAGCAGTATTTTATTACACTCCATTTTCTACTTGAATTATTGTTAGTAAGGCCAGAACTTTAATACTGATGAAAACAAAATTAGTCACTGTTCATTGTCAAATTGTGCAGTGGAATATTTTATATAACATTTGATCAGATTCAAGAAGGAGGAGACACACCAATGGGAGAGCCTTCTGGTGGCCTTACTTTACGTCGTTTGGTGATGTGGACTCTTGAACCTCGGGCACGTCTGCGAGCTCTGGCTCATCTTACACATGCTGCTCGTGAAGTGTATGGTGGTGCGTGTGTCTCGGCTATATATCAGGTCAGCTGTCTGAATTATATTGTTCTTTAACAAGAATGTATGTTATTGTATAAAATACTGTTTAAATTTAATGATTATCAGTACTGTATGTTTAAAATATTATTAAAACTTTATATCTTGAAGTCCATGATGAAGGCAATGTTTTTACTGTTTTCCCCAAAGAGTTATATTATGAAGCCTGTTCAACAGCATTTTTTTAAGTATACATTAAATTAAAGTTCAGAATTCAAAGCTAATATACATGTTCATTATTATAAAAAAGGCTCTGTTTATATTAACAGTCTGGCTGCAACTTTTGCTAACTTTGATCATCAGCTTTTATTATTTAATTAAACTGCCATCTCCTAATTTAAGTAAAGTACTGTGTCTCCAAAATTTCCAAAGTGGTTCTTTGGAGCTTCAGTTCTTGAGGATGAGTGTCATGGTCTACCTTGACAAGTGGCTTATTTTGGCTCCATGCTGTCATATCTGCCCGCTAGCCAGAGAGGCTATGTTGGTGATGCTGGGCATATTCAAAGTCCGTTGTGACTGGAGAATTTTGTGGGTTGCATGATTTTACGTTCTCTTCTGGCTAGTTCAGCCCTGGTTCAAAGTACTGGGGCCAGATTCACAAAGCTGTTATGCAAGCACTTATGAACCTGTACATCTTTTCTCAATCTTTGGCGGCTTTGTTTATGATTATTAAACAGTTAATGAGCTCCAAAGTAACAGGAGGCTGTTTATAACAATAACAACAGTTGATTGGGAAGTTTTCATGTTTGTAAACTGTTTAATAAATGTAAAGCAAAGGGGGTCAACAATGGAGGAAAGATGTACACGTTCGTAAGTACTTGCGTAACTGCTTCATGAATCTGGTCCCTGGTCTTCACATGCCTTAACATATCTTCCTTCTTGCACTTGTGCTCAAGCAGGGGACTGGCTGTTGATGTTCTGGAGTCACTGTACTTAAGAGGATCCACGTTATCCATAGCCTTCAGCTTCATGTTGGTGGCAATATTAGATGGCTTAGCAGGCACTGTGGCATTCATTCTGTATCACTGCTCTTCTCCTTGTCTTTCTTGTCTGATCTTAGAAAGGCAGCTCATGTTTATTACAGCCCATCCTCATAAAGTGAAAGTACTTGTAGCAACTATGTGGCCAAATATACAAATATGTCATGATGGACTACCAGAAGGTGGACTTTTGTATTTTTTAATTTGGACAAACAGAAAAGATTTTATATTTATGTAGCTTAATAAGACCTAACCTAATCATCCTAGGCCTATCTGAGACCTATTATAGTACATATATATGTGCTATACTAGGCCTATGAATATTTAAATTTAGTTTTTAGCTTTATCTCTGTGGGAACACGAACGAGCGGCGCACGGTGTGATGACGTGTTGCTTGTTTGCTTGTTTTGCTTTAGGGGAGTTTCTCGCGTCTGTTCGGTCTCAGGTTGCAATATTTCTACCAGGAGGGGTCTGTTTTGAAGTGGCTACCTTTCTGGGTGCTCAACTCCAGTCAATGCCAGACATGAATACTTTCTTTCATGTGAGTTTCATAAGGCCATTGCTCCCTTTGCCCCTCGGAGGGGACCATGTTCTGGCTAGTGGTTCCCGGTAGGTATGACGGCTCCAAATGACTGAAGCCCCATACTATTATTAGCAAATATCAGTACAATAGCTCCAGGGAGCCTCCAGGGCTCCATACAGAAATTCCAGACTATAAAAAAACACAAAAAGTAGCCTAATGGGGCTCCATTACTACATATTGGTACTTTAAATCACATGATTGCAAATGTATTATCATTTCAAGAGGATGGGTTACTTTATTACCATAATTTCTTATAGGGTAATTTCCTTAATTATAATTTCCTTCCTGAGGAGCAGCTTTTGCTGGACTTTAGACTTAATTGTTTTCTTTCTCCTTTCTGAAACTTGGCAAAATATTTTTTAACATCTACCTTGCCTGTTCACTATTGAAGTCTGTCTGGTCTCTTCATGCAATTCTATATATTTTATGTATTCCTAAGTTTAAGGTGTTTCCTGTGCTTTGAAGACTTGACATGGCTTTACAGTATTTTTTCTATGTTTTTTTCTATCATCATTCTTCCTTCACCGTACTGTGTTTATTTCTTACGATTGGCTAACTTTTTTGTGTCTTTCCTAATTCATTGCTGTTGGTCAGGGGTGAAACAAGTTGGATTTGGGGAAACCCCATCTTGGTGCTGACTTGGTTTGTTTGTCCCTCAAGTGTATCATCGTCTATACTATACCAGTGTTCCTCCAGCATCATCTGGCACCTCCTCATACTTCATTCAAGTCACTTCCTCACCCTCTGTACTATGGTTCCTTTACTAAGGCAAAGCTTTCATAGTTACTCTGCAGAGTGGTTAAGCTTGCTTTAATGGGATTATTTCTGTGCTCATGATCTGCACTGAAGTTTGTTGCCCTCAAGGTGTTTTTTTCATGGATGATCTACATGTTTACTTTGCAGTGCCTCTTGCACTTACATGACCTAAACTAGTTATATTATTACAGTTTGTGTTGGCTCTTAAATATTATTACTGCATCACTCAGATATATTGTCATATTTTTGCAGTTTCTTCACCGAAAGTTTTTTGTTAGTCCCTAAATTTAACGCCTTCCCCACCCTAGTATAATGCCCCCAAGCTCACATTTATGGTTAACATGAGTTCAAGCATGGGCTCTAAAATAAAGCCTTTGTAATTTTAGATTTGTGTGTAATTTAAAGATTTTTTTTAGTTTTGACACAAAATAACAAAAAAGAATATTTAAATAAATTTATTGCCATTACTTTAATATTTTACACTTGATGGGAATGTATGCTGTCTTATCTGTCGGTTTGGTTGAATTTTCCCTCCGTGTGAGGTATGTTATTGTTCAAACAATCATTATTTTATTGTTGTAATATTTAAGATAATTAATGAATAACTCACTTGATTCCTAATAGCACATGCACCATGGTAACCCAGGGCATAGGGCTGTTGTGCGTCATGTCCTCAGTTTGGCCTGCACACCTATGTACGTAATGCTAACTCAGTGGCTCTTAGATGGCACATTGGAGGACCCTCATCATGAGTTCTTCATTGCTTCCGACCCCACTGTACCGGATGATAAACTATGGCAGGATAAATATTCTATAAGGTATGGGATTCTTTGTTTTCTTTTATATTATTTGTGTAATTACCTAAGTAGCTTGCTGCTTCACTATTATGGATGGAGTCATATCATAGGTTTAGGCGAGAATAAAAGAGAAAGCTGGAAATCTAGTGTATATATATCTAATATGAACAATTTAATATTCTGTATGCAGATGATTCAGTTCATTTAGCAGAGAGTGATAGAGATGTATGTAGGCCAGTTGAACATTTTATTGATATGTGTGACTGAAGGCTGTAAAAAGGTAATAAGTGAATGTGAATTTAAGTTTAGTTTAGTTCACTTATTATGCACCTCAAACACATCCTGTGGTAGTGGTAGTAGTGGAAAGAGTTACAGAGGCACATAATGGGCTCAGGGACTGAACCCCACAATTCATTTAGTTAAGCAAGTTACAGTCTTGATGAGCTAGTTAGAAAATTCAATACACATCGTCACATCAACATTGGACTCGAGCGCACTAACCACAATTATGTTTATCCTGCACACCGCCCCCCATCCAGTGGGCAGCGATGGATAGGTTACAATCACTTAGTTACTACCTACAGTTAGTAAACTGGGGATATTTATCTAAAATTTCTGGTAGTAGATTATTTTGAATAAAATATTTACACATTCTCTTGAACATTTGTTATAGAATTGTCTCTGAATTCACGTATCTTTTCGCACCCATTGCATAGTGATGGAAGGTGTGCGAATAATTTTTTTGACACAGTTTACACTTGGTCAGGTCTACATTAGCAGGTAATGGAAATTCCCAGAGATACTTGTAGCCAAGTCTAAGCCAAGCAATAGTAACATCTAGGAGTCTGTTGATTTTATTGGATGATCCATAGATGTGTGGCTCTTCTTGCATGATAGTATGATGAGAGATGGAATTACTGGTGTTGATTTCACTTTGCATCAGATATACAAGATTTTGTTGAAGTTCTTGGTGTATTATTGCTCTCAGACTGTTTATTGGCAATCCAAGTTTATACTCAATTTCTCCTTTAAAGACAAATTCCTTGGCTAACTCATCAGCTCTATCATGCATTCATAGACCAACATGATATGGAGGCCACATGAAATGGACTCATGTTACCATCATTAAAAATTTTGTTGTATTTGTGTCTTGCTTCATATACGAGCATGTTACAGTTATGTCTTAAATAGTTAAGAGCAATTAAAAATGATAAAGAGTCACTTACATGTGCAGGCGATGAGTCACAATAACGTGGCTAAAGTATGTTGACCAGACCAGACCTTCACCTTCTAGTGTGTGGTCTGGTCAACAGTCACTTACAGTTAATGTATAAAGTTTGGAGACTTGTACACATTTTGGTGCAAAAGGCAAGGCAAATAGTTCGGTGTGAAGGGTAGAGGCCAAGTTGTTTATATGGATTCCCCACTCAAAATATAAGCCATCGCCCATTGTCAGGACAACTGGACTTCCAGCTGCACCCATGGGGCGGTGTAGGAAACCATCAGTGTATATGGTTTGAGAGAGAGAGAATGCTTTGTAAACAGAGCATCAATATGGCTTAGGGCATTAAGCTTTGCCTCAAGATGAAGCTTGGGCTGATCTCTAATTTGCTTTTTCAGTGAAAAGGGAGGAATTAAAATTGGAAAGGGTGTAATCTTCCACGGTGCAGGAAAGTACCATTATTTTCTATCTCCCTTGGTACAAAATATAAATCTGATACAGTCTGAGTTCAGTTCCAGTTTTAGTTATCCATTTATAACATTGTTGACTTTCAATAAAGAAATTCTGGAGGGCTTCTGTGCAAGGGTTAGGATGAGCTAGCCTAAGCATTTTTATACCAATTCAACATTTAATTTCAGTAACACGATCAACGACGCTCAGAATATTAAGTTTCTTTCTCATGTTAAGTATTTTTGTGGTATGAGGGCACCCAAGGACTATCCTCAAGGCTTTGATCTGCAATTTTTCAAGCCCTCCAAGCTTTCTTTCAGGCATCAAAGCAAGCAGAGGTGCAGCATAATCCACTAAAGATCTGATGTAAGCAAGGTACATCATTTTTGACAATTCTGACATTGGCACCATAGCCTGAGTGTTAACCTGCAACAGCCTTAAGAGCACTGAGCCTCTCTTTATACTAATGACAGAGTCTGAATACAACAGGACCATACAGTGGCACCTCAAGGCCAAAGTATTTGAATCTGTTTACATAGTGAAGCTGGGAGCCATCATGCAGTTGCATCTTGCGAACAGCTCCTCCCTGCCTGGGTGGACGCCGATTTAGTATCTTTGTTTTCTCTTCAGAGACCAGTAAACCTAGGTCTTGACATGAGTCTAATAATACAGAGTTAAGAGTGTTTTGCATGTTACACAGTGGTGTGTGTCATCAGCATAGCTAATGATGTGCATGTTGGGTTTGCTAGGCACTGAGTTTAACAGCATGTTTATTAACACTTTGCCTGACCGATAATGCGTTCGTATGTGAATATACTCGGTGTGTGCGAGGACGCATGCTGCGTCCAAAATCAAAAGATTTGTTAAAATTACATTTATTGTTCGATTATTATAGGACTAGTTTTAAAATGCGTGCCTTTCAATTGTGAACAATTTGATACCATAATGAATTATGTAGCACGAAAATTAGGTGGCTGGGATGTGTAATTCATAAATGGAATTTCTACAAGCCAAACTGTGAGTAGATTGAGTCAGGGACACAAGGTGGCTGGTGCAATGAAGGTTCCTATTGGAATAATGAGGTTGGAAGAGATGCAGACAGAGGCCACATGGTGTGTTAGAAGCCTGTATAAAGTTAGGAGAAAAGAGTAAGGAATGAAAACATTATGAAGTGATGTGAAATTTGCATGTCGATAAATAGCAGCATTGAGGGGAGCCAAAATCGTTCGAACATGTTGGACAAATGATTTTTTATGCCGTTCTTATCCATCCTGGGAGTTTGTTTTGGTTGTGCAACGATCTGTACCGACTGATACTTGGCAACAGGTGTAACTCTTCTGGGGAGACAGGGGGGGTCATTCTATTATAACCAGTACAGTGTAGATAAAATGCAGGTTCTATTCAAGCAGGATTCAGTACTGTGCTCAATAGTCAGAGAAAATATTGACAATAAAAATAAAAATAGAACCGAGTGTATTGAAATGCCTCTCTCTCTCTTTCTCTCTCTCTCTCTCTGTCCAACACTGTGCACAAAAAATACAGACGCCAGTACTAGTAGCACTCACGTACATACTCCATTATCATAGGGACAGGCATAAATCTAGGTCATTGTATTATATGAATATCTTTTGGTAGCAAACCTTTCCATATTGGAAACATAAGCAGATTTTGTATTAAATTTAGTAAATAAAGTTTTTGTGTAGCTAGGAAATGCATTAAGTGTTTTAATGTTTTTCTTATTACTGTATTGTACTATATACTGTATATGGTATTACATTTTCATATCCTCAGATGGTCTATGCTGCCAAGCTTTATCAACAAATCTCAAGCACAAAGAGTTTTAGCATCAGGCAAATCCCTTAATTTCCTTCGTAATGTATGTCACTTTCGTGCACCAATAGCTGGCCGAGATGCTATCAAAACAGCGCTACAGCAAACAACAGGTCAGTAAAAAATAACGGTAATCTGAAACCTTAGAGAATAGAAATTCTGTACTGCACTGTACAGGCAACCCATACCCTATCCAGACACTTCATAACCAAGAATGGCTCATAAAAATGCATCCCAAAGAAACCATACCCTATGGCACCCAGAGGCCAAACTCAGCATTCGCGAGAGAGGCAGAAGGGGCGTTCCCGAACGAATCAGAAGACGAAGCCAAATCACAAGTCAAGCCTAGCCTCGGGCTGGGCTTGGGAAGTAGACGAACTCCCAGATCCTCATCAAGCAGGTATCAAGCAGGTATGAAATCCGGCCTGGAGGGTAGACCATTATGGCAAAGCTCAGACTCCTTCACAAGCCCTTGAGCAACCGCCTCGTAACCCCGGGAGCCCCCCCCCCCAGAAACAGTCGATGGCAGGACCGCTGCAGGACCACAGTGGGTTTGCAGTAGGACCAGAGGTGCATCATGTGTTGTGTCCGGTTACGGCTCTTCGCTGTTACTTGTCCGCCACTGTCTCGGTGGCTGGGGACGCGCTTTGGGTTGACCCGGTTTCTCTTCTTCCCTGTTCCATGATTCGAGTCTCCCAGGTCACTTGCAGGATTATTCGGTCCAGTCAGCCTGCGGTCTATGCTCGTGCCCATGACGTTTGTAAGTTTGCTGCATTGGCTGCCGTCTTAGGTAACATGTTTTGGGCTAACATTCGGGCATAAGATTTTTGGAGGTCGAATAGCGTCCTGGCCTCTCGCTACCTAGTCAATGTTCCTGGCCCTAGTCGGGCATGTGCCGCATTGGGTCGGCGGTTGCAGCCAGTTGGCTCGATTTCGAGTTAAGAAGTGTGTGGCGACCACCTCCCGCTTAAGTCCCTCTTGTTTCATCTTTGGTTATGTAGCTCCGGGTAGCCAAAGGGGCTTCCCTGTTCCTGGCCTGCTTCCCCCAGAAAACCAGCGTTGAATGAAATGAAACGCAATTTTTTCGGTAAGACCCGGAGGCTCCCCGCAACCCTCTCTCCCTCCGGTCAGCGGTTTTTGCGAGTTTAGACATCCAGCATCAGAACTGGGGGGTGTGGATAGCTGGCATGGGGGTCTGGGGCTCTCCCTTTCCCCTCCCAGGGAGGGGGTAGCTCCGCAGACAGCAGCTCGGTGATGGTTGTGACGTCATGCTTGTTTGCTTGTTTTTCGTTTGAGGGAGATCTGTCCAACAGTTCGGATTTCAGTAGCAATATTTTACCCAGATAAGGTTTTGTTTTAGGGCACCTAACTTTCTGGGTGCCTGACCTGGTCGATGGCAGACATAGAATACTTCCATCCACATGGAGGTTTCTATTCTCCACTGCTTCTCGGGCCTCTCTGAGGGGGACAGGTTCTGGCTTGTGGTCGCCGGTAGGCCTAAGAACTCCATTCGCTTGACCGATGCCAGGGGTCTAATACATTCATATCAGCCCGGATAACTTCGGGAAGCCTCTGGGTCTCACCCAGAAAATGGCGTTTCATTATATTTAACGCTGTTTTTTTCTGGTCAGTAGTTAACACTGCATAATTTGTATTTTGGCCTTTCCTCAAAGTCAGTGGCAATGCATATTTTAACACTGGCAGTGCCCTCAGTGCACTACCCATGAAGGTCCATATGCTGGGCCAACTAGGAAAGGTTGGACCTTCCTTGTGGACTGAGGAACTTGCGACTTTCCTGGATTGTTTTTATCTAGACAAATCACAAATGAGAGTTTTGTTAGTCAGAGAAAATTGTGCCCAAAAAGAGCATGGTTGCCTGTTCAATTGCCTAGGTACCGTACTGTAACTGCATTTTGTGTTAATCAGCTGTATAAATACTGAATATATGTACCGTATATTTAAGTACTGTACTTTAATTTATACAGATTTGATGATGCTAGGGAAATTCAAAATATGGAAGTAAGAAATTATTCTTTTGAGAGATAAAGTTTGCAGTGTTTGCCTAAAGCTGTTGGGTTTGACGGTTAAAATTATTTATTTTGAAGTATAACAGGTGAGCAATTATCTATTTGTTTTGTTCTTATCAATATTTTCCAGTTATTGTAGCAAATATCTGGAAACACTTTTTATAAATGAAAAGTGTGACCCACTACTTGTTTTTTGTTAAGGCAAAAAAATGTGTATACAAGATACTTCTTAATTATTTAATCAGATATTAATCGGCAGTAAATTATTGTCTTTGATTAGTGGAGTCGCTGTTCACGCAAGATGAAAGCAGTCAGCTGGATGAGCTTATAGGATTAACATTCAGAGAAACGTCTTGCCATGTACTTGAGGAGATCCTTACCAGACACAAGCTCATGGATCATCTTCGTGCACTGCGTCGTTACCTCCTCCTCGGCCAGGGCGACTTTATTCACTACCTCATGGAAATTCTCAAGTACTGTACTGTACTTTATACAAATGTTTATGTTTTATCACTGTTTCCTAATATAATTTAGTAATTTAATAATAATAAAAAATATGAAATATATTTTGCGTTTAAATGTTAAATGTGTATGATTTGTACTAGTATACTGAAGCTAGATAAATTGTTACTACTTGCAGTCCAGAACTTGGGAGGCCAGCTACAAATTTGTATCCACACAACCTTTCATCGCTCCTGGAGACTGCTGTGGCTGCAAGTAATGCACAATATGAAGAACCAGATATTCTTAAACGTCTCGATGTGAGACTTTTAGAAATCTCTCCTGGTGACTTAGGATGGGATGTTTTTAGCCTTGACTATCATGTTGATGGACCTATTGGAACAGTAAGTTTGTAAAGCAATATTTCTTTCTGTATACTGTACAGTAAAATCTGTGACTTCCTCTCTCTCATGTATGAAGATTCACCTTCACAAATTATTAGGGTAGACATTAATATATAGGAGAATGTAGGTAATGAAAGGCTGAGGTGGAATGTTAAACTCTCCATTTTATTCAATGTTTTTATAAGGGAATAGTAGAAAAATTTAATAATACAAATTAGACCATAATCATAAATAAGTTGCTGTCTTATGGTTTAAACCCCCGTCAATTTTGTCAATAGATTGTGTGCTTGTTATACAGACAATTTATGTACTTTATTTATAAAAGCCTTGTAATAGAAGTTTACAGGATCCAATGCACATATTAAAAGTTCTGATTAAAGTTATTAAATTAAAATACAGTGTAGATAATACTCTTATATTTTAATTTTACTGCTAACCAGTATTATTATTTTAAGATTGAAGTATAAATTTAATCTAGCAGTAATGTGATCTTAAGTGTATATTTCTTTTAGGTATTCACGGGTGATTGTATGCGCCAGTATTTGATGTTGTTCAATGCTTTGTGGAAAGACAAGAGGATGGAGATGATTCTCTCAGATATATGGAAGGAACAGGCTGCCACATCCAAGTTGTGTAGAGACTTGCCTGGTAGGTTGCTTAAGTCTGCAGCTGGAATGGTTATTTGTCTTAATCTAAATCTCTCTGTTCGTTATCTCTGCCAATCTACCTTATTTACTGTGTGATGGAAAAGTGAAAGAATAGAGCAGTGGCTATTCCGGCAGGTGAAATGCCGGTCACATTAACACTTACGCTCTCTGTTGCACCCCCAGGAGTCACTTATTTTTCTTTCGAGCCCTCTCCAGTGACTCCGTCCTGAGTCACTCATCAAAATATTTGTTAAAAATTCAATTTTATCCAATCAACTTCTGGGTGGCTTCAAAATTGAGCAGCTTTAGACAATTTGATACCAAAATGAAAGACGTAACACGAAAATTGATGTCAGAACATTTGAACGATATAAATAATTTTGTGGTGATGAGCGTCCAAAAGTTAAAATATTTGTTAAAATTCCATTTATTGATCTATTATTATGGTTTCAAAATATGCGCCTTTATATTGCGAACAATTTGATACCAAAATGAAAGACGTAACATGAAAAGTAATATCAGAACACTGGAAAGATAATAAATACTTCTGTTGTCAAAATTTTCAAATATTTGTTAAAATTCCATTTATTGTTCTATTACTATGGGACAAGTTTTAAAATACGCGCCTTTATATTGCGAACAATTTGATACCAATTGAAACACGTAACACAAAAATTTATGTTACCAAACTGAACAAGTATATACATTAGACTGCAGGTGTGCCAGTTGGTGCTTGTTCACAGGTAACTTGGCCGACTTTAGGCTTTGTTGCGGGGAGTCATGCCGGGCTTTTAGACCTTATATGCATATACCCCTGTAGAGAATTCTATTGCGAACACAATGATACCAAAATGAACGACGTAGCACGAGAAATAAGGGGAGAAAACTGAAACGAGTATACACATTTTACTGATTTTGCGCGCTCATGGGTAACTTTGCCGAATTTAGGCTTTGCTGTGGGGAGTCATGGCGGACTTTTGGACCTTGTATGCATATACCTCTATAGGGAATTCTATTGTGAACACAATGATACCAAAACGTACAATGTAGCATGAGAATTAAGGTGAGAATCTGAAACAGGTATACACATTTCGGTGTCACCGCATGCTCGCTCGCACCGCGGGGAGCATGACGTCAAAGTCTGCGGCGCGCGCGAACCGCGCTCGAAAGTGTTAAATTAAAAAAGTAAAACAAAGTAAATAAAACTGCTTCTGACCTCCTTACGGTGTGAGAGCTGCTGGATAAAGGTCAAAGAATGAAAAATTTAAACATTTAATATAACAAAAATGACTTTAACAATTCCCTTTAACAATTTAACAGTAATATAATTCCCTCATGATAAATGGCAAGACCACTAAATATAATTCAAAAAGAAATATAAACATGTGACAGTTATGTTAATAGCAAAATTAAAGGTGCATCGAGTCTACCAACGCCCAGGGGAGCGAGAGTAGATCTTGCAGCTTGGAGCACTTAAGAGTATTCTGACGTCTGGCCGGTGGTGAGCTGCTTATATACACGGCTGGGTCCATGTAGGTGGCACAGAATTGCAGGTAATTGTAACCGGCAGTCTCAAACAAGCAGTTAGGCTGGAGAGTGGAGTTGGTCCCAGACAGCACGTGTCCAGGTGTGTCGGGTACTTGAAGGGGGGGGGGGGTGGTGGTAGTGTGTCTAGACACGGCTTCTGAGCACGTATTGTTGTTGTTCTTGATGTTAATTTCTTACACTGGAGTATGCAGATGTGTTGTTGAATAAGCTGTAAAGGAATAGGCAGGATCTTCCTGCCTGATTAGGAGATTTTCGTAACAAATGTTACAGTAAATAAGTACAGTACTGGTTCACTTGAGTCTCTTATTCAAAAATCTATGATGTGCAGTTTTCTCAAAACTTGAACAAGAATGTGTAGGACATTTTAAAGTGAATAATTAATAAACCAAATTCTCCATGAGAGAGTAATTATGGGTGTGAAGCAATAGTAGAGGGGGGGGGGGAGAATAGTATAGTGTTCCATAAAAGCATAACTCGGTGCAGCATAATGAAAACCTTAAAATTATGATAAACTGTAGAGGCATTAATGATGTGCCAGACTACCATAACTATCTCTGAACACTGCTGACTCTCATTGAGAAATGATTAGAAATCCACAATTTAATAAACAAAATTCTGAACAAATATTTATTAACTTATGAAGTAACTCCCTACCCAACTTCTGTAAAAACCACTCTTATTTGGCTTAAGCTTATTAATATGCTCACTTCCTTCTTCAGTGGAAAATAAGTCTATTTGTAATTGTCTTGTGTTTTGAAAACTTGCATAGGACTCTAATTTATTCACATAACAGGTGATTCCCATTTTTAATGGGCCATTCTTCCCTATTAATTCCATGTTAAGAAAATAGTCATGTAATATAGCCTTGGATAAAAACTAATTTCCTGATAAAAACTAATTTCCTGATTAAAACTAACCAGCTAGCTCTGAAATATCTACCAATTATACTGTAATGGAACTTTTCACTTTCATAAGGAAGATTTATAGAGGTTAGTTCGCTAAACTGGTAAATATGAGTCCTGTTCTAAGGATTACAGATGGGGCCACTTTATTCTGGCTCTGGTGGTAAATATCCCATTTCAGGACCTTCAGCCCCCCCTTCTCTTTGAGCAGCCAGTTTTCCCATTCTAGAAGGTGTTGGGTGCACTTCTTGGCAGCCTCTCCAACTTGGTTACTGTTTCAGAATAACATTTAGTTACAGAACCAGTGTGAAACCTGCCTTTTCTGTGGGGAGCCCTTACGGCTCCCTGGAGCTTATCGGGCTAATGTATGTTATATTAGATTGGGACATTAGCTAAGGAGTTCAGACCTACCAGGGACCACCGCCAGAACCTGGCCCCTTCAGAGAGGTTTCAGGGAGCAATGGCCCTGGAAAACCCCCTTGTGGTTGGGATTTTCCTTATCTGCCATCGACCGGGGTTAGGCACCCAGAAAGGTAGGCATAACAAAACAAACCCCACATGGTAAAAAACTAAAAAAAAAACGAACAGAGAGGTAGAAATTCCCTACAATACCAAGGAAACGCGCAAACATCACACTTTACTGCTGCACCGATCGTCCGCGCAGCCCTCCCCGCCCCGAGAGGGGGAGGGGGGAGCCCCGGTCCTACCGCACCGGCTGCCTAGCTTCAGTTCGTAAGCTAATGTCAACTGGGATAGATGCTTCTCTGGCCTCAGTTTCCTAGGCGGTGTTTGCCTTGTGTGGCGTTCACTGCCATGTGTTGTGTTGTGCGGTGGCCAGGAGTACCTCATCAGTGCCGGGGCTGCATGCGCTCAGGAGCTCCCTTCCCTAAGCGCGCTGTGAGTACTGCCCTTGCGTGACAGGGGTATCTTCCCTGGGGCGTTCAGGAACCATTCCCGTAGAGGTTCTTGCTGCTCAGCATTTGCCTCGCCCTTGGGGCCAGCTGGGGCTTGGGGTCCTTGTTTGGCCCTGGTATTGTGCTGGCTAGGGCATCAAGGTGCCACCTAAGTGGCGGCCGGTTCATGTTGCCTCTGGAGACGGTGTACTTTTGTGGGGTTTTTCTTTTGTTTTTATATTCATTTGCCTGGTGGGGGTCTGCCCAGTGTGGCTATAGTTCCACTGGTAGTGTTTGGTGGCCCTCTGCTAGGCCCCCTTGATTGCACATGTCACAGGGGTTTTCAGTGCTATCCTCTACCCTCTTGTTATTTTTGGGTTTCTTAACTGGTTAGCAACACCTTGCCCGGGCTTCTCGTAGCAATCAGCCTACGGGCCCTGGAAACCCCTGTCTGGGCTCGGTGGACCATTGAATGTGTCTTCCATGTTCCAACTCGTCTTGTACGAGATTGTTGGTTGCTGTGCCCTTGTCTCCGGGTGACAGTCGCCACTTTTACCTCCGTCATGTTGCCTGTTGGGTCACTGACACCTTGACCCGGAGTCTTGCGAGAGAGATTCTCTGCTTGTTCTCCAGTACTCTCCTGATGTTATTACTGCGGCAGAGTACAGGCGGCATCCGTGTTGCAAGCTAGGTTAGGTTGCTGCAATACGCTAGGTTGGTTTCCCACTCGGATGCCCCGAGGCTGCCCCGTTTTGGTTAGGTGCTGTTCGCCCCTTTCCCTCCCTGTTCCCAGGCTCTGAACCGTCTGCAGGTTTCGGGGTCGGGGCGGGGTTAAGTTGGGGCCGAGACTCGGGTGGTTTTCGGGGGTCTGCCCCGTTCGGGTTGGGGACTGAGGTTTTCGAGCCTGTTCCTCCTGCCAAGGCTTCTGGGTCTTACCAGCGGCCCTTTCTTGCTGCCTTTCCCATGGACTCATCCTTTTCTTTAAGGGAGGAGAGCTTGGAAGACGGCTCTGCCCTGGGGCCTCTCTTACTGGTTCCTGGGGCTGTGGGGGATGCCTGCTAGCAGTTCTGGGGTGGTTTGCCCCTGCCTGGGTTTTCTGCTTTTGGGGCGGAGTTTTTCGTCCATCCAGTCTGCTTGCTTCCCACTTTTGCTGGCGTGTTTTCGTATCTTTTGCGTCGGTCACAGCCCTCTGTTCTGGTGGCCATTTTCGTCTGCCGGTTTCCCGGAGTGACCACCAGGGCGGCATTGCAGTTTGTTTACATGCGCCTGAATGTGTGAGCGAGCGTCTTGGGTGAGTTTTTCACCTCCCTTCAGGGGTTTTATTCTCCTGTTGTCGTTTCTTTGTTTTTCTGGTGTTTTCTGCTCGTTTCCTGTTGAGTGTCTCTGGCTAACAGCCAGAGACACTGAACAGCCTTTCCCTGCTTGCTCCCACACCTTGTCCCTCAGTTTTCGGTCTGTTTTGACCGTTTCCCTGGGGGTTCTGTCTGGGGGCTGTGCTTTGCCTTTCTATGGTGTATCTCCGCCGGCAATTGTGGTGGTTTGGGCTCCCCCTGGTTCGATTCCGGGTTCCTTGGGGTTCTTTGGTTTTGTTCCGGAGGTTTCTTCCTCTTGGGCCCCCTTTGTGGGATCAGGGAGCTTTGTTTCCTCGTGTGGGACCCGGTTCTGCCTTCTGGAGTTCTGGGGTCTTCCTGGCTTGCAGATTGATCATTTTGGGTCTTGGCACGTGTTTTGGTCGTGCTGGGACTTTGAAGTTTTGTTGTCGAGGTGGGCCTTTTGATGCAGTTTTGTGCCATCTTCGCCTGGCCGGTGTGGTGCTTTCTGCCCACTGGTCGGCGGCTTGTAATTTTCTTTTCAAGTATGTGTATGTGTACACATGTGCATGTGTACTCTGTGTGTGTGTGTGTGTGTGTGTGCGCACATGTGTATGCGCATACACACATGTGTAACATACCCTGTGTGTATGTATATATGTATATGTATATGTATATGTATGTGTATGTGTATATACATAAATATGTATGTATGTATGTGTACTTTTTCTTTCAAAAGGGGCTCTGTTCTCTTCTCTGTTGGCGGGGTGCTTGGGAGCAGCTTGCTCTGTTGACTCTCGCATGGTCCTGCAGTTAGTGGGTGCTTTTGGTTGTCTTCCGGCCTCTGGTGGCGGCAGTGGATGGCTTCTTCCCTTTTGGGGGGTTCAGGGCTGGCGGGGTGGGCTTCTTCCCCTGCGCTTCATCATGTCATCTTAGTGGGTGTGTTGGACGTGGTCGATCCGCCCAATCCTTCTGGAGTTCCTGTCTGCTCCATGCAGACATGGGCCTGTCGAATCTGCGGTTCTTCTGGACTTTTTCAGTCTGCGCCCTGGCTTCTATGCCCTCATCGGAGGACTGTTGTCTCTTGTCCGGCTTCTGTTGGGGCCGTGTGCCTGGATGGTGGCCCTGGACCTCCAGGTCATTTTTAGCACGTTCCTCTCCAGTTTTCCGGGACTTGCACAGTTGGTGGTGGGGCTTCAGGCTTGCCGCTTTTGTTGCCTTCCCTATTTTGTAATTGGCACTTGATGTATTTTTGCATCTTTACCGGATCTTGGTGCCCTGTCTGAGTCTGCCTGGGATTCGGTGTCTGGCCTACCTCGACGACTGGCTGGTGTGGGCTCCCAGTCGGTCTGCTTGTCTGCTCGCCAGGGGTGTGGTTCTTTCCAGATCGCTGGGTTTGGTTTCCTGGTGATCTGGAGGCCGTTCCATTTGTTTCCGTCCCGGGTTCAGACCTGGCTGGGCCTTATTAAGGGCTCTTGGGTCGCTCCTTGTCTTTCCCTCCAGAAGTGTTGCTGCGGCTGTTCATGAGGGGGTCCTGAGTTGCTCAGCGGTTGCTCGAGCAGTTGTGCGGGAGTCTGAACTTCAACCTGCTGGTCTGCCCGCGGGGTCGGGTTTGGCTTCGGCGTCTGTTTGGTTCCTTCGGAGACTCCCCTTCCGACTCTTGCAATCGTTGGGTTCGTTCCTCCGGGGATCTTGTGTTGGTGCTGCATCACCAGCTTCCTCTTTAGGGTTTTCGGGGTTCCGTGCCATGGCACCTTCCCGAGCCTTCGCTCGATGTGCTTACGGATGGGTCATCTCTTGGCTGGGGCTTTGTGACCAGTGCTCACCAGGTCGGCTGGGATGGTGGGGTCTGTCCGTCTGTCGGGCTCACAGCACGGTTCTGGAGTTCGTGGATGTCTGGTTTGCACTTCGGAGGGTTCGGGTCACTCGGTGCTCTACCATTCAGCTCCATTCGGACTGTTCTTTGGCGGTTCTTTGTCGGAACCACAGGGCTTCTTTTAGGTGTTTGACCTTTGGGGTTGGTCCCTTCGAGTGGCTTGTTTGCTGGATTCTCGGGGTTTGGTTAACCGTGAGGTTCATGTCTGAGGTGTGTCCTGTGTCCTGGCGGACATCTGTCTCGGTTCATTCCTCTGTTCTCGGACTGGCCGGTCGTCGCAGACTCGTTTCGTTGGCTCTGCCGAACATATGGACTCCAGGCCATGGACGATGGTCTAGACATCGCCCATTCTATGTGGCGCCCTTACCCACCTGCGAGGCGTTCACGGTGGATGCCTTTCGGCAAGACTGGTCGAGGTGGGGGTACCTGTTCCTCTTCTGGTCCAGCTGTTGTTTCGGGTTCTGGCTCGGTTGGAGCCCAATCCCAAGAAGAGAAGTCCTCATGGTCCCTTGTGGCCGGCCCAGCTTTATTTTCAGACGCTGCTTGATAGGTGTCTGAACCCGGGGCGTTTTCCCGCGGCTCCGCCTCTTTCGGCAGGTTGGACTGGTCCTGTACGTGACTGGTTCAGCCTTCTCCTCAGCTCTTCGCGTCTGGTATTTTGACGCGGGTATCACCTTCTCTGTGGTGATCAGGTGGCTTTGTTGATGGTGTCCCACCTGTGAGCTTCGTCTCGGCGACAGTATGATGTTCCTGGTGTTTCTATGCACCTTTTTCTTGCTCTTCGTAGATTGTCTTCTCTTTCGCATTGGGTTGTCTTGTCCTTTCTTGGGTTTTCAGGACTACAGTTATTTGATGTTTCTTACTGTTGCCTCATTTTGTGCGGCGCTGGCGGAGCCGCTTCAGCTTGTGTTCGGGGTGGACGTCACCTCTGTCCCGTTCCGTACACTTTCTCGTGTTTTGTTTCACCTCCGGCCTGCTCATGCGTCGCCTGAGCCGTCCTGGTCCTTGATCAGGGTGCCCTCTTATCTTCTCAGTTTGTGTTAGCCTCCTTTGGTTCATGTTTCTGCTCTTTGGTACTGGTGGTAGGTTTGTACGTTTGCTGCCTTTCTCCATCCTTCTGGCGACGGTTGAGACGGCTGCTTTCCGGAGGAGTCCATGGGTTATTGATGCTTGACTGATTCGGCCGGGGGTGCGTCCTGTGTTGTCCAGTTGCACTTCTTTGCCGTTACCTGCGTACTGTGTCGGGGGATGCGCTTTGGGTTGATCTGGTTCCCCTCGTTCCCTGTTTCAGGGTTCGGGTCGCTCAGATAGTCCGCAAAGTTTTTAAGTCTTCCAGCCTGCGGTCTATCCTTGCGCTCGTGCTGTTCGGACGTTTGCAGCTTTCGCTGCTGTGTTGGTGACGTCTAGGGCTCATTTCGGATGCAAGGATTTGAGGTTCGCACAGGTTCCTGGCCGCCCGTTCTTTATGCAAGTGTCTGCTCCAGTGCGTTCTTGTTGCCTTGGGTCGCAGGTTGCAGCCTTCACGTTGCGGAGTTTGTGGCGGCCGCCTCCTGGGTCAGCCCTTTCTTTTCCTTCTCTTTGGGTTTGAAACTCCAGGGAGCCATAGGGGCTCCCCACAGAAAACCAGTGTTGATTGTAATGAAATGCCATTTTCTGGGTGAGCCCTGGAGGCTCCCTGGCAACCCTCCCTCCCACCGGTCGGCGTTTTTTTTTTTTGTGTGTTGGTTGAAGCTTAGCTTCCGAACTGATGCTAGGCAGCTGGCGCGATGAGGTCCAGGGCTCTCCCCTCCCCCTCTTGGGGTGGGGAGGGCTGCGCGGACGATCGGCACGGCAGTAAAGTGTGATGTTTGCTTGTTTGCTTGTTTCCTTGGGATTGTAGGGAGTTTCTACCTCTCTTTTCGTTTTTTTGTTTTAGTTTTTTACCATGTGGGGTTTGTTTTGTTATGCCTACCTTTTTGGTAAGCATAACAAAACATTATGGTAGGCATTTCTTCCTTTCTACCCCGGTCGATGGCAGATAAGGTAAACCTCAACCACAAGGGGGTTTTCCAGGGCCATTGCTCCCTGAAACCTCTCTGAAGGGGGCCAGGTTCTGGCGCTGGTCCCTGGTAGGTCTGAACTCCTTAGGTAATGTCCCGATCTAATATAACATACATTAGCTCAATAAGCTCCAGGGAGCCTCCGGGGCTCACCCAGAAAATGGCGTTTTATTACATTCAACGTTGGTTTTTCACAGAATTAGGAGTTGTTCTACATGGTCTTCAGTTGCTGACGACGGAAATGGTACATCTAGTTCACCAAATGGAATACTACATGACTTTTGAGGTGCTAGAGTGTTCATGGCATGGACTGATGACCAAACTCAAGTCAGCTCAGAGCTTGGATGACGTCATAGCTGCACACAACCATTTCTTAAACAGGATTGTTGCAGGGGCACTTCTTGATGCTGAATCCAAGGTCAGGTTTTATTGTTTAAAGGAAGTTTTGTAGTGTATGAAAGTTGAAGTCAGTGATGTGTTTGATTAGTGGGCTTATACAAAATATTTGTGTATCATCAATGTATACATTGTAATATAACCAATGAATATATATACCGGATATATTTTACTATTATTAATATTATCATTATTATTATTATTAAAGTAGTAGTATTATCATCATCATATTAAATACAAATATGGGTAGTTAAATTTTCTGGGAAGCCCCTCTCAATAGCTTCACTATGGCTTGTGCTGGGGTGAATCCAAGCCTTGAAATGAGCACCAGCTTCTTGAGACCCATGCTGGGAGGCAAGACTAGAATTTAGCTCTCTGTATCCACCTAGTTTTGCTTGCGGGGGATGAGCTCTGGCTCTTTCGGCCCGCCTCTCAACTGTCGGGTCTGTACAAGGTGATGGTCATTTAGGGAACAGCTATTAACACAAAACCAAGAAAACATCCAACAGAAAGATAAGCAAAACAAAGCAAAAACTACTGAGTTAAGAAATAATTATATTCTGAGGTAAATGAGGTAAATGATTGTTGTCGTGGGAAAACAACACTCGCCTTGATGCGTTTACCTTGGGGTTACCTTCCACAAGTTCCTTGGGTCCTGCCTCTGCTAGGCCGATTTACTGCTTGGTTTTTCGGCTGCCCTTTGGATGCTTGGGGGGTTTTGTCTCCCTTGTTTACTTTAGGGTAAGAGGGGGTTTGCACTGGTAAGGGGCACAGGGTGCTACGCAGCTTGTTTTCACCATTCAAAGCGGCCGACTCTGTTCCTTTTGGGACCGTTGTCCTCTTGCGGGGTTTAGTTTTTCTTTTTGTTTTTGCCTTGTGGAGGGGGGGTCTGCGTTGCTTGTTGTGCCTGACCTGAATACAGTTCTCTTCTGGTGGTTCCCCCCTGCTTGGTCCCCATGAGTGTCCCCGTGAGTGTACACGTCCCTGAGGTTTAGCTTTAGAGTTGCTCGGTAGTTCTGGGCGCCGGTTAGCAGTACCCTGCCTGGGATTCCCTGAGCGTGAGTTCTATATCAGGACCCCTGGGAAACCCCAAAGGGTGCGCGAGTCTGATGAATGTGACCCCTGAGTCTCCCCTCGCTTCGTGCGAGTTCGAGGATTGCTCGGTCACCTTGTCTCTGGGTGACTCGTTGTTTTTGCCTCCGTCACGCTGCCTGATGGGTCAGTGACACTTTTGACCCGGAGTCCTGCGAGTTTTGCTGCTTGCTGGTGACTCAGTTTACCCAAACTAATGATGATTTTTTGTGGGTACAGGCGGCGCAAGCGCTGCATGTGCACTTTAGGTTGTTGCAACGCGCTAGGTTGGTCACTCACCTGGATGCCCCGAGGCTGCCCCGTTTTGCTTATAGGGACCCGGACTTGGGGGTGATGGTCGCTTCGGCCTTGGTTAAGTCCGCAGCCCCTCATTCTTCTCCTGGTGTGGTTTGTTCTGGTCCTCCCCCCCCTCCCCCTGCTTCCGGCCCCGAAACGTTTAAGGGTTTCGGAGCCGGGGCAGGGTTTAGATGGTCTTGAGACTTGGGCAGTCTCGGGGGATGCCCCTTCCAGTGTGACGACGGAGGAAGGATCCGGATCGGCCCCGGATCTTGTGGTGGAGGATCCTGGGGCGGGGGAGGAACAGACATGGGGGCTTTGGGGCCCGTTGGACCCCGCCTGGGTTTTTCTGCCCTGTGAGCGGGGATTACTGTTACAAGGAGTGGGGTTCTCTTTTCCCCCCGCTGTGTATGAATTGGATTTGGTATCTGCCCCTCCCTGGGTTCATTTCCGTGTCCCCCCGGGTGCGTCGGTTCTGTCCTTCTGGAGGTTTTCGGCTTGCCGCATCCAACCGTTTGCGGTGTGGGCAGCTCTAACGGCTTACCTCCTGCGCAACCAGATTATGCCTCGGTTATGGATGTCGTTCCCTTTCTGGGTCCATTACAAGGTTCAGGAGTCGTCCTGGCTGGCGGACTGTCCTGTGTTTGCTTTGGAGGCTTGGCATTCCTTCTGTCATTCCTGCACGCTTGAGTGGGGTGAGGCTTCGACGATGGTCAAGGTTTTTCTGGAGGGCGACTTTGAGCACCTCAATGAGTGTTTGTTTGCCCCTGCCCTTTCCTAGGATGTTGGCATTATGCAGCTCCATGTGCAGGTTCCCCTTCCTTTTGGCTACGCAGGTTGCTGAGGACTTGCCCGCCCGTGGCCTCTTGGCTTCAGCTTTGCATTTCTTTTCCCTCCTGGAGCTGTCTTCGGACTGACTTGTGGAGGATGTGGGGATGCTTGAGGCCATTCCTGGGTTCAGTGCCTTGGGCTTGGCGGCTTGCTCCTCAGCTGCCTTGTTGAAGCTCTTTGCGCCGATCCTGCGGGATGCGGTTTCACTGTTCTATGCTTCTCGGCTTGCGTGTTGGCAGGCAGTGCTTGCCTCCTCTCTGGAATTGGCCTGGGCCCTGGCTCTTAGGATGTTCTCTCCGTTTTGTCGTCTGCTTTTTGCAGATCTGCCGTGGCGCAGTATTTGCAGGCTGCTTCAGTTAGTTGTCATCCTATGTCTGACTTGTTGGTTCTCCGGGGGTCCCGGGGGGGGGGCCTTCCCAGAGGGGTTGTGCCAGGGCTCAGGGTTCCGATCGTTGTGGTAGGCCACTGGTGCCAGGTTCAGGTCCGGCCCCGCCTTCAGACCCACCTTCGTCTGGTTGGCGCAGTGTTAGCTCTGTGCGAGGGTCGGGGTCTCATAAGGAGTGCCGGCCCTTTCGCAGTTCGCCCCATTGACAGGGCGATGGGGGGGGGGGGGCTTGCGCTGTTTGCTCACGCCTGGTCCCATGATTTGTGGGCGTTTTGGGTCGTTTCCTTTGGCCTGAGGTGGCGTCAGGTGGCTTCTCCCCCTTTGGGGGGTTCGGGGCTGGCGGGGTGGGCTTCTTCCCTAGCGCTTTGTCCTGTCATCTTGGTGTGGGTGCATTTCGACGTGGTCGATCCGCCCCATCCTTTCGGGTGTTCTCACTTGTTCTAATGCAGACATTGGACTTTGCGGAGCTGCGGTTCTTCTGGACTTGTTCAGTCTGCACCCTGGATTCTTTGCCCTCTTCGGAAGACTGTTTTTTCCGTTCTGGTTTCTTTTGGGGCTGGGTGCCTGGTTGGTGTCCCTGGACCTCTGGGTCTCTTCTTGCTACGTTCCTCTCCTGGGTTCCAGGGCTGGTACAGTTGGTGGTGGGGCTTCAGGCTTGCCGCTTTTGTTGCCTTCCCTAGTTTGTAATGGGTACTTAGTGAATTTACGCATCCTTGCCGGATCTTAGTGACCTGTCTGTGTCTGCTCAGGATTCGGTTTTTGGGCCCACCTCGACGACTTTCTGGTGTGGGCTCCCAGTCGGTCCGCTTGTCTGCTCGCCAGAGGTGTTATTCTGTCCAGATCACCGGGTTCTGGTTCCTGGTGAACTGGAGGCCGCTCCATCTGGTTCCGTCCCAGGTTCGGACTTGGCTGGGTCTGGTTTCGGACCATTAAACCGTTTCATTGTCTTTCCCTCCACAGGCATTGCTGTGGCTGCGGTCCCGTTTTCGGCTGTTCTGAGGGGGTCACAGGCCGCTCGGCGGTTGCTTGAGCAGATGTGCGGGTGACTGAACTTTGCTGTGCTGGTCTATCCGCTGGGTCGGGTTTGCCTTTGGCGTCTGTTTTGGTTCCTTCGGGGACTCCCCTTCCACCTCTCTTGCGAATGTTGGGTTCATCCTCCGGGGCGTTTATGTTGGTGCTGCGTCTTGGTCCTTGGTCAGGGTGCTCTCTTATCTTTCCTCTCCTTGGTTTGTGGTAGCCCCTTCGGTTCAAGATTGTTTTTCAAAGGTCCCTATATTTGTTGGCGTAGCCATCCGGGGGATTGAGTCGGGGAGCTTCTAGCTCTCCTCCGGCACAGGGGTTTCTGCTTTTTTGGTTCTGGTGGTAGGTTTGTACGTTTCCAGCCTTCTCGGTCTTTTATGGCGAAGGCCGAGACGGCTGCTTTCCGGAGGGGTCCTTGGGTTATTGATGCTTGGTTGGTTCGGCCAGGGGTGTGTCATGTGTTGTGTCCGGTTGTGGCTCTTCGCCGTTACCTGCATGCCGTGGCTGGCGATGCGCTTTGAGTTGATCCAGTTTCCCTCGTTCCCTGTTCCAGGGCTCAGGTCTTCCAGGTCGACCGCAGAGTTAAGTCTAGCCTGCCTGTGGTCTATCCTCATGCCCTTACCATTCGGACGTTTGCAGCTTTCGCTGCTGTATTTGGTTACATGTCTTGGGCTCTTTTCGGGCGCTGGAATTTGGAGGTCGTACAGGTTCCTGGTCACCCGTTATTTTGTGCGCATATCTGCTCCTGGGCGTTCTGGTGTGGTTTGGGTCGCAGGTTGCAGCCTGTTGTCTCGACTTCGCATTGCGAAGTTTATGGCGACCACCTCCCGGGTCAGCCATTTCTTTTCCTTCTCTTTGAGTATGAAACTCCAGGGAGCCGTAGGGGCTCCCCACAGAAAACTAGCGTTGAATGTAATGAAACGCCATTTTCTGGGTGAGCCCCAGAGGCTCCCTGGCAACCCTCCTTCCCACCGGTCGGCAGTTATTCGCATTTATTGAAGCTTAGCTTCCGAACTGGAGTTCTATGAGCCTGCGCAGTGAGGTCCGGCCCCTCTCCCTCCCTCTCCCTCTCTCGAGGAGGGGAGGGCTGCGCGGACGAGCAGCGCAGAAGTAGTGTGTTACGTTTGCTTGTTTCCTTGGGATTGTAGGGAGTTCTATCTCTCTGTTCGGTTTTTGTTGTTAATTTCTTACCATGTGAGATTTGTTTTGTTATGTCTACCTTTCTGGGTGCCTAACCCTGGTCGATGGCAGATAAGGAAAATCCCCAACCACAAGGGAGTTTTCCAGGGCTATTGCTCCCTGCAACCTCTCTGAAGAGGCCAGGCTCTTTCGCTGGTCCCTGGTAGGTCTGAACTCCATAGCTAATGTCCCGGCCTAATATAACATACATTAGCCCAATAAGCTCCAGGGAGCCTCCAGGGCTCACCCAGAAAATGGCGTTTTATTACATTCAACGCTGTTTTTTTTATTCATTTTAAAATTTAAAAAGTGTGTCTTATACTCCAGTAAATACAGTAATTTTTTTCTCAAGAAGTGCCGGACCAACTGGGCAGTGGTGGATATGTGGGCCTGCGGTCTGCTCCAAGCAACAGCCTGGTGGACCAAACTCTCACAAGTCAAGCTGGCCCCAGGCTGGGCTTATGGAGCAGACGAACTCCAGGAACCCTATCTGAGTACAATCCAGGTACTATAAGCTCAGGAAGTTACTGAAGAGAGCCAACCCAGTAATGGCCCCATATCCTCATCTCCACATGTGTTTTCAGGCAGCTCAGTTCTAATTATATAAACTGTTTACTAATGAACATTAAACATTTAAAAAAAAAATGTAAATAATTTTGTTTTAAATAGAAACTTATTAAGTAATTTTTTTTTCAACAGCAAGTAAGAACCCATCTAAGAACATTCTACAATATAATCCAGAATCTCAGGGGCCTCCAAGAGAGATTGTCAGTAGCTGTATCAACTGAAGTTAATGCACGCAAAAATGCTCTTGCTGAAGTTAAGGTGAGTTAGTTGAAAGGCTTTCCCCCAACTACAATACCACATTTTAGCAGTGTCTCCTCACAAAAATGTGAGAAACTTAAAACACATACAGGGGTACCTCGGTTTAAGAATTTAATCTGTTCCTGGAGACGGTTCGTAACCCGAAAATTCATAAACAAATCAAATTTCCCCATAAGAAATAATGGGAAATGAATTAATCCGTTCCTGACTTCCCAAAAACTTCACTTCAAAGTAAATTTTATACCTAATTCACCCAAATCTTCACTGCAAAAGTATGTTCAAGTTATTACCCTTGCTGATGACTCCTGTTGGCGTATGGAAGATGGTGAGGAGGGAGAAGGAGTAGAGGTGTTACTGTTTGGAAGGGGAGTCCCCTTCCATTATAACATTAGGTAGTGAAGATTTCTCTGGAGTGCACTCTGGCACATTTTGCCTGCATGCCACTAGGTCCTGGTTGTGCTCAATGCTTGATTTTCTCACTTTTCTCACAAGGGAACGTTCCATTGAAAATTGTTTTTCCCTTCTTAGCATCACTTGTCTGTAGTCAGGCATCACATTGTCATTAAAAAGATCAATGCAACGTCCTACTACAGTTTTATCTGCGTGATTCTTTTCAGGAAAACTTTGCAATCCTTCCCATACTGCACACATTTTCTTAATTAATGAGGAAGGGACATTCTCTACTGCCTCCTCTTCCTTCCCCTGAAGATTTGTTGTACTGCCTAGCTAGTTCAACAACACGAGTACAGTACCATTTTCATGCTTACGAACGATCTCTTGTTTTTCCTCTATGGTCATTCTCAAACGTGATTTCTTGCCTTGAACCTTACCACTGGCTTTCGTGGGATGGGACCCATGGCGAGATACATAATAACAACTTTTATGCTCAAATGGCCAAAAATCTGAAAAAAACTGTAAATTCTTGTGAAGAGTCAGTGGGCACGAGGCACTGGTAAACTGAGGAGTGGTCGCCGTGCCACCATGCGCTACGTCGGCCGTACGCGTATCAACAAACTCGTATCCCGATTCAAATTTTCTGAACAAATCGGGCTCGTAACCCAAAAAGTTCGTAAACAGGGAAGTTCGTAACCCGAAGTACCACTGTATTAGTATAAAACAAAGAATGTTGTTTGTTTCCTACAATGAAGCCCTTATAAAGAAGAGAAACAGTACAGATGCAGCTAGAAGTCCTTGTGAAGGAGCAGCCCTTGTGAGTGGATGCTAGATACGGCTGTGGCATGACCATGAAAATTATAGGTTGAACTACAGATATGGTCAGCTTCAATATATTTGTAGTGTAAGAAGAATAGATAGAGTAAGGAATAAATATGTTATGAAAAGAGGTCAAGTACAAAAAAGTAAATTGTGAGATTGAGGACAGATTATTGAAAGGGTTTGGTCATATTGAACAAATAAATGATGATGTAATTGTGGTTACAAGTGTATTTATATTACAGTAATTTTATAGATGAATGACAGTCTAATGGGCCTTCCTATTCCACCCTTTCTTTTCTGTGTGGACCCCTACAGCTCCCTGGAGCTATCAGGCTAATATGTGATACATTAGACCAGGGCAATAGTCTATGGAGTTAGGCTGAGTACTGAGTACCATAAGCTATAACCTGGCCCCCCTCAGAGAGGTGCTGGGAGCAATGGCCCTGGAAAAAAACCCTGTGGTTGGGGGTTTTACTTATCTGCCATCGACTGGCGTTAGGCACCCAGAAAGGTAAGCATAACAAAACAAACCCCACATGGTATGAAAATTACAACTAAAAGCCGAAATGAGAGGCAGAACTCCCTCCAATCCCAAGGAAACAAGCAAACGTCACACTCTACCACCATGTCGCTTGTCCGCGCTCCCGCGAGGGGAGCCCTCCCCCTCCCCTCCCCTCCCCAGCTACCTAGCACTCCAGTTCGTTTGCCTTCTTGGCAAACTCTGCAGTGTTTTGTATGGTGGCCAGGTGTACTCAAGAGTACAGTACCGAGGCTGCATGCGCTTAGGGGTATCATTCCCCAGGCGCCCTGTGAGTACTGCTCTTGCGTGTTAGGGTTCTCTTCCCTGGTGTGTTCGGGAACCTTTTTTGTAAGGGTTATTGGGGGGAAGCCCTGTTGTCTCCCTGGAGCTATCCAGGCTGATATGTATCTAATAGCTTTCTGGCATCAGTCAAAATGCATGGAGTTCCTGCCTACCGGGGACCACGAGCCAGAACCTGGCCCTCCCCCCCCCCCCTCAGATGAGGCAAGAGGAGCAATGGCCTATAGAAACCCCCATGTGGTTGTGGGCATTCTGTCTTCCATCGACCGTGTCAGGCACCCAGAAAGATAGGCGTCCCAAAACCACCTATTCCGGTGAAAATATTGCTACCGAAAGCCGAACGAGTGGACAGAAACGAGCAAGGTGTGATCACGTTGCCGCGCCGCTGTCTGTGCAACCCCCCTCCCCCCTCCCCCTCCTCCCCCACCTGCCCTGAAGGCGGAAAGGGGAAGCCCCAGTCCCTCACACTGCGATCCAACCGTCAGTTGTTGGCTGATGTGATGCTGTTAGGTCATGAGACTCTGGCTCCTGTTTTTATTTCAGTTACTGTGCCTTGTGGGGTGGCTACAGGTGTTGTGTGAGCCAGGAGTAATATTCTACTGTACTCGGGCTGCATGTACTTAGGGTTTCCTTCCCTAGGTGCCCTATAAGTACTGCCCTTCGGCCTTGGGGGCCACCTTCCACAAGTCACCTTGGGGCCTACCTCTGCTGTGTCTTTTACTGCTCGGTACATGGCCACCCTTGGAGTCAGCTGGGATTTTTGTTGCCCTTGTTCGGCTCTGGTTAGGAGGTCGTTTTCGTCACTGGTAGGGGAGCGGGGTGCTGCTATAGCAGCCAGCTCTGTTCCGGTTGGGTACGTTGTCCTCTACGCAGGGTTTTTCTTTTGTTTTTGTTTTCCTGCCTGGTGGGGGGTCTGCCTTTCGTTGGTTGCCCCCTTTCTACATTTGGGAGTCTTCACACATACATCTCTGTGTTTGGTGGTATCTCCTGCTAGGCCCCCATAAGTGAACATGTCCCGAGGGCTCAGCTTTTAGAAGTTTGCTCGGTAGTTTTGGGCGCCGGTTCGCAGTACTCTGCCTGGTCTTCCCTTAGCATGATACCGAGGCTAAGGGCCCTGGAAACCCGGCAGAGGCTCCACGGTCCAATGGATGTGACCCTTGAGTCCCCTCTCACATCGTACAAGGTTGATGGTTGCTCTGTTCCCTTGTCTCGGGGTAACAATCACCGGTTGTGCCTCCGCCATGCTGCCTGCCGGGTTGGTGATTCTTTTGACCCGGAATCATGCAACGTTTGTTCTTTTTATGTGCTCCAGTTCACCCAAGCTACTGAACATGATATGAGGGTGCAGGCAGCAGAGGCGTTGCATGCTCGATTTAGGTTGCTGCAACGCAGTAGGTTCGTTGCTTCCCTGGATGCCCTGAGACTGCCCCGTTTTGGTTATAGGGACCCGAACTTGGGAGTGGGAGTCGCTTCGACTTTGGTTCCGTCCGCCCCTTTGGTTCATCCGTTCCCCCCCTCCCCCTTGCTTCTGGCTCTGAAATGTCTGAGGGTTTCGGAGTCTGGGCAGGGAATAGTTGGTGTTGAGACTGGCGGTCTCGGGGGAAGTTCCCTTCCGGAGTGGCGGCGAAGGCATTCAAGCCTGGTCCTTTAGCTGGAGCTTCTGGGTCTGACCAGTGGGTCCCCTTTGTTCTTGCTTTTCTTTATAGGCAGGGGGGGGGGGTGTTGGAGGATGGCTCAGCCCTGGGTCCTCAGGGTGCGGCTTCCGAAGCGAGGGAGGGGTTGACTTGGGGGGCCTTGGGCCCCATTGGACCCTGCCTGGGTTTTTATATCCTCGGAGTGGGACTTGGTGTTACAAGGAGAGGGGGTTCTCTTTTGCTCCCTCCTTGTACGAATTGGGTTTGGCGTCTACCCCTCCCGGGTTTGGTTCCGTGATCCTGGAGGTTTTTGACTTCTCGCGTCCCATCACATGTGGTACGGGAAGCCCTTGCGACTTATCTCTTGCACGACCCTGATTATGCTTTCATGGTGGATCCGCATTCCTTCATGTATGGATCTTCGTGTCTGTACTAGGTTTGTTATGAAGTGCTGGAGTTGTCCTGGCTAGCAAATTGGCTGCTCTTCTTGTTGGAGGCTTGGCATACGTTCTGTTGGTCCCACACGCTTGAGTGGAGGGAAGCTTAGACGACGTTGCAGGTTTTCCAAGGGGGTGAATTTGAGCATCTCAGTGCATGTTTGTTTGCCCCTGCCCTTCCGCGGGATGTTGGTGTGATGCAGCTTTATGTGCAGGTTCCTTCCCTTTCGGCTACCTTGGTCACGGAGGATTTGTGTTCACGTGGCCGGCTGGCTTCGGCCCTGTGTTTATTGTCCCTACTCGAGCTGTCCTCGGATTGGCTTGAGATGGATGTGGAGTAGCTTGGGGCTGCCTCTGGGTCTGGTGCATTGCCCTCGGCAGTGCATACGTCATCTGCATTGTTGAAGCTGTTCACGCCGCTCCTGCGGGATGCGGTTTTGCTGTTTTTTCTTTCTTGACTTGTATATCGGCAGGCGGTGCTCGCTTCTTCCTTGGAATCTGCTTGGGCCCTGCCTCTTAGGTTGTCTTTGTCTTTTTGTCCGTTGCTGTTTGCAGATTCTGCAGTTATGCAGTATCTGCAGGCAGCTTCGGCTAGTTGCCATCCTATGTCGGACTTGCTGGTCCTCTGGGGGGCTCGTAGGGGGCCTTCCTGGAAGGGTCGTACCAGGGCTTGGAATTCTTACCGTTGTGGTAGGCCAGTGGTGCCAGATTCGAGGCAGGCACATCCTTTGATTCCGTCTTTCTCTGGTCAGTGCAGGGATCGCCCTATGTGCTGCTTAGCTTTTCGTTAGGTAAGTCAGCCCTTTCGCGGTTCGTCCCATTGATGGGGGTGATGGGGGAGGCTCGCTCTGTTTGCTTGCAACTGGTCCCACGATTTGTGGGCCTTTCGGGTCATTTCGTGCAGCCTGTGGTGGCATTGTGTGGCTCTTCATTTGGGGGGGGGGGTTCGGGGCTGGCAGGGCAGGCCTCTTCTCCTGCGCTCTGTCGAGTCTTCTCGGAGTGGGTTCTCTTGGGTGTGGTCGAAATGACCTTGTCTCCGGTGGGTTTCCCGACTGTTTCCAATCCCATAACGGGACTGCGCGGACCTCGGGTTCATTCTGGACTTGTTCCATCTGAACCCATGGGTTTCTCGCCCCTCCTTTCAGATGACTACTGTCCCAGGTCCGTCTTCTATTGGAGCCAGCTGCTTGGATGGTGTCCCTGGACCTCAAGGACGCGTATTGGCACGTCTCATTTCATCCGAGGTTCAGGGGACTGGCTCGATTTTGTTGTGGGATGTCAAGGTTACCACTTTCATTGTTTTCCATTCCGCTTGAATATGGCGCCTCGCATTTTCACACGCCTTACTCAGGTCGTGGTGGCCCGCCTGCATCTGTTAGGTGTTCGGGTTCTGGTGTACCTCGATGACTGGCTGGTTTGGGCTCCCAGCCAGTTCGTGTGTTTGCTTGCCAGGAATTTGGTTCTTTCCCAGCTTGCTGGGTTCGGGTTCCTGGTGAACTAGCGGAAATCCTATCTGGTTACCTCTCAGGTTCAGTCATGGCTTGTGGGATGCTTGGACTCCTTCCTTGTCTCTTCCTCCAGTGGCTCTGCTTCGCCTGTGTTCCCGCCTTCGTCTGTTCCTGTGGGGCTTCTGGTTCATGCGGTGGTTGCTCGAAGGTTTGTGCGGGAGCCTGAACTTTGCCATGTTGGTCTACCTACTGGGTCGGGTGTGGCTTCATCAGCTGTTCTGATTTCTTTGGGAACGTCCCTTCCGCCTCTCTAATATAATATAATATACATTTTATTAATATAGTATACGGTCTAATATAATATACATTATCTCGATAAACTCCAGGAAGCCTCCGGGGCTCACCCAGAAAATGGCATTTCATTACATTTGATAATGGTTTTTTCGCACGTTTTGAAATCCAGCCTCAGAATTGGGTTGTGGATAGCCGGCTTGGTGGATCTGGGGCTCTCCGTTCCCCCTCCTTTAGAGAGAGGTTTGCGCAGATGGCGACATGGTGACCTCATGCTCATTTGCTAATTTTCATTTGGGGAGTTCTGTCCACTTGTTCGGCTTTCAGTAGCAATATTTTAACCAGATTAGGGTAATTTTTTGGGGGGGAGCTTACCTCTGTGGGTGCCAGACCCCGGTCGATGGCAGACATAGAATGCTTCGAATCACACGGGGGGGGGGGGGGGGGGGTTCTATAGGCCATTGCTCCTTATGCCTCTTTAAGAGGGCCAGGTTCTGGCTCGTGGTCCACGGTAGGCCTAGAACTCCATGTGCATTGACTGATGCCAAGGTCTAATACATTCATATCAGCCTGGCTAACTCCTGGGAGCCTCTGGGTCTCACCCAGAAAATTGCATATCATTACATTCAATGCTGGTTTTATATATATCAGAGTTCTTACATTCCTGTAAAGTCACTAGTATGCATAGTGTTTTGGTTTAAATGAACAAATCCACAAGGGCCGTGACGAGGATTCGAACCTGCGTTCGGGAGCATCCCAAACGCTGCCTTAATCGACTGAGTTATGACATGGTCAAAAGATGCTTCCGGACGCAGACTCCAATCCTCGTCATGGCCCTTGTGGATTTGTTCATTTGATGCATCACGCTATTGTGATTTCTGTGTGTAATAAAGTTTCGTTATAGCGTTTAGTCCTCTTTTTCCCGGAATGTGACCCACCAAATTGTTTAACAACCAGGTACTAATTCACTGCTAGATGAACAGAGGCTACAGTTAAGGAATAGCACCCAGTCAATCCTCCCTGGCAAGGATACGAACCCAGGCTAAAGCGCTCTTGAAGCGCCGGGCGAGCGTCACATAAATTTGTAATGTACTCACTGAATCTTTATGGAGTTCCTAAAATATTATATATTTTCAGGCAAGAACAGATGCAGGTGATTTTGGAACATCAGTAGAACATCAAGAAATTGAAAAGAAGAGAAGAAAGGAGTTTATATCAAAAGTTGTTCCAAAATTAAAATCAGATCTAAGAATCAACACACAAACATATCGGGTATGGTATCTTACCTCTTTTTATCATTATTATTATTATTATTATTATTATTATTATTATTATTATTTACACACAGAAATTACACTAACATGATATATATCAATGAGAAAATCCACTAGGGCCGTAAGGTGGTGCGAACCTGCGACCAAGAGCGGGAGGAGCCGGTCGGCCGAGCGGACAGCACGCTGGACTTGTGATCCTGTGGTCCTGGGTTCGATCCCAGGCGCCAGCGAGAAACAATGGGCAGAGTTTCTTTCACCCTATGCCCCTGTTACCTAGCAGTAAAATAGGTACCTGGGTGTTAGTCAGCTGTCACGGGCTGCTTCCTGGGGGTGGAGGCCTGGTCGAGGACCGGGCTGCGGGGACACTAAGAGCCCCGAAATCATCTCAAGATAACCTCAAGAAGGCATTACCAGCTGCACACCCTACCACTGTACCACCGCTGACTTGTAAAAGTCATACAACCAGATTTCTTCTAAAATCACAGGAAGTCTGGAGGCCCCTACTGAAGCCAGACTAAGTTTTTATGTATGACCCACAAGCACTCGGAGTGGAGGGGCAAAGTGGTCCCACACCTTACGTAACTTAAGATACACACAGAAATCACACTGAAGTGATGTATATCAATGAGAAAATCCACTTGGACTGTGAGGTGGCACAAACCTGCGACCTAGGCATTGCCAGCCACATACAACACCACTGTGGATTACAAGTAATCAGTGGTACAGTGGTAGCATATGCGGCTGGCAATGCCTGTGTCGCAGGTTCCTGCCACCTCACAGCCCTAGTGGATTTTTCATTATTATTATATGTAATAATATGGAGCATAAAAAACTGCTCTTCATCCATACTAAATGTTTATTTTTTAAGACTATAAGCAAATAGTTCCAGTCACCTGGGCTCTAGGAGACCCCGAACTGTGGACCCCACGTGTAAGAGGCCGAGGGTTATCCACATGTTATCTACAGATGAGCATCTCAATGTCATGTGGATATGTTTGCTTCAGATCATCCCCCACAGTAGTTTTCCTGAACTTTAGCTCTAGCCATTACTGGTCAGACTTGACAATGGGCCTTTCCTCTATCCTTGCTTCAGCTAAGTAGCCATCCATCGTTATAGGCTTAGTCCTGTGCATGGGGGGCTTTGCTTAAGACATTTAACATGATTGTATGCTGATTACCTTCAGAGTTTCTTACATTCTGGCCACTTTAGCTTTATTTCTTCCAGAGTTTAGTTCTTGTGGTTTTTCTGTTCCCTCCTTATGGGGATCTCCTCCTAAGACTTTTACAGTTGCAAGTAGTTTAGGGGGGACTTGATTGCGGAGACAAAGCTTATTGAGGAGAGACGTGTTTTCTGTAGGGAGCCCCGTCAGCTGCCTGAAGCTGTCAACTGTTATGTGATATACTGTATTAGTTTAGATATGCTGTATTAGTTTAGGGTCATCAGTCACAGGAGTCCTTATGCCTACCGGGGACCACAAGCCAGAACCTGTTCCCCTCAGAGAGGCATAGGGAGCAATGGCCTGTGAGCACTTTACATTTAAAGTATGTCATAATTGCCATTGACTGGGAAAGGACCCAATAAGGTAGGTGAATCAGAACAGACCACTGTCTGGTTAACCTGTGCAATCTACATCTTAAAAGATTAAAATAACTCCCCCTAGAAAGAAACTAAACAAGCAACCCTTCATGCTCAAAGCTCTTAAAATGTTCTCTTTGAAAAGAAGATGAGAGAGGTATCAAATAATATATACATGGAAGATACTTGAAGGCCAGGTACCAAATTTGCACAGTAGAATAACAACATACTGAAACGAATGATACGGAAGGAAATGCAGAATAGAACCAGTGATCTCACAAAACCCTCTCCAGGTATGCGACTAGCACTTCTGCTCATTAATGCCAACCCCCCTCCCTCATCCCCAGTAGGGGGAAGGAAGAGCCCACCACACCAGTTCTAACACTGATGTGCTGGTGTTCAGTTCAGTCACCTCTGGCCTCAAGTTCCTGTTCTAGATTTTTGCCCTGTGTAGCTGTTCCAGCTATGTGTGGTGTGGTTATCTTGAGGTTATCTTGAGACGAATTCAGGGCTTTAGTGTCCCCGCGGCCTGGTCCTCAACCAGGCCTCCACCCCCAGGAAGCAGCCCGTGACAGCTGACTAACACCCAGGTACCTATTTTACTGCTAGGTAACAGGGGCATAGGGCGAAAGAAACTCTGCCCATTGTTTCTCGCCGGCGCCCGGGATCGACCCCGGGACCACAGGATCACAAGTCCAGCGTGCTGTCCGCTCGGCCGACCGGCTCCATGCTCCATACTGTTATTGTTTTTATTACACTATTTACACATGTTATATATACCTATCTACACCTGGCAGCCAGGTGTCTTAGTGTTCAGGAGCAGCATGTGCCTTGGGAGACCTTCCCCTAAATGCTCTGTGAGTAATGCCTTTGTGTGTCAGGGGTTATCTTCCCTGGGGCCTTCAGTAATCACTCCACGTTTGAGGACTTTATTGATTGATGTTGTCTTTGCTCTTGGTGTACGTCGGGGGTCTAGAGCTTTCCATCTTGCCCCGGGTAAGGGGCAAGATAGCTTCGTGGTTCGCTATGGGGAACACACATGTACATGGGTATATACAGTGTGTGTGTGTATAGTGTAATAACAGCAACAGGAGTATGTTGAGTGGAGCTATTTTGGTGAGGGAGGTGACGTCGTAATCGTAGCGTCGTCTGCTGTCTGCTGTGTGATTTCTCATGCAGTGTATGGTAGCCACTGTACTGTTTGGACACAATACCGGCTTACTTGCATAGTTTTGGTAAATAAAACATGTAGATAGGTATATATAACATGTGTAAATAGTGTAATAAAAACAATAACAGTATGGTGGGGAGGAGCAATGTTGGCGAGTAAGATGTTGGCGTGAGGGAGGGCTGGCTGAGTGTGGCTGCTCACACTCGCGGTGTTCTGAATGTGTTGATGGTGAATGTGTATAGTGTGTGACAGTGTATAGTGTGTACATATGTTGTAAATATACATAAATGAACATGAAACATTGGTGTCAATAACTGTATAATGGGAGGAGCAATGTTGGCGAATACAATGTTGGAGGAGTGAGGGAGGGCTGGCTGGGTGTGACAGCTCACACTCGCAGTGTTCTGAGTGTGTTGATGGTGAATGTATATAGTGTGTGACAGTGTATAGTCTGTAAATTGATTGTATATATACATAAAGTATCATGATACATGGTAAATATGTGCAACATATGTGTACACAAGTGTCATGCATGTAACAGTGTCCTCGGACAGTACGGATGTTTTACTGCCATACTATAGTGTACGTGTTCATTATACATAGGATTAGCACATAAAAACAAATAAAATGTATTTGGAATTGTGCACAAAAAATTAACAAAAATATATTCGCGGCAACTCGCGCGTCCCGCTCCGGGAGCATACGTCACGGGCGAACAGGGAATGATGACGTCACGCGCCAACTTACGGACCCCATAGCAGCCAAAGTAAGTATAATTTAGAAAAAAAATTTGACATACCCATACTGAGGGAAGGGGTTTTGACACTTTAAAAAAAAAAAAAAAAAAAATCCAGAGACTTTATTTCCTGCGCACTGGGGGGGGGGGGGGTGTCATATTTGGAGGTGGCTCAGTTAAAGGGTTAATTAATTTGTATAGCTAGTTTATGTGCAACTTAGGTAATTATTCTCCATAGATGAGTTTGTGCTTATAATTTTCAGTTATATTATGAAGTAATAGGATGCTGATGAAGAATATTTGCCGGTGTGTGGTTATTCAGTATGAAATTGAATGTACAGGTATCATTTTAAATGTCTAGTGTTATTTTACTATACTTCTCCAATGAAAGTGGGAAATGGGTAAATGACGATACTTGCTTTTTAGCAAGACTTCATAGTACTGTATTATGTATTTTATCTCCTATATTTATAAATTAGTAATTTGAATAAGCAAAGTCCAATGATTTTTAGTTAATACTGTTTATTTTCAGGACATGGTTCAGTCTTTCCTGCTTATGCTAACACAACACGAAGACCAAAACCTACATTTGCTGAGCACACGTCTTGATTTCAACGAGTATTATCACAACCGTGACGACCGCCTCAATCAACGCCTCACTTATCATCACAAGCGGAAGAGTATGGGCACATCCTTCTGCCAATGATCTCACATGCCTGTAATTACTGTTCATGGTACATTATTTGAGTGCTTGATTTCCTATGGTGAAATATGTTCTTACTGATCTGTGATTATAGGGCTTATGGGCATCTCCACCGAGCCATGTGGAGCCACCAATGAGGAGAACCACCCATGGTGTGGATTCAAATGTCATTAAAAAATAATTCGTAAGATCCAGTGTCACTACTGTGCTAAAAAATAAAAAAAAACTTTTTTTTTTGCCTTGCTTGGCTTTATCTTCCGAACACACAGAGTATACTGTATAACTTGATATATTACTGGATTAACCTTTGGCAAAGCATACTGATTTACTGTGAACTAAACTATAAATTGTACTTCATAAAATTATCTTCAAAAAGATATCAATACTACAGATTATTATTACAGTATTATTACTGCCACCACCACCAGGGTGGGACGTAACACCAAAACCCACCAGAGCTTCTTGAAACCAACCATGCCTATATAAAACTAATACAAAATACTGTATACCGATCTTATTAAAGCCCGAGTCAACTAACTACTAAATCCCACCTAGCCGACCAAAACCCCCCTAAACACGCTAGTACCTGCCAAAACTCACAGTGCCAATAAAAACCTCAATCTACTCAAAACCAAACACATGTTAAGTGTGAGAAAGTCTTGGGAGTAGGATGGGGGGGATGGTTCTGACGTCCTGTGTCACCCCCCAGTGTTGCATCGCCCCATTTGTAGACTATATTCATGATGCTGTGGAAATCATAATTATACATCTGATATTTGCAAGAATCTAGAAAACAGTTTAGTCATGAGTTATTTCTATCCCTTTAGGGTTTTTGTGGTTTGCTATTAACATTTGTTTTTGAACTTTAAATGCCCACTGATCTTATTTTATAGATCAAGTGTGAAGAATATTTCTATTGGGGTGGTACGGCATCATAATGCTAGGATGATGCAACATAATGCTGGGCTGGAGCAGTGTTATAATTCTGGGGTGGTGCAGCATCATAATGTTGGGATGGTGCAGTATCATAATACTGGGATGGTACAGCATCATTATGCTAGGATAGTGCAGCAACATCACTACCACAGCACCTCTGTACCACATCACCACCACCATACCATAGCAACTCCATATCACATCATCACCATATCACCTCCATACCACATCAGCATATCACCTCCATACCACATCACCACTGCACCTTCATACCATTTCACCACTTTCATACCACATCACCACCACAGTACCACATCATCACCACAGCACCTCCATACCACATCACTACCACAGAACCACAACACCACATCACCATGCCTTTCTACCCTTTTCTTAGAGCAATCTATGCTTATTACACAAGTTTGAACCCATACTTGGCACCCTGTTTTGATGACCATGCCTTGTGCATGCCACAATGTCTTTTAATTCACTACAGCAGACTGTACTCATTGCACAATTCGCTACAGCACACTGTATTCATTGCACAATTCACTACAGCACACTGTATTCATTGCACCACTTGTTCTGTATCAGTTAATAATCCAGTCTGGGAACACCGCTCTTAATCATCTACGATCAGAACACATCTAGTAATATTTGTTTTAGGTGTAACTGATTTGATAGACAATAAATATTCAACCTACACTGCAGCTGAAGCCTGCTTTGCAATGTTTCAGTTTCATTATTTTTGTATAAGGTTTTGTTAGTTTCATTATGTTCTACTTTTTTTCTCCCCACAGGGTATTCAGTGGGTTAGGTAATTGTTGGTTGGGTTGGTTTCAAAATTTATTCATGCTGCATTGTCTCTCTGTTATCTTTTTTGTAAATTTGTTCTTTAAACCCAATGAGTGAAATATTACTCTGCAATGTAAATTTTTATTTTTATTATACTGTATGTCCTTGTATATTTTTATAAGTGATATTCCAGCTGACCCCAGGATATGACGATATAAAAATATTTTGGGGAAAACAATTTGGTTCTAAAGACCTTAATTTGAGATCTATTTGCACACAGTTTTGCGTTTCATCAATATTATAGAGTGAAATTTGCTAAAAATATTTTGTTTATAAAAATTACATTTAAATTTCATATTTATATAAATGTACAAACATTTAAGAAAGATTAATGTGTGCTGTAGCTCCAAAAATCTATAAATTGGTAAGATGGTGCACATGTTACAAGATCATTATATTCTAAGGTGTTACAGCTTAGAATATGATCCATATTTTACCTGCTACAACTCGTGCTTCAAGTTTACGTGTTACAACATTATGCTCAATGTTTACTTACTGCAGCATCATGCACCAGGTTTACTTAATGGTCTCACACCTTTTAATACATTAAAGATCTATGAATACATTTTTTTATATACTGTAATTCATATTAAATTAAATTTACTGAATGAGTTCCCATTGAACTCCGGCATCACCTTGAGAATGCATCCATCTACAAAATTATTTTGTTGAATCTTGGTTTGGAAGAGATGCTTTCCTTGTTTACTAGCTTGAAATGGTTGTAGCTCAGGTTTACTGTAGCAGAAAATCCATGTTTTTCAATTTGAGAAACCTCTGTAAGACCAAGAACTCACAGGGATGATCAGTCTCATCTGTAATCAGTTGACTTGTGCCTCAAGTGTCATTTCTATATAGTATTTTTGTATTGCTTTGTTTATTATTTTATTTATAATCACTCTCAAGGGGAATAAAAATATAAATCAACAAGGTACTATTTTCAGGGTTGCCATTACTAGAAGGATGCCTAGCAAGAATGATCAGATCTGAGGATCCCTACTAGAGTTCAAAGGTACTATGAATTTGTAGTAGAGTCCATGCTAATGTAGTGCTTCAGTTCATATCAAATCAAGCACCATTGTATCTCGCAGCAGACAAAAAATATTTTGCAAAAAAAAACAAAAAAAATTGACCAGTGGTCTTATCAACCAGCAGGTATCATTTATGCATGTATTTTTTTCTTAGTCACATAATTTTAACCGGTTAGCTTGCTTAGGATTTTATCTTGTTTAGTCTTTTCTTCCCAGTTTTGATGGGTGCAGCACACTTTAGGGTGCTCTCAGTAACACATGGTGCCAAACACACTGACAGCAGTCATCCTGTTGACAGGCAGCCGTCAGCCATGTAGACGTTTTATTCAAGTTCTGTAATATTCACAGTTTAGTATGCCATTTTATTTAGCTGTACTGCTTTTTTTAATAAATAAATAATAAGACATGCAAGTGGGATAATGGATAATGTGTGCATCACTCGGTCCATCAGCTATACATCATTTGGTGTGCCTAGTAGTACCTTGTGTTGGGTGACAGTGTGAACAGCATCCTTGGCTAGAGAACCTTGACTGGCCTGACAAACTTCCTAACTCTGACAGTGGAAAATCAGATGAAGCCACTTGGAACACTCACAGATGCGCTTGAAGTAGTTATTGATCTATTATTCATGAGTAAGATAACCATCACAGATGAGACATGTTTAATGTGTTGGGTAAATACAGCTGAGTGTACATGTATAATGTGTCGGGTAAATACATGAAAATGGTAACGAATTACCTAAATGACCAGAAATTGATATTTTTTTCAGAAGGTTCTTCACAATATATGAGGCACAGATAATCTACCATATAAAGTAATATAAAAACACAAATAAAAATAACTAATATTTTTGTGGATACTGTACTTCATTGGTAGCTACCCAATTTGTTTTTTTCAGTTAAGGCATATATTTAATATCGGTATCTGGTTGAATTTCTGAGGAAAGTCGGGCCTGTCACCATGGAAATATAAATCGGCGACTAAATTATTTTTCTGAACTGTTCCATTCAACCACTCACCGAGGCTAAACCTAATTGGTCCCATGAACAGGATCACTTTGAGTCAGGAAAGTCAACATTCTGCAGCAAGAGTCTTTTCAAATTTCATACCATGCCATGTTAGGGAGACATCAGGGAATGCTCAATCCAGCATTGAATGATATCTAGAAAGCACATCCCAATAAATCTAAAGCCCTTGTAAATTTTACTTGGCATCAGAGAGACCGCCAAGCAGCACACTTACTTACTACTGGTTAGTCCACCCAGTTGCAGCACCTTCTCGACAGTAAGATTCCTCGACTCATGCCTCTTCATTGAGCGTTGTGGAGTGCAGTGGTTTTTGTTAAGCTCTTCATGTGAACTCACCTAGTTGTGCTTGCAGGAGTTAAGCTTTGGCTCTTTGCTCACGCCTCTCACTGTCAATCTACTGGTGTACAGATTCCTGAGCTTCTCGAGCTCTATCATATCTACATTTGAAACTGTGTATGGAGTCAGCCTCCACATCACTTCCTTCCTAGTGCATTCCATTTACTAACTACTCTGACAATGAAAAAGTTATTTCTAATGTCCCTGTGGCTCATTTGGGTACTTGGCTTCCACCTGTGTCCCCTTGTGCATGTACCACTTGTGTTAAATAATAATTTTAAATAAAAGGATATAACCAGGTGCTACCACAACAGAATTTGTCTTTGAGAATGTGAGGTGAGACCTTACAAAATGCATCACTAGGCATCAGACCCAAATAAAAAGTAAAAATGAACTTTGGAGAGTTAATTTTTAATCTTCCTGCTTCAGTGAAGAAAAACATAAGGAATATCAAGAAGATTCGTGCCAGAATCACAAATCTAAAACTTTGTTGTTTTCAACAAAATTAATGATACTGTATATATATATATATGTCATACCTAACAGCTAGAATGCACTTCTCGGCCTACTATGGCCCGATTTGCCTAATAGGCCGAGTGATTTTCTTTATTTTCAATAAATTGTTTCCAATTAGTTTATTTTCATTATTATTATTATATTTAGACCATAATTTATTGACTTAGTTGTGTTAGGTTAGGTAGGGTTGGTTAGGTTCGCTCATATATCTTCGTTAGTTTTAACTCAAATTTAAACAAATTAACTTGTACATAATGAAATGGACAAATTTATCATTTCATAAGAAAAAAATTAGAAAAAATATATAAATTCAGGAAAACTTTGCTTATTAGACAAATTGGACCTTGCATAGTAGGCCGAGTACAACATTCTGGCTACTAGGTACAACATACATACATACATACATACATAAATACATACATACATACGTATATATATATATATATATATATATATATATATATATATATATATATATATATATATATATATATATATATATATATATTAATTATTTTATATATATTTATATTTTTGAACTGACCTAGTCTCTCAATAAGGTGCTGGATTTACTTACTTTAGATAGGTTTACCACCCTTTTTCTTCCTGCCCCTTCTTTTGAAGCTCTTACTATTAAAACTATTTTGACTGGCCCGTTCTTGCTACTGACAGTCAAGACTGAACTCTGTTCTTTGTCGCCCTGGATGCATCTCATTCTGTCGTGGAAATGCTCTTATACATTTTCATCTTATCCAGAATTTTTTGGCAAAATAAAGAAACAAGTGCATTCTTCAGGGGACCCTTTTCTTGTTTTAGGCTGAGTTTGTTCATGCTTTTGTTTACCTTGTGTTCTGTCCAGGTTTGTACTTGCACTGTTATCTTTTTACCTTCTAACATTTTCAGTGTGTAGCTTTGTTTCTTATTCACTGTACATTGTTTCCCATTACTTCTTCCAGCTGTTGTGTAGAGTGGTCAAGCTGAGGTAACTGCAGGTTTATCCTTGTGGCCCATAACCCACAGGAGCTCAGCATCTTGAAGGTGATCGCTCAGTGATGTTTTGCACTCACATCACGACTGAGGCATTTTGGAAGGCAAACCTTATGTGTGGGCTTTCTTCCAAGTAATCTACACTTCTTGTCGGTTCGGGGCACTGGAATGTGCGTCTTGTCAACCTCTGGATACTTTCTTTCCTTGTCGCTTCTGACACGACTGCAGAACAGATGAGTTTTACCCAATTGCGTATGCCCTGAGCCTTCCTTTAGGAAGCAGCCAAGTGTAAATGAAAAGATCTGTCACCTATCCCCCTGTGTTTTATGTTTCTTTTGGGCGTCTGAATGGAATGTTAGGAGGCTCATATTGGAAGGCCTTGTTTTGGTGTGATGTTGCCACCTGGTGGTGGTTGCAGGAGGCAACCAGGTCAGTCAGCCAGTAATTAGCAAGAGTGTCTGACAGTGTCTTATGTCAAGTAGTGATTGGATAGGGTTTGAACTTATTGGGATGTTCCTTATAGAGGTCATTCTATGCTGGATTTAACATTCTCCAGTGCCTGGCAACATATTTCTTGGCCTGGACAGTTTGAAGATATTTCCACCATACCAGTGGAAAATGTTCACTCTATCCTGACTGAATATGATCTTGCCTCAAGGAATGACTGTGTATCCTTGGAAAAAGAGCTTTTCATATACAATCAGAGCCTAATTTTTATGGTATTGTTTGCTCTTAACAGTTTGGTTAAATATTACTTAGTTTAAAACTTCTTTTGCCCAAAAAATGCACTTCATACCTCCTATATTTTTGGCTGAGGTGAAATGCTGTGTTTTATAATGAAATTTGTATATAACAAAGTGCTCTTCATGGCTCATTAAATTTTTTAGTGTAGTGTAAAGTATTGTATATGTTTACTGTGTCAAATTATTATATTTACAAGTGACAATACTTGATGAATAGAGTTAATGCATAATTAATATACATGTGTTTTCAGTTTTTGACTTTTATTTAAAAATGTCCATAAATTATGAGTTATCTATAAAAATAACAAAATCCAAATGTATATTTAAAACAAAGGAATTTTGATACACCATAAGCTATGCTTTCAACCTGTTAACATCGAGACCTATCAAGCGTCTGCCAACAAGTGTTAGTTATGCCACTGGAACAACAATGGAAACTTTCAAGATTGATCTTTGCAAGTTTCTGCTGGAGTTACTGGAAGAGCCTGGCTGCAATAGCTGTGTGGGTCTGCTGACTATGAAGACAAACAGCTGCACAGACCAGACAATCAACAAGGAAGGCTGGCCCTTGCATGTATTGGGGTTAGTTATATGGCTGGTTATAGGAACTGGCACTCAACACATTAATCCTACCTCTCTAGACATTTTCCCATTTCCTACCTCATTATGGACAGTAAGTTCTATCATTAGCATATCCTTCTCACAGGTTACACAGTGACTTCTGCTGTTTCGTGGAGCTGGTGTGGTGACTGAGGGCATGCCTCATTAAAAAATATCGCCCATTGGTTTTCCTTTGCACTTTGCTTTTTATCAGTAGCATTTTTGCTGTGGTCGATTCCTTTTTTGATTAATGATTATCAGTTAACTCAAAATTCTTATCAAATTAAGCTAATAAATATTCTTGACACCCATTATCTTCAAAGGATTTTTCATTACAACATGCATACATACACCCAAACCATGAGGATATTCACATATAACGTTACCTATGTCATATGTCAGGTTTTTGTGCACACAACTTGAGAAAGATTAGACAGCTTGTTTAATGAGATAATTTGTACATTAACGTGATTTGTCAATGCCCTGAATGTTTCATCTTCTTTTCTTCTCATCTGTTTACAATTGAACCTATTTACCAGCACCTGCATATTTTATCTCAAGCATTGAGCCAATGCTGTTTCCATTTCACACAATCAGTAAATGGTCTCATTTTTAAAAGTGAACAATAGTATGTTTTAAATAGTTGGCAGCAGTATAAATACGAGCAGGGAAGTTGTAATAAGTTAGGGAAGAGTGGTAGGAGACGGAATAGTATAATGATAGGAAGTACAAATAATTAGTACAGTATAAGAAAGGAAAAGAAAGGAATAAGAGATAGTGAAGGGGGGTATGGGCTAAAGAACTTAATGGTTTGCGTGTTGATAGAACCTCTCAAATGGAGAAAAAGAAAGAAATATGTAATTTTAATCATTCAAGATGAAGGTTTATTATCTCCAATGGGAAATAATAACCAAAATAATAATTTACGTTAAAGAAACTTCTGGTATGGCAATTCCTTCATGGGGAGCTCGCAAGGATGCACTAGTAAGCTGTAAGGGCTATAGGATAAGGTAGAATTTTGTGTAAATTGAAAAATGCCCAAACATCTGCATCAGTTTTGGAATACCCCCATAGAGTACTGGTACTCTTTCTTACGGTCCACTTACTAGTTGAAGTTGCTCTGTTGAGTACAAATAAGAATTAATTGAATGAACAACAGGGGGTCAGGTCACACCCACAGGTGTGAGCGAGAACCCACTGGTCTGAGCGAGCACCCACAGGTGTGAATAAGCACCCACAGGTGTGAATAAGCACCCACAGGTGTGAATAAGCACCCACAGGTGTGAGCGAGCACCCACAGGTGTAAGCGAGCACCCACAGGTCTGAGCGAGCACCCACAGGTCTGAGCGAGCACCCACAGGTGTGAGCGAGCACCCACAGGTCTGAGCGAGCACCCACAGGTGTGAGCGAGCACCTACACGTGTGAGCGAGCACCCACAGGTGTGAGCGAGCACCCACAGGTGTGAGCGAGCACCCACAGGTGTGAGCGAGCACCCACAGGTGTGAGCGAGCATCCACAGGTCTGGCCGAGCACCCACAGGTCTGGCCGAGCACCCACAGGTCTGGCCGAGCACCCACAGGTCTGGCCGAGCACCCACAGGTGTGAGCGAGCACCCACAGGTGTGAGCGAGCACCCACAGGTGTGAGCGAGCACCCACAGGTGTGAGCGAGCACCCACAGGTGTGAGCGAGCACCCACAGGTGTGAGCGAGCACCCACAGGTGTGAATAAGCACCAACAGTTCTGAGTGAGCACCCACAGGTCTGAGCGAGCACCCACAGGTCTGAGCGAGCACCCACAGGTGTGAGAGAGCATCCAATGATGTGAGCGAGCACCCACAAGTGTGCGCGAGCACCCACAGGTGTGAGCGAGCACCCACAGGTGTGAGCGAGCACCCCACAGGTGTGAGCGAGCACCCACAGGTGTGAGCAAGCACCCAAAGGTGTGAAGAAGCACCCACAGGTCTGAGCGGGCACCCACAGGTGTGAGCGAGCACCCACAGGTGTGAGCGAGCACCCACAGGTGTGAGCGAGCACCCACAGGTGTGAGCGAGCACACCTGTGCTGGTGCTCGCACCAGCACCTGTGGGTGCTCGCTCAGACGTGTGGGTGCTCGCTCACACCAGTTGGTGCTTGTTCAGAACTGTGGGTGCTCGCTCACACCTGTGGGTGCTTGTTCACACCTGTGGGTGCTCGCTCAGACCTGTGGGTGCTTGTTCAGACTAGTGGGTGCTCGCTCACACCAGTGGGTGCTTTTGCAGACCTGTGGGTGCTCGCTCACACCAGTGGGTGCTTAGTCGGACCAGTGGGTGCTCGCTCACACCAGTGGGTGCTCGCTCACACCAGTGGGTGCTTGTTCAGACCTGTGGGTGCTTGTTCAGACCTGTGGGTGCTCGCTCAGACCTGTGGGTGCTCGCTCACACCAGTGGGTGCTTGTTCAGACCTGTGGGTGCTCGCTCAGACCTGTGGGTGCTTGGTCAGACCTGTGGGTGCCCGCTCAGACCTGTGGGTGCCCGCTCAGACCTGTGGGTGCTCGCTCAGACGAGTGGGTGCTTGGTCAGACCTGTGGGTGGTCGCTCACACCTGTGGGTGGTCGCTCACACCTGTGGGTGCTCGCTCACACCTGTGGGTGCTCGCTCACACCTGTGGGTGCTCGCTCACACCTGTGGGTGCTCGCTCACACCTGTGGGTGCTCACACACACCTGTGGGTTCTCGCTCACACCTGTGGGTTCTCGCTCACACCTGTGGGTTCTCGCTCACTCCTGTGGCTGCTCGCTCACACCTGTGGGTGCTCGCTCACACCTGTGGGTTCTCGCTCACTCCTGTGGCTGCTCGCTCACACCTGTGGGTGCTCGCTCACACCTGTGGGTTCTCGCTCACTCCTGTGGCTGCTCGCTCACACCTGTGGCTGCTCGCTCACACCTGTGGGTGCTCGCTCACACCTGTGGGTTCTCGCTCACTCCTGTGGCTGCTCGCTCACACCTACACATAGTACCAGTTCCCCCATAGCAAGTCCACCATTTTCATAACACCCACCATTCAAGTATCATACACAACAGTCACCAAGAACGGTAATGAGAATCTTGGTCTTCTTAAAGCTGTCACACTTGAAACAATTGCCTCTTCCATCAAAAATTTTAAATCTCACGAGCACTGTGTGTACACCAACGGGTCAGTCCAATGTTGTTCTGGACGGACTGCAGCAGCATGTAGGTTTTATATAAATAATATTTGCACACAGACTGTCAGTGTCAGTTTAAACAACGGGGCTGACCTCCGCACAAACAAAATTAGCGGCATTACAACTAGCTACCAGAACATTAAAAAACATTGGAGGAGGAATAATATTTTGTGATTCAATGTCTGCTCTTCAAGCAATCGAAAACTTCTGGAAGGTCCAGGAAGATCCAGGATCTCCCAAGATCTTCCAGGATCTTCCAGGATTGTTTGGATACCATCACACACAAATATAACCCATCATAATGAGACAGACATTGCAGCCAAATTAGCATGTAACAAAGATAAAGTTGAATTAGACCTAAGTATCCCCCATCTCTGCTGTCAAAACTATATTGTACCAACCACTCAGATCTGATAGGAGAGAAATTACTGATTCCCAATGACCTGAAAGCACCAGTATAAAAACCTATGAATTCTTCAGATTTGAAACTTATGTTTACAGGCAGCACAAATCAACCACTGTGCGACACAGTGGTTGCCAGAATCAGATTGGGTTACCGTTTCCTGTGGCAGGTTGCTACAGGTGACGGGTCTCCCAATCCTGAGCACTCCAGGTGCAAACTCTATGACCAGGAACTGGGAGTTGGGTGGCAACCACTGGCCGGGTCGGACGTTCCTGAGGTCTCTCCGCTCCTGCCTAGTGTTTTCGATGGACGATTGCTGGTTGCCCTGCCTGGTGGAGGTGGTTTGCCACTGACAGGGTGACGTTTGGATTTGCCATGGGGACTTCTGGACCTCCAGTGAAGAGAACATTGTCGGCTGGTCTGACATTTACGGTGCCAGTGGACCATCTGTTAGTTGGTGTCGGCCTGGTGGACGTGCTACATATTCAGCTGTCGGAATTAGCGGGCGTCCAGCTGCATCAGGGTAACTGCCCCTCCGTGGTGCCTCCTTGCCGTGGTGAGGGGCTCACGTACACCTCCCTGGGACCGGTGTGGGTTGCCTGTGCCCCCTCTCCTGCCCCCTCTTTGGGTGGTGTACATGCTAAAGGGCACCAGGTAGGGGCCTTGTGAGCCATCGGACCACCCGCTGGAGGGGTCGCCTGTGAGGGGCCGCCCTGAGTGGATCCATCAGGGAAATAACCACTTTTGTCATATACATCAATGCCACAGATGAGAATATTACGAACATCAAATGTGCAGGTGAAACAAGATCTATGGTAAAGTGGGAGGTGAAAATGCCGTGAAATCCCACGACATGACACGTGACAACCCACATTACTTCTTTTGACTCTCCATGACACAATATGTGTCCCTTCACACTATCTCTTGTGACTTTCTACTATTCGACATGGAGACACCCCAGGACACGACATGTGTCCCTTCACACTATCACTTGTGGCTCCCTACATTACGACATGGGACACCCCTCGACAGGACACATGTTGCAGGAGAGGCTACCATAATGGTACACCGGGAAATAAGTCGTCATTCAGCAGGCACTGACCAAAAGCTTTCTGCTGTAAACTGATCAGAAGTATTTAAGAGATGATCTATCACGACAATCGTGCCTTCACCAGCCACAACAAGACGTCTGGGGTTGAACACTGCTTATGGCGTGTTTACCAGGTAAACTGGAGTAGTGTGAGGAATTAGATGAACAACGCAGCAAACACAAAACGTTTCTGAATCGTTTTAATGGGTTTAAGAAAAGTCACACTGTAGTTATTTATATTAAGTCATTTATCTAACATTTAATTTCCAAAATACAAACTTTAAATATTTTATAGAAAATACATAATATTAATTCCTCACCAACACTGTCCCATGCTGCCATTCTCACCAACACTGTCCCATGCTGCCATTCTCACCAACACTGTCCCATGCTGCCATCCTCACCAACACTGTCCCAAGCTGCCATCCTCACCAACACTGTCCCATGCTGCCATCCTCACCAACACTGTCCCATGCTGCCATCCTCACCAACACTGTCCCATGCTGCCATCCTCACCAACACTGCCCCATGCTGCCATCCTCACCAACACTGTCCCATGCTGCCATCCTCACCAACACTGTCCCATGCTGCCATCCTCACCAACACTGTCCCATGCTGCCATCCTCACCAACACTGTCCCATGCTGCCATCCTCACCAACACTGTCCCATGCTGCCATCCTCACCAACACTGTCCCATGCTGCCATCCACACCAACACTGTCCCATGCTGCCATCCTCACCAACACTGTCCCATGCTGCCATCCTCACCAACACTGTCCCATGCTGCCATCCTCACCAACACTGTCCCATGCTGCCATCCTCACCAACACTGTCCCATGCTGCCATCCTCACCAACACTGTCCCATGCTGCCATCCTCACCAACACTGTCCCATGCTGCCATCCTCACCAACACTGTCCCATGCTGCCATCCTCACCAACACTGTCCCATGCTGCCATCCTCACCAACACTGTCCCATGCTGTCATCCTCACCAACACTTTCCCATGCTGCCATCCTCACCAACACTGTCCCATGCTGCCATCCTCACCAACACTGTCCCATGCTGCCATCCTCACCAACACTGTCCCATGCTGTCATCCTCACCAACACTTTCCCATGCTGCCATCCTCACCAACTGCTATAGGTATGAGAAAGAAGGTAACTCGCACACAAATAATGAATTTAAAATTTGATGAGTGTCCTTGGAGAGTGTCCTTGTCCACTGAGAGAGCGGAGGCGCATGCGCCTCAGGTAAGCACAATGGACAATGAAATTTATTGCAATACGCGCTCACAACATCACCGCCACCCCTACCAACAACACCACCATCCCACCATTCACTTGCCTGCGTCACCATCACCACTACACATCTGTTGCCGCTCACACCTGCCGTCTACACCACTACCACTACCCACCTGCCGGTGCCACCACTACCCACCTGCTGTCGCCACCACCACTACTAACCTGCTGCCACCACCACCAGTGCCCACCTGCCAGTGCCACCAACCATCACAACTACCATACCACCACTCGCCTACCACTGAGGTCTCCAAATCTACAACACCTGCGACTACTGTTGGCAGGTTTGTTTACATCTTGGGAATCATAAGAGGTTTATATGCTATACTAAGGGCATCTCATTACTAACGAATTTTACCTTATTTTTCTCAGTATATATCAAGCTGTTGATAGAAGAAAGGATTGCGACGTTCTATATTTTTACTTTAGCAAAGCCTTTGTTATGTACCTCATGAGAGACTCATTAACAAGTTAGAGGCACATATTTGGGGATGTTATTTTCAGTTGGATTCGGGCTCCGTTATTTTAAAGAAAATCAAGAAGTTAGTATAAAAGAGTTATGTCCGAGTGAGAGACTTGTAAGTGGAATGTCCTAGGACTGTCCCTTGGGCCCCTATTGTTTACCTTATATGTGAACGATTTAGATATAGAATTTCACATCAATAACAAATTTGCAGACGATATAAAAATAGTGCTGGAATAATTTCCGACACAAAATTGCTATGAAACTATCTATATAGGCTTTCAACATGAACGAGCTTGACAGATACAGTTTAATGCTAAAAAAATGTAAGGTTCTGAATATAGGTAATGCTAACAGAGTTACCAGATATCAACTGGACTATATTGAAATTGTGATGTTTAAATTCGAGAAAGAGATAAGTTTGTATTCTGATGCCTAACTGTATTAGTTGGCATCTCTCTACCACTGAGAGTATTGTCTCAGTTGGCATTACAACTTCACTACAATGAGAGTTTCGCCCTAGCAGCCGTGGAGTGAGGACGTCTTGCCGACCCTACTTGAAATGGGGTTGTTTGCCATTTTGGTTGCCAGGTGGTGTAAGCGTCTCTGCCCTCCCAGTCTGTTGCTGCCTGGCTGCGTGTTGACGTGGCAGTTCTGACATGGGAGGCCATCTTCCCCCTGTTGTGCGTGTGAACTCTGTGGGCCTGAAGTTCACTAGTAAGGCTGGATATCCGACATTGAGATGGCTATGTTTGACATGCTTCGTATCCCGGTGGAGGCTTTCTACGGTGTTGAGCTTGTTACAGCCCACCGGGTTGTTATCAAGTTCGTGAGGGAGGAGGAGTACCCGGACTTCTTCCGTCGGTACGAGGGGCATACGTTGCCGTTGCCGGGTGATGCCGGCTCGATGGCGATTTCGGATCGTAGTGGTGCCCTGACTTATGTCAGTGTCCATGGAGCGCCCCTGGAGTTCCCTGAAGACCTCCTCCGGCGTTACTTTGGGAGGTATGGTGCAGTTGTCAGCGTGCGGGTGAACACACTCTCCTCGGGAAGGTATACTGGAAGGCGGACGAACATTCGTACCTTGGGAATGCGCCTGCAGTCGGATATACCATCTTCTGTCCGCCTGATGGGTTACTACGTCTGGGCAGCCCAGCAGCCCCGTACCTCTTTCCGGTGTGGCCTGTTGCGGCATCAGGCTGCCTGGTGCTCTGAGGCCCCAGCTGCTCCTGTCAACTTGTTCCGGGAAGAGGATTTCCCGCCGCTCCCTCAGGGCGAGGATTCTGGGGATGAGGAGGTGTGAGTCCCGTTAGCTGCTGAGGCCCCCCCTTGCGACGCCCGATAAGCCTCCGGTAGTTGCTGTCCCTCCTCTGGGTATTGCGGTGCCGTCGGTTGGTCTACCTGCTCCCGTCACTGTCCTTGCTGCTCCCGAGGGCCTTCCTGGTGCTCCCTGTGCAGAGGCACCGTCTTCTCCCACGTCTTCGGCTGCTACGCCTGGCCCTGTGTCCGTGCCTTGGGTCCCGGATGTGCTGGGGTGGATCCGGCGCTTCCTCCTGTTCCTGGCCTGGTGCCCCATGTGGTTGAGGATGCTGCCGTTCTGCGACGTGCATCGGTTCGGCCGGCTTGTGTTGCGCGTGTCTCTGAGTCCGCCTCCGGGTCTGACGATGTGCGGCCTGAGCCTTAGCGTTCCCGGCATTCTTCTCAAGTCTGGGCCGACGTTGGCGAATTCGGCGATTGTGGATTTTCTGGCGGCGGCGGGGTGGCCCGGGTGTGTTGAATAGTACGGTGGTGGCTAGGTGCATTTGCCTGAGGATGCCGGTGCCGGTGTTTCGGCCTCCGCTTCAGATATGGTGTCTGTGGATCCTGCTTCGGGAGCATCGCCTCCGTCGGATGGCTCCAGTTCTACATTGGGGTGGTTTCCCCTGCTGAGGTTGGTGGTGAGCGGGGTGTCCTGGTGGTGGTGTTGAAGAAGGCTGGTCACTCTGAGGATTCTGTTGCCCCTTCCTCGGCGGCGGTCTCGACGCCCCTTCCATCTTCGGCCGTCTCTTCAGTACCTCCTGCAGTCTCGGTGGAGATGTTACCATCTCGTCGAACGTCCCCTGCTCCTGTGCGTACGGCGGCGCGGCCGTCTCGGCAGCCCTCGTACGCTTCTTCGGTGTCATCTGCTTCCTCGAAGGGTGTGGTTTGCGCTCCCCAGCCTCGTTATGCGACTTGCGTCAGTGAGCTTCGGGAATGGCCGATGCCGCCTGATCTGGAGGTTCCTGAGTTTATGCTGGCCCCTCGGCAACAGGGGAATCGTGTCCCTACCGATTTGGAATATTTGATTTGGGAGGCATATAAGAGGAAGTATCCTAGGGATTTGTTCCCTGAGAAACATGCTCCTATCTCTGAGTTCTATGCTCCTCGCCTATGATTTTTTTTTCTATTGTGTGTTGTGGGTTGGTTCCGTTTGTGTGCATAGTTGTGGGGTGTGGGTGGAGTGAGCGTGTGTGGGTGGGTGGGGCGGGTTATGTTTCTCGGTTCCTGCGTGCTCCGGTTTGGTTTTGTAGGTTTTCTTTGTATGGCTTGTGTGTGTGTGTGTGTGTGTGTGTGTGTGTGTGTGTGTGTGTGTGTGTGTGTGTGTGTGTGTGTGTGTGTGTGTGTGTGTGTCCGATTCCTGTGCGGTTCGGGGTTTGGTTCCGTGTGTGTGTCTGGTTGTGGATGTCATGTTTTTATTGTTCTGTTTTTTTGTGGTGGCATGTTTTTATGGTGCTGTTTGTACGCTTGTTTGTGTCGTGTTGAGTGCCCTTCGGGCTGATGGCGTGACCCGGTCTGGGTTTATGCTCTTTGTCGTGTTTTGCCTTTGGTTTGTTATGCATTTTACGTTTCCTTTCTTGTTATTTTTATTATTGTTGTTATTATTATTATTGTTATCATTTTGTAGTATATTCCCTGATTATCTGTTCCTATGACTATGTTATACTGTGTGCCTCTCTGGCTATATTGTTTGTCCTATTGTGTTCTGTGCTTGTGCCTCTCCGTTTGTTTATTGCGAGGCCGGTGTGTTCTTGTTTAATGTATGTGTTATTATTGTGCCCTGTGCAGCTTGTTTTTTTTCTTGGCTTGTTGTTTATTTGATTTTCTTGTTATATTTTATGTTGTCTTTATGCCTTACCTGTACGTTGTGCTGATATTGTTTGTTTTGTTTCATGTGTTATTATGTTTTGTGTATTGCTAGCCTGTTTACATTGCTTTCTCTTGTATTCTGTTTTGTCTTGTTGTTTGCTGTTATTTCTTGTTGTTTGTACTGTGCTGTCGGTCCCTCTGGCCAGTAGCTTTTTGTTTTTGCTTGTTACATTGTTTTTTCTGTTATTTGTATTGTATTTATTGTATTTACCTTGCATGTTTGCATGTAAAAATAAAAAAAAAAAAATCACTGCAACAGTCACGGACGTGCCAAAGTGTTCTACAATATGCTTGTGTAATCAACGTGATATCTTCTATGCCCTTCTGTGCTTTAAAACAGCTGTGGTGGCGCCCCTGGGGAAACTCTTGGTCTCTGCTGAGGATGGACGTGACGGACACCCCGGCGGAGGTGGAGCCGATGTCCCCTGACCCAATGTCAGGGACGAAGTTCACTGTGGTGGACTATGGGGTGTTCGGGCTGCTGCTGGTGGTGTCGGCGGGTATCGGGGTGTACAGTGCCTTGAGAGGCCGCGGCGTCAGCTCCACCCAGCAGTACCTGCTCGGGGGACGCCACATGCCCGTCCTCCCCGTGGCACTCTCGCTCCTCGGGGGAGCTATATCCGCGATATCAATACTTGGTAAGTATATGTATAATACAGTTTTATTGACGAATTAAGTTGATTAGTGTTAAGACGTGTATATTAGGGGCTAATTACATATTCACCTTTGTGCAGCTGTGAATGATGGCGTGTATGAGTGTGTGCGTTCGGTGTTAATTAATTAACGAGGTGTGTAACTGTGCGTACCGCCCACAGGTAGCGCTACGGAGATCTACTTCTACGGTACACAGCTAACGATGAGCCTGTTTGGATTCATATTTGGCGTCCTGATGATCAGGAACATTATACTGCCGGTCCTGTACCCTCTCCATCTCGTCTCCATATTTGAGGTACTCCATACTGTCGCCTCGCTGGCGTCCCCTCTCTCTCTCACGCTTCGCACCAGCCAATGTACTCTCTGACCCTGTAGCAAGTATGCTTAACTTCCCTGTATCTAATTTACCCTTGGGCAAGGAGTGGAATGGGCATACGGCGGCCTCTGTATTATAAACGTATTCCTGGTTAAGTGGGCATCCTGGAGATACCCAACATGACAGTATGCCATCCAGGATTAACAGAGATTGGGCTTGTGCACGAAATCGGCGCACTGTGCACTGCAATGAGCCATTCAAGTCAGCTGTGGGAGAATCCTGAGAGACCATCCTCTCACACACTGTTGATTTAATGATTAGCCTTATTTCTGAGTCTTTATCCCACCATGGATAATATCTATCAAAATCTGAAGACTAATCCTCATTTAACGTCCCTCCTTACAGTACATAGAGATGCGGTTCCAGTCACGAACGCTGCACAAGATGGTGACAGTAATGCAGCTACTGGCATCGTTCGTGTACTCTGGGATATGCCTGTACGCGCCTTCCATCACCCTATCCTCCGTCACCAGCCTCCCCATCTGGGCCTCCATCGTCACAATGGGTCTCATCTGCTCCTTCTACACTACCATTGTAAACTGACCCGCCTGCATACCTGATCTCACATTAACTATCCTTTAGGCATACATACATATGCAAACATATTCGTATTTACGTATTATGGATACATCACGTTTTGTGATTTCTTTGGATAAAAATATGACAAAAACAACATGCTCCATTGGGGATTGCAATTTTGCACTGTATGATTTTGCAACATTGCATGCTACGTTTGGCCTTGCAACATTGAATGCTACATATGGAACTGAAACATTGCATGCTACGTTTGTGACATTGCAAAATATAAATTTTCAACATTGCAAAGTCATGATGCAAGCATTAAGCTTTAAGCAAGAAGAACAGGTTGAGTGGAAGAAGGGCATGCACTCAGGACAGGTAGGCGAAGGGTCGGCCACCACGTGTTTTTTTTTTTTTTAGAAACTCCATCAGTCTCAGGAGACTATGGAGTTGCGCTCTGGTTGTCGGTCTGGAGTGGCCTCACCAGGGCGCCAATGATATCCCATTTTCTATTGACGGAAAATTCCACTACAAGCTACATTTTCTCTGGGTTAACTTGTATATACAACACAGCAGCAATATTAGTTGCCTATTGTATGTAATATTAATAAATGGTGTCGGATTTTCCGACATAATTCGCCGGGGGCTGCTCACGGGTCGAAGTCCTATTTAGAACAGACGAACACTGATACTCCACCTTCGAATTATTAGATTAATTTGATGTTAGTTGTTAGTAATCACACATTTGTGCATCTGTTTGTACAGGACGGATATCCCATACTTGAGTTGCAGGGGTTAGAAGTCTAATGCAATTTCATTTCTCTGTTAACTCTTGAGAGGCTAAAATTCAAGCCTAATTACATATTAACCCAGAGGACTGAATGTGATGAACTACTTCAGTCAAGTATGATTCAGGGACTGCAGTGAGATCAATGACATCAGATATAACTTGAAGCTTGTTCAGGTAACTGGTCACTGATATATAAACACTGAGGCCCATGGAATTCATCTTGATTAAATAATAAATGTATCAAAATCAGTCATCGGATTAATTGGTGTTTAATTTAGTTAGTTGATTCAGAGGATTGAAAAGTCCATCATTAAAGTCAAGTATGGTTCTGAGACTGCAGTGGGTTCAGTGACATTGGTCGCAGTGACTTGTAGCTGTTTAGGCTACTGTTCACTGATTTGCCACTGAGGCCTCATGAACTCTCTCTTTGACTAAGGTGGGGACATGAGCTAAAGTTCAGTAATTGTTTTGAGTTATTGTACAACATCTTAAGTGTGTTTAAAATTAGCCAAAATTGGGGCTATTAGTAGTGAAACTATACTTGTAAATGTGGTCTCTGACAAATTTGGGTCTTAAAACGAACTTTGATTAATTTCGGTCTTTTACTGGACTCTGACTATTTTCAGGCTCAAACTGGACTGTGATGAAAATTGGTTAAGAAAATGGCTCAAACTGGACTCTGTTCATTTTTCGATCTTTTACTCTGAATAATTTTTGGTCTTAAATGGTCTCTGAAATTATTTTGGTCTTTTACAGGTGAAATAGCCGTAAATGGATATTAAAATGAAAACTTACTGCTAAGATATCTATTTTCCTTAACAAAACTTCGATGACAATTTTCTCTGAAAATGATTTTTGGATAATTTCGGTCTTGCACTCTTAAATAAACATCTATGATTATATGAACTCTGAAATATCTTCATAAAACTGAACTCTGAAAAGTTTTGAATTTCCTCCATAAGAAACCTGTAACTCCAAATCAGGCCTTTTTGCTCTGAATTTCCCCGTTAAGAACTCTAATTTCAAATGAGTGATTTAAAAAAAAAAAAAAAATGACCGTAGAGTTTATTTTAAAAAAGACGGGAACGAACTTTGCCCCTGAATTTTTGTATGAGATTTCTTGAAAAACTATTATGATCATATGAACTCTGAAATATTTTCCTAAACTGTACTCTGAAAATGTTTAAATTTCCCCTATAAGAACTCTTTAAGAACGTATTAAGTGATTTTTGGTCTGAATTATCCCCATAAGAATCCTTAAACTCCAAATTGTAAACTGGGAAATTTATAAGGAAACCCGATGCCTCAGCGAGCATTGGAAAATTTATCAGAAAACCCGACAATCTATGAGTGACTGGAAAATTTACATCTCATGAACTCTCTCTTTGACTAAGGTGGGGACATGAGCTAAAGTTCAGTAATTGTTTTGAGTTATTGTACAACATCTTAAGTGTGTTTAAAATTAGCCAAAATTGGGGCTATTAGTAGTGAAACTATACTTGTAAATGTGGTCTCTGACAAATTTGGGTCTTAAAACGAACTTTGATTAATTTCGGTCTTTTACTGGACTCTGACTATTTTCAGGCTCAAACTGGACTGTGATGAAAATTGGTTAAGAAAATGGCTCAAACTGGACTCTGTTCATTTTTCGATCTTTTACTCTGAATAATTTTTGGTCTTAAATGGTCTCTGAAATTATTTTGGTCTTTTACAGGTGAAATAGCCGTAAATGGATATTAAAATGAAAACTTACTGCTAAGATATCTATTTTCCTTAACAAAACTTCGATGACAATTTTCTCTGAAAATGATTTTTGGATAATTTCGGTCTTGCACTCTTAAATAAACATCTATGATTATATGAACTCTGAAATATCTTCATAAAACTGAACTCTGAAAAGTTTTGAATTTCCTCCATAAGAAACCTGTAACTCCAAATCAGGCCTTTTTGCTCTGAATTTCCCCGTTAAGAACTCTAATTTCAAATGAGTGATTTAAAAAAAAAAAAAAAATGACCGTAGAGTTTATTTTAAAAAAGACGGGAACGAACTTTGCCCCTGAATTTTTGTATGAGATTTCTTGAAAAACTATTATGATCATATGAACTCTGAAATATTTTCCTAAACTGTACTCTGAAAATGTTTAAATTTCCCCTATAAGAACTCTTTAAGAACGTATTAAGTGATTTTTGGTCTGAATTATCCCCATAAGAATCCTTAAACTCCAAATTGTAAACTGGGAAATTTATAAGGAAACCCGATGCCTCAGCGAGCATTGGAAAATTTATCAGAAAACCCGACAATCTATGAGTGACTGGAAAATTTACATGGAAAACTGACAGTCTATGAGTGATTGGCCCCAAAAATTCTCACTCACCGCTGGACCATCATCGCTACTACTCTCATCTTTTTTGTATGCCTGAGTAAATGTATTTTTATAACACACTTCAATGTCTCCTCTTGGAGGTCGACTTTCCACCCCTGGGGCCTGATTATCCTCAGTCAGATGGCGGCCTAGGTTCTTACTTACGATTTCATCGAATTCTGTATTGCTGTAATCGTTGTTCACAACAATTTGTCGGATTCGTTCAAGTTCCTGGTGCAAGAGCTGCCAAGAAGAGAATATACGTATTGCACAACCTACATATGTTGGCAGGTCAAGAGAATCGTAAGTTTCTGTACTAAGCTGAGCTCATGAGTTATTGTTAATCTTCTTTATGTGATAAGTGTGCTTGCAGCCATTTATGAGTGAACACCCATTTAAGATCAGGTTATTTTTAATTAGTGATAACAGTAACATGAATGAATCACAACATTTTTGCTTCATTTAGCTAAGAGGTGTTCTGTGCATGCAGGTATCACAGGTATCTGTGAGGGGACTATATCCAGATAAACGGAGCAGCCAGAGTCTACAGTAAATGTGGTGCTTGCGTTGATTAACACATTTCCACATTCCTAGTGGCGTAAAAGATTCCCTATGTTGTCCTCTCAATTTTTATTTTGCCATTAAACACAACAGCTTGATAAGTATCTGTGAATTTATCGCTTAAATTTTGACTTGTGTTCAGTTGTGAACAAGACAGTTCAGTCATGAAGACTCATGTTCATCCATTGAGCCTGAGTGTTCATCTGGCGAACTCGTTATTGATAATTCTTTTTGATGAAGCCAATTCCATTTGTTTCAGTGTGTAAAATAGTAATATAAAAACTGTTCTTATGGAATTTCCTGTTCTTTACCTAACCTTGTTTTACCTTTCTATTATAACACACTGATGCTCTTTACTATAAATCATACTGTCCTTATTCATATAAACGTTTCCGATAATCCGTGCCAGTAGAGTATTTATCTCCAGCTTAACTATGAAACTGCACTCTTGATGATAAGATTATCTCTCTTTAGTCCCAAGTTATCATTTTTCATAACTGGAATGATATTCTACTCAATTTTCACATATAGGAATTATTATGATATTCGTCAAAATAAATTATGATACTTGTTTATGATGTGTAAATAACAGGAGTTTTTCCTGTTATTATGTGTGTGTGTTCGCCTTCAAAGCGAGACTTTGTGTGTTGCACAGGGCGGAGTGAAGGCGGTGGTGTACACAGACGTGGTACAGACGCTGCTGATGTTCGGTGGCGTGTTAGTGGTGTCCGTGATCTGCTGCCTGGACTTGGGCGGCCCCGCAGGCGTCTGGGATATCGCTGACCAAGGAGGACGCATTGAGTTCTTCAAGTGAGTGATGAGTCGGACTTGCACCTGGTCTATTTTGCTTGTTTTTAGAATGTGTGTGTGTTTATTTACTGTTTGTATTTACTGTTTGTGTTTTCAGGATGGAACTGATAGTTCTTGGACCCGCCTTTCTAGCCGTCGGTTGTCAAATGTACTGAATCCCGACCTATTTTCCTGTATGATATTTACTACATATATTTCTCTTTTGCGCGCGCGCGCGCGCACACACACACACACACACACACACACACACACACACACACACACACACACACACACACACACACACACACAAGAACTTTTTTCTTTGAACTTTTGAAAGAACTTTGAAAGAAACTTTGAAAGAAACTTTTTCAGTGTCAGAGTAGTTAGCAAATGGAATGCATTAGGAAGTGATGTGGTGGAGGCTGACTCCATTCACAGTTTCAAATGTAGATATGATAGAGCCCAATAGGCTCAGGAATCTGTACACCAGTTGATTGACGGTTGAGAGGCGGGACCAAAGAGCCAGAGCTCAACCCCCGCAAGCACAATTAGGTGAGTACAATTAGGTGAGTACACACACACAGGAGAGGAGAGACTACGGGAATTAAACCTCACGTCGCTAGAAGGCAGAAGAGACAAGGGGGATATGATCACTACGTTCAAGATTCTCAGAGGAATTGACAGGGTAGATAAAGACAGGCTATTTAACACAAGGGGCACACGCACTAGGAGACACAGGTGGAAATTGAGTGTCCAAATGAACCACAGAGATATTAGAAATAATTTTGTTAGTGTCAAGAGTAGTTGACAAATGGAATGCATTCGGTAGTGATGTGGTGGAGGCTGACTCTATACACAGTTTCAAGTGTAGATATGATAGAGCCCAATAGGCTCAGAAACCTGTACACTTGTTGATTGACAGTTGAGAGGCGGGACCAAAGAGCCAGAGCTCAACCCCCACAAGCACAAGTAGGTGAGTACAAATAGGTGAGAACACACACACACACACACACGCACAGAGTGTGTGTAGGTCCCAAAGACTACACTACAATAAGGAAGGTAGGGGAGGAGGCAGAGTGGCCCTACTAATGAGAAAGGAATGGAGTTTCAAAGAGACGGTTATCCTGGACTGCAAGGGGTTCAGAGACTACATAACAGGCACCATGACAATGGGAGGACCAAGAGGAGTAATAGCAGTGATATATAACCCTCCACCAAACAACAGAAGACCCAGGCAAGAGTATGACAGCAACAACATGGCAGTTAACACTCTAATTGAGAGGGCAGCCTCTGCTGCCTGTAGAAATAAATCCCACCTGCTCATCATGGGGGACTTCAATCATGGAAGGATTGACTGGGAGAACAAGGAACTGCATGGAGGTGAGGATACGTGGAGAGCTAAACCATTGGAGGTGGCAACAAGAAACTTTTTAAGCCAACATGTCAGGAAACCCTCAAGAATGAGAGGGTACGATGAACCAGCGAGACTCGACCTAGTCTTCACTCTGAACGACTGACATAAGAGAAATCGGTTTTGCGGCGCCAATAGGAATGAGCGACCACAGTGTACTGACGTTTGAGTATCTGGTCGAAGTATCTGGTTAATGAACTCGAAGAAGGGGGAACTGAAAACAAAAGGCTGGTATTTCGAAAGGGATCCCCATCCCCTCGTCCTCACCATCCCAAACTCCCCTGTCCCCTCGTTCTTCCCCACCAATACCCCCTCCCTTTGTCCCCTCTCTCTCCCCCTCCCTTGTCCCCTCGTCCTCCCCACCATCTCTCACTTTCGTCCTCTCGTCATCCCCATCTTTTCCCACTCCGCGTGCGCGTGCAAGACGGGGAAGGAGAGAGAAAAAAGCAGCCATTGTTCTCGGCTAAAGATAGTGTCTGGAAGCTCGCTATATTTACCAGCTCATAAAAACGTCATCCTTGCCACTGTAGACGTCAGAGTTTCGGAGCAGCTTCATCTTTTCACAGACACTAGTATTGGCAAACGTTTAGTTCCTATTTACTGTTATTGTTTGTGATAACAATTAAATATCAGGTGGGACGTTTGTCGTCATGCTGCATGACAACTAAAAATTAACAAGTGAGTTTATTTCAGGCCGCTTTCACATTTCATTCAGAAATATGTGTGGTAGAGTATCCTTTTAGATAGTATTTACTTGCTACCCATATTTCAGCCCGTGTCTTATTGGCTACAAAGGAGATAAACCTCTGTTTCGGTCACATGTTCTTAGGATATCCTGATGCAACAAGTTTCAGTGACGATTGCCAGACGCAGGCTACTATTTCATCATACAACTAAGCTGTTATTTCGTTCTTGTACTGTAGTAGAACTTTAATTATCATTTATTTGATGATCTTCAATATATGATCTAATATTCCATATATATATTCTTTGCCATGTGATTTATTATTAATATGCATTAATATCTCATTACTTTAATATGGGTGTGCATTAGTATCTCATTATTTGTGCTAGAAACACATTATTTTTTCTGTACTAATCAACCCCCCAAAGTTTGTGGTGTGAGTCTACTCAATATTTCTTTTTATTGCTTTATATTTTCATGAGTAAGTGATCAAGAGATCCATAGGCACTGATTCTCACATTTATTTTCAATTTATTTCCTTATATTATTTCCCTTTTATCTGAAGGGTGGTCCTTCGATATTATTGAAATTTATTAGTATTAGTCCGAGTTAGATTTTCCCACATGTACTTAGTTTTAAGATAGTAGTATACTGCCTAGTAAGAAATTTTTAAAAATTAAATATATCTAAAAAACAAACTTAAATATTCCTAGGCCTAGTATAGCAGACATACTATATTATGCCTCAGATATCGAGTATTAGGCCTAGGAAGGTTAGGTTAGGTAAGTTTAGTTTGCCAAAGCAACACAAGTAAATAATAGCTTTCCAATTTGTTCAACTCAATAGTTCAGATTTCTACTTTCTTTATGCGTTGTACGTCGGTATATATACTATTGTCCTCATCGTTACTATAAGTATTACCAAAACAGGAGGATGAACTGCATTCTAACTATGATTTAGGTCATGTATGATAAGTAGTTTAGCTTTCATGCTGTGTGCTGCTGCTGCTGTCCTTTGCAGTTCATCTGTGCTTTGTTTGTGCTCTCATATTACTGTCTAGGTCTTCTGTTGTTTGCTGAGGGGTTGTATAATACCAAAGCCACTATTTGTGTTCTGTCTGTTGTCCGAGTTGAACTCCTCCCTGTATTTGTTTATGTTTTTGTCCTGATTGCCTGGTATCCACTTGAAAATATTGCATCGAGAGAAAATACTGTTTAACTTGATTTTCATTATTGCAATTACATGAGGCTCATTTTTTCTAAACTTTTCTTTTATTTCGTCTGTTGCATTTGTATCTCCATTTGCATCTTATAGTATATCTTATGTGTTTAATTACCGAAGTGTGATTATCTAAATATAGTTACAAGATGAGAGCTCTGCTTGTAGTATCCCATCTTCCCAGTACGCTAGGTCATGTAATTCTTTGAAACTGCTGGTAGTTCTGGCATCCATTGCCTTCACACTTAATCAACCTGTCTTTCACACTTTAAAAGTATTTTCACAATCTTTTTATTGTCAGGTTATCTAATATCTTACAAAGATTACTTTTTAGTGATGTTGGCTAGTGGCTCCTGGCTTCCTTCTATCTTATATACTTATACCTCAATAACCACTTTCTCCCTCCCTCCTTCTCTGCTCGTAGGAGAGAGAGAGAGAGAGAGAGAGAGAGAGAGAGAGAGAGAGAGAGAGAGAGAGGGAGAGGGAGAGAGGATGGAGCAATAGACTCACCAAAAGGACTTCTTTTCCGTGCATTTCTGGTGTTGGTGGCGGCGGAGGCAGTATGGACCCGAGCCCCTTCGTGCGTCACACTTTCTGGTCGACGCAGGTGTTGGGGGCATACTTGGCCCTGAGTGTGGCTGGCGTCAACCAGCCACAGTTCCAGAGGTTCATCTCCGTCAAGAGTCTCCAGCTCTCCCAGTCGTAAGTTCTCCCTTCTCAATCTGTACTTACCACCGAATACACCTATTTAGCTAAGTGATAACTTTTGCTTATCTATGTAAGTTTAATTTTGTATTAAAGTTCCTTCTTACTGTTGTATCTTAATCACTAATGTATATGGGTAAAAATAAAGGTGGGACAACGTAGCCCTGCAGCACGCCACTTGCCACTGCTCTTCACTCAGACTACTCCGTTAATGCTTACTGAAGCAAATCTTTGGAACAAGCGGGGAATTGACCTTGCAACACGGTGTAGTATTCAACAATTTTCTGGCCACCTCCGCTAGCAATGTTGCCCCAGGCAGACCGCCTGCAGAGGGTATCCAGGAACTATGCCAGAGCAGCTGCACACACTCACAAGTTTCACTTGTCGAGATAAAGCCTTACTGTAGATGGCCTCCCTAAGCCAGGTGTTCCAGTGAACATGGTCTACTTGACCGTGAGACTCTCCTGTATAACACCTTGGCAGGGATAATTTTACAGGCCCACATCACGTTTAATATTTAAGTATGAATTGTGCTAGAGCCATTTACGGGATATGCAAGGGGGAGTTGCAGCATCTCCCTGGGCGAAGGCTTCACCGAAATATTGTGTTTAATAACAAGTTTGCTCAATAAAACTTAAGCTCTAATGCACTTAGCATTTATTTTACCGTAATTGGGGACATCCAAGAACAAATCCAGACAGATCTGGATGGACTGACAGACAGATTATGTAGCGTGATAGTCCAACTGAACGACAAATGGTTCCCTAAGGAATGGCCACCCAATTAATCAACACGGCTTCTATCAATGCTGTTATCAAAGGGAACACATGTAGCGCTAATGAAAAACTTTGATTGACATATACATTCAGAATCAACAACTCATTGCAATGTCAATGGGACATTTACATATACTGAAAATCGATCAGCTATATGTGGAGTGTTTGTGTACACTCCCATCACTATACTGAACAAAACTTTGAATCAGGTGTGACTCTCGTATCGACACGGGGAAGTCTGGTGTCCACCGACCGTGTCCTCGTGTCCCAGTCCCTCACCTCTTGCAAGTGTTCACTGGGAGAGTTTACTGGGTAATCTCCAACAGTTTACCTGGAGACAAATATACAAAACCAGAAAGGTTCAAACTAGCGTATTGTACCTTTCAACTGGTCTTGTTTACCCTCACTCTCCTGCCGTCAATACAAACGACATGAACCTGTTGGTTTCCTTCACGCCGCACGTGGCTTGTGAAGGATTACGTGGCAAGATGTCGTGGCTTGAGCTGATACCAAAGACAAGATGGCGGCTGGGACAATGGTCAGGTGGTAGCGGTCCGTCGCTTGGCTACACGACACATGTGGCCACAGAGGTCGCGACGACGACGACGGATGCACACAGGTCGACTGGTTCATGTGATCAATAATGGTTCACGCCCTTCCTCACAGTCTCTGAGATTACCATGATAACACAGGATCACATTGACAACACTTGATTTCAAGTCCCTCGAGAATGTCTCGAAGTTCCCTCACTTCAACGATAAATGAGCGAAATTTATTCCATTAATTCGGTTATTAAGTTTAGTGAGCGGATGATAGTTAAGTTGACGTTGGTGAGTGACTTGTGCAGTAATTCTCCCTATTGGCTGAGAGGAATGTTACCAGCTGTGGAGGCTACCACAGCTGGTAGCATCCAAGAAGGTTTCTGGCTATCGGCATCTCTTACTATACTTACTTTTCTGTGTCATAATTAATCAGTCCAAAAGCAGAGAGCGGTCATTGTGTGACAACAATACTCTGGGCACCCAGAGCTCTATATGGGATACCCAACACCACCCAGGACATCCAGAGCTCTACATGGGATACCCAACACCACCCAGGGCATCCAGAGCTCTACATGGGATACCCAACACCACCCAGGGCATCCAGAGCTCTACATGGGATACCCAACACCACCCAGGGCATCCAGAGGTCTACATGGGATACCCAACACCACCCAGGGCATCCAGAGGTCTACATGGGATACCCAACACCACCCAGGGCATCCAGAGGTCTACATGGGATACCCAACACCACCCAGGGCATCCAGAGGTCTACATGGGATACCCAACACCACCCAGAGGTCTACATGGGATACCCAACACCACTCAAGGCACCCAGAGCTCTACATAGATACCCAACACATCTCAAGGCACCCAGAGCTCTACACAGATACCCAACACCAAAGAGTTTATTCTGCAATTTGACAAGTTTAGGTCGGGTGTGGTCAGCCTGTACACCATGATGAACATCCTCCAAATATCTGACATTCAAAGAGTCCGATTAACTCAAGCAGAAATGACGTTCAAATAGAGGTACCTAATTAGTGGAATTATCATTATTATTATTAACTTAGAGCCTTCTCTTGCTTCCTCTGCAGCTTGTGCATGTTGTTCATAGTGGGTTCGTTGATGCTGTGGAGTGTCTTCTATATCTCCGGCCTCGTCGCTTATGCCGTGTATAGCGACTGTGATCCGCTCACCTCGGGAAGAATTGAAAAGCCTGACCAGATCATGCCTTACCTGGTGGCGGACAAGCTGAGGCACCTGAAGGGTATGTCTGGCCTGTTTGTGGCCGCGGTGTATGGCGGCGCCCTCAGGTCAGTTACTCAACCACCTCACATTTTCCTCTGGAAAATGATGAAATAAATACATTCACCTTGCATGATATATTGTTAATACTGAGACCACTGAGCTGTGGAGGGTGTATTAGTTAAGGTATTTGAGTGTTCCTTATCGTGAGACTAAGATGTTGCTCGTCTTTACCTTATGTCAGTTCGCTGTCATCATATGGGAACGCAATAGCTTGCATGATCTGGGTGGACTTCCTCAAGGACAGACCAAACTTCAAGAACATCAGCAATCGCAACTCCACCAATATTATCAAACTCTTGTGTAATTATAAATGCCTTTATTTTACGGTTAGAATTTGCCAATAATATATGGTAATGTTCCTATTACAGAACAAATATATATATATATATATATATATATATATATATATATATATATATATATATATATTTCCAGGGAGGAACTACCTCACACCATATGTTCCATTCAGTCGCCCCTCACAACACCTTAAGTCTGCTCTTCAAATTCATTGAATTTGAATTCAAATTCAAATTCACTTTCTGCTCTTCAAAAAAGATTACATTCAATTATAAATACAATGACAATGAAATGAAAAAAATAAGTACATTAATTAATGCTAATCATCACAGCATATCTCAATGAGCAGAAGGGTAAAGCTAGACGAAAAAAACACTCACACACCATAACCAAATATAATCCTAAATATTTTCTCTTGGTATGGATGTGGGCAGCAACCATGACGGGAGTGGTGGCCATATTCTTGGGGCTGCTGGTGGGCAATCTGGGCACCATCTTCCACGTGACGAATGCCCTGATAAGTGTCGTTAAGGGCCCCCTCATCGGCATATTCTTGGCGGGTATCTGTGCTCCATGGGTCAGTAAAAAGGTAAAAAAATATTCCCGGTGTTTGGTTATGATGGAGGCCTTCGTTTTTGGGTTTGGAGAAACAGTATTTATTGTTACTTAATTTTAATTCATTTAAAAAGATTATATGGTCAAATAACCTCTTATCCGTCTCTTTTCAATTCCAGCGTGATGAGGTCTAGTTCCCTCACCAATATATACCAAGGGTCCAACCTCATAGCAAATCTCTGGACAATTAGTTTTCTTTTAGGTATTTCATAGTAGGGTTACACATTTACTGCTTTACTGCTTGCATTTATTACTGCTATTATATATTCTCTATCCATAGTTTGGTTAGGTTAAGGTTACTTTATGTTAAGGTTTGATTAGGTTACGTTTGGTTACATTAATATGGTGTATTATTGACGATAATATGAAATGGGGAATTCGAAAACTATTTCAGTGAACTCAAGGATTCCTTTTACAGAAAAACGAGATTCTTCGAAGAAAACGTTTTCAGCATTCACTTTTTATATCTTAAACCAACGTTTTATAATACAAAAAAGTTATAACATGAGAATAATATCTGATTAAGACAAAGGTTTATATACCAGTTTACATGTAGACTATTACAGAAACCGTAATATGCTTTCAGACCATCACAAATATCTAGTTAAGTATCCAGGTAGTTGGAGGGATGGGGGGAGGGGACTGGTTTCTCATGGTAATGGATTTGGTCTGAGGATAAGCTCAATGTCTGGCATATAAACAGCACCTATGAATCCTACATTAATTATATTAAACTTTCGTTAATTAGGTGTGTGTGAGAAAGATAATGTGAGTGTATGAATGAATAAGACTATAAGAGCTTCAGACAAATACCAGACTTTCGGCTGTTTTGCAGGGCGCCGCAGTGGGCTTCATCCTGGCCACTGTGTTCAGCGTGTGGCAGATGGTTGGCAAGTTTATTAAAGGTGGTGGCAGCCCAGAGAAACTGCCCCTCTCCACTTTCAGCTGTCCAGAGAGTCTACAAAATAATACACTGGGCGTCAGCCTCAACAACACCCTCTTCACCGCCATCGACTCCGTCTTAGGCAGCCTCAACAACACACGCAATCTCGCACCTAAGTCAGTCATATTCCACCACTTTAATTTTTCTGCTCATTTAGTTATTTTTATTTTTTTTAATTGCAAGTCTCAACTCTGTATTTACTAGACAAGAACTTAACATTATCTCTGCAGCTGATCTGATCAACTCTATATAGGTGATGAGGAGGGCAAGTTGACTAGTTTAGTTGCCAAGGAGGAAGTTATATCAATATACAAATTCAAGCCAAGTTCCCAGGGCCAGAAAAAAAGTATTTGTCAGGGTTCCTGAAACCTTGTCTTGCATATTTAATAAATTATTAGAATCCATTAGAGTATCGAAATCATAGAGAGATGCAAATTTTGGGCCGATAATTAAGAAGTGAGATAAAAAACATTCTTCGAACTATTATTCATTTAACTTAACGTTTATTGCAAGAAAATAGTGTGAATCGATTGTTGCAAAAAACATTAATTTACATCTTGCACTCCACTTACATTTTCCCACCCTGACTTAACTCCATCTATAGTTGGTTATAGTTATAGTTAACTATAGTTATATATAACTATATAGTTATATATAACTATAACTATATATATAACTATAAATATAACTTATATATAAGTATAAATATAACTATATAGTTATATATAACTATAACTATAGTTATAGTTAACTCCATCTATTGTTTCCTTTGGTATAACCATAACCAATAATGTAACTTAATATAGTATCCCCAATACCATGAGCCTCTATCGATTTAATCAGTCTTTCATGTGGCACTGTATCAAAAGCTTTGCTAAACCCAAGGTACTCAACATTACAAGCCTTTCCGCTATCAACTGCCTCAACTATGCTGGAATACAGTGATAGCAAATTTGTTAAACATGAACGGCCGTTTGTAAAACCATGTTGTGAATAATTTATTAATCAATATTTTTCAAGATGAAGACGAATGGCTTTTGCAACTATCGATTCAAGCAACTTTTTCACAATAGACGTTAAGCTAATTGGCCGATAATTTGACGCAAGGGATCTATCTCCTTTCTTAAAAATTGGTACTACATTAGCAACTTTCCACTGCTCTGGCACTCTGCCTGACTATTGATTTATTAAATATGGTTGACAATGGCTCGCAAAGCTCCTCTTTCAATTTTTTAGACACCTTGGCAAACACTTCGTCTGGCCCTGGGGATTTATTTGGCTTGAGTTTTACTATTTGTTTAATAACATCATCCCTTGGTAACTACTAAACTAGTCAAACTGTCCTCTTTCCCCACCAATATAGACTTATTCGGCGGAAGGCACAATATTAAGTCCTTCTTTAGTAAATACAGACAGATAAAATGTTTATTTAAAATACTACTCATCTCTTCGTCATTATAAGTTATCTGACCTGTCTCAGTTTTCAATGGACCTATTCTTTTCCTAACCTTTGTTCGATATAACTGATAAAAAAGTGAAGGATTTGACTTTGCTTGCCCTGCTATGCTAACTTAATAGTTTCTTTTTGTTTTACCATTTCTTACCAGCAGGAGGAATTCTTGTTCTAGACTGACTTCCCCATTCTTAAAGCTTTTGTATCAAGCTCTCTTTTTACGTATAAGGTTCTTCAGATCCATTGTTACTCATTTCGGGCCATTATTATTTGGTCTATTAAATTTGTATGGTATACTACGTTCCTGTCCTTTGTTTAGAATTTTTTAAAATAAGTTATATTTTGAATCCATATCGAAATCCCTTTATACGTCACCCATTCTTGGGTTCATGTCTCGCTCCACAATGTTGGTGCTCAGTCTCGTGTTTATGTATAGCTTCCTTTATTCATATGTTATGCCAATATTTACTTGTCACAACATTTATACTTGTTGCAATAGTTGTCATGCCTTCATAGTAGCGTGTTGGGTTACAGCTTACCTGCCCTTTTACACAAAGTCACCGGCTGCAACGTTGATAGAGATCAACTATCAACTGTCACTCAGTGACAGTGACGCTGTCACTGAGTGGTAGTGATACACCGTCACTGAGTAGTGATACACTGTCACTGAGTGACAGTGACTGCCCTCAGAGTGGACAGTAACTGGTGTAAGAGTTGTAGTATGTGTAACTGTCCACAGGAGCTCCGGCCACAGCATATATGACATATCCTACTGCTACACCGGCGTCATCGGCATCCTCAATACCTTAATCTTCAGCTCCATCGTCTCGTTCATTACAGGTATCTCGTTTACTCACAGATGACTCACTCACCTCTGGATGAGTGAGTCGTCTGTCTACATTCATCCACTCACAGGTAACACTCTAACCCAAAGGAAACTCACAATTACTTCTTTCTTCAGAGGTACGTCTTCTGCTCAGAACTAACTAACTGCATGTGACAAACATCAAATCGAACTAGACCTAGACATCGCATTCTCTTGTTAAAATCACAAACCGTTTCAAGACACTATAGGTCTGGCAGAATAATAATCCTAAACTCCAGGGGCAGAAAGCACTAGCTGGTATTAAGACCTACAATGTGTTTAGAACTATGAAATATGTATACGAATGATACAAAGCGTCCACCATTGGGAATGTTTGGTCATCTACAATGTCATTACTGTGTCATTGTGACACAGTAACCGCCAGAGTTAGCCTTGGGAATCATTCCTTATGCCAGTTCCCACTGTAAACTTGTGAAAAATATTTGTAGAACAGGTTTCTTCAATTTAGGGATTTTTTCCATTAAAAAGAAGGTACAATATATTATTTATCTTAATTATTTATTTATTTGCTTATAAATTTATTTAATAGTTTGGTTTGTAAATGTAAATCTTCGCAAAGCTACATTATTGGTTGTCTTAAAATGACCAAAGTAACTGAGGGATACATTGGGCATGGTCAAGCGGATTAAGGCGTCCTGTAGATACCAGTTGTGTTGCTCCTGGGAGTATGGGTTCGAGTCACTTCTGGGGTGTGAGTTTTCAGTCGCATATAGTCCTGGGGACCATTCAGGCTTGTTCGCATTTGTGTTCCTCACGTGTGCCCCAAAGAATGAGGTGATTTGATAAAATGCTATGCCCAATATTACCATCCGAGTTGCTGGCGGGGAAGTGGTTCAAATAGCTTCGGCTATCACTTCCTTTTGTCCGGCCGTGATGGTCAAGCGGACTAAGGCGCCCTGTAGTTACCAGGGCGAGATATATATATATATATATATATATATATATATATATATATATATATATATATATATATATATATATATATATATATATATATCAATGCAATCAATGCCAAAATCATCATTGTATGTGCATTCAATATGTGACTATGACAGGCTGTTTTCTCATGAAGTACGGTGATGCCGACCAGACCATGTTGGATATGCACCCAACAGCAATTAGGGTGCAATGTTAAGTGAGACTCGGCCCAAACATCTGGTCTCCATCCTTCAACAGCCAGACATTCGAGAGAAAAGAGCAAAATTTCTAGGTACTGTTATCCAAAATCCAAAAATTTTGTGGTGGGTCACCATGGCAACCGACCTTTTTTTTAATGACAGCACTGGGCAGCCCCGACCCACCGATGTTGGTAACCTATCCCTCTCCTATCATTCTGCAAACTTGAGTGAACTAGCCTAAAGCATCTAGCTTCCAGCCTTGGACAGACAGACTTATAGATGCAGACTTAATAAGAGATATGCAGGTCAGGAGTAATTGCACTAGTTTACTGATATCGGGAAACAGAGTAATCAACAGCCTGGTCCAGCAGGCAGAGTAAGTTAGTACACACACCGGCACATTAAAGCTAATTAACACAACGCCACAAATATCAACAACAAAACTAAACACCTCTTGACTTCCTGTTATGTGATGTATATTGTTAAAAAGAGTGTTGCCATTGAAATAATTATAGGGACATGGACAGGTCCAGTGGCGCCAGAGGAGGTGGACCCGCGAGTGGTGAACGCGACCTGCTTGCGTCTCTACCAGCGACTGTGGGGGCTGGCAGTGGGCAAGTCCACCCACCAGCCCCACAGTGTCTTCACGCCAGCAGAGAGCAAGGCTCAAGTACACGGGCTCTCCACGCTCCAGGACACTGACCAGGTCCAGGACCAGACCACTGATCAGGCCTACAACCCGGACACTGACCAGGCCCACAACAAGGCCAGTGACCAGGCCCACAACAAGGCCAGTGACCAGGCCCACAACAAGGCCAGTGACCAGGCCCACAACAAGGCCAGTGACCAGGCCCACAACAAGGCCAGTGACCAGGCCCACAACAAGGCCAGTGACCAGGCCCACAACAAGGCCAGTGACCAGGCCCACAACAAGGCCAGTGACCAGGCCCACAACAAGGCCAGTGACCAGGCCCACAACAAGGCCAGTGACCAGGCCCACAACAAGGCCAGTGACTAGGCCCACAACAAGGCCAGTGACCAGGCCCACAACAAGGCCAGTGACCAGGCCCACAACAAGGCCAGTGACCAGGCCCACAACAAGGCCAGTGACCAGGCCCACAACAAGGCCAGTGACCAGGCCCACAACAAGGCCAGTGACCAGGCCCACAACAAGGCCAGTGACCAGGCCCACAACAAGGCCAGTGACCAGGCCCACAACAAGGCCAGTGACCAGGCCCACAACAAGGCCAGTGACCAGGTCCAGAACCAGGCCATTGACCAGGTCCAGAACCAGGCCATTGACCAGATCCAGAACCAGGCCACTGACCAGGTCCAGAACCAGGCCAGTGACCAGGTCCAGAACCAGGCCAGCCACTGACCAGGTCCAGAACCAGGCCACTGACCAGGTCCAGAACCAGGCCACTGACCAGGTCCAGAACCAGGCCACTGACCAGGTCCAGAACCAGGCCACTGACCAGGTCCAGAACCAGGCCACTGTCCAGGTCCAGAACCAGGCCACTCACCAGGTCCAGAACCAGGCCACTGACCAGGTCTAGAAGCAGGCCACTGACCAGGTCCAGAACCAGGCCACTGACCAGGTCTAGAACCAGGCCACTGACCAGGTCTAAAACCAGGTCACTGACCAGGTCTAAAACCAGGTCCAGAACCAGGCCACTGACCAGGTCCAGAACTAGGCCACTGACCAGGTTCAGAACCATACCAGAGACTATTTACAGTACAATACCAGTAACCAGGTCATAGACTATTTTTAGGACCAGGTCAGTGACCAGGTTCAGACTACTGTCCAGGTCCAGGACCAGACTGCTGTCCAGGTCCAGACTGCTGTCCAGGACCAAACTACTGTCCAGGTCAAGAACCAGGTCCAGGACCAGACTATTGTCCAGGTCCAGGACCAGACTACAGTCCAGGTCAAGGACCAGGTCTAGGCCCAGGACCAGGCTACTGTCCAGGTCCAGGACCAGACCACTGACCAGGTCAGACAGCCAGCCAGGGCTCCAGGCACCATAGCGTATCCAGTACTATACCACTTGCTAGACCACGGGCTGTGGTGAGCCCATAGTGGACTTACCTGGCTTAGGAGAGGGGCTGTAACTGCCGCTGATTGATTGATTGATGAAGATTAAGCCACCCAAGAAATGGCATGGGCATGAATAGCCCGTAAAGTACTGCTGGAGAAATCTATACATTTATAAGTGTGGGTACACCTCACTCTACGAATCGTCTACCCGTCCAATCGTCCCCCTCCCCCAATCGTCGGGAGCGGCGAAGGGGGGAGTGAGGTGATAGAGTGAATAGTGAATGAGTGAATAGAGTGAGGTGATTGGTGCCTGCCTCTGACTTCTAGCAGTATGCCAGATCTTCCCTTCCCTCTGGAACAATGGAGGACCATCGAACAGTTGTATATTCGAAGTCGAGTTCACCTGGATGTTGATTACAGGTGTCAGCTCCCAAATGAACGCAGCCTCAAGTATAAGAAGCCTCCTACGATCGTCGTGGCGCGTGATTACTGTCGTATATTTCACTGTCTTGGCTATTTTGAATGGTGTTGTGGTGTTCAAATAAAAATTGAAAGATTTAGTGGTCTAGTGTTTCTTTACCCTCCAGATTGTAGAAGATATTTGCGTAGATTGGAAAATATCCAAAAGAAAATTAATAATAGTCACCATGCTGTTCTGTTTAATTGTGTAACTACCTTCGAATGATTGTCCCTTGTTTAAGCTAAATTAACTATGGTGTTTAGTTCCTGAACCCATTATGTGCCCCTGTAACCCTTTCCACCACCGCCCACGGGATGGGTATGGGGTGTATAATAAAGAAATTGAATGGAATTGTTTTATATATATATATATATATTAGTATATTTTGGTAGCAGTCTTTCCTGTAGACATATATTATTAAATATGACCGAAAAAGTAAGATTAATAATTCTAACACGAATTTTCTCAATCTTTCGTACATTACGCTTCACTGTTGGAGGTAAATCAAATATCAATTCTCCAAAATTCATTTTTATTTCTAGTCTGACGCGACACGGGCGCGTTTCGTAAAACTTATTACATTTTCAAAGACTTTAGTTCACAAATACACAACTGAATAGAACTTACGTATCTCCGATTTTATATCTACATTTGAGTGAGGTGGAAGGGGTGATGTGGCATTAACACAAGACAGAACAAAGTGTGGTATTAATAAGGTATTAATTTCATCAACACAAGACAGAACAAGAGTATTAATAGGGTATTAATTTCATCAACACAAGACAGAACACGAAACAATGGATATTGAATAGAAGTGTTTGTAGAAAGCCTATTGGTCCATATTTCTTGATGCTTCTATATTGGAGCGGAGTCTTGAGGTGGGTAGAATATAGTTGTGCAATAATTGGCTGTTGATTGCTGGTGTTGACTTCTTGATGTGTAGTGCCTCGCAAACGTCAAGCCGCCTGCTATCGCTGTATCTATCGATGATTTCTGTGTTGTTTACTAGGATTTCTCTGGCGATGGTTTGGTTGTGGGAAGAGATTATATGTTTAACGTTTAACGATGCATAAGCAACAGGGCTCCATTAAGGAACATATAATCTCTTCCCACAACCAAACCATCGCCAGAGAAATCCTAGTAAACTACACAGAAATCATCGATAGATACAGCGATAGCAGGCGGCTTGACGTTTGCGAAGCACTACACATCAAGAAGTCAACACCAGCAATCAACAGCCAATTATTGCACAACTATATTCTACCCACCTCAAGACTCCGCTCCAATATAGAAGCATCAAGAAATATGGACCAATAGGCTTTCTACAAACACTTCTATTCAATATCCATTGTTTCGTGTTCTGTCTTGTGTTGATGAAATTAATACCCTATTAATACTCTTGTTCTGTCTTGTGTTGATGAAATTAATACCTTATTAATACCACACTTTGTTCTGTCTTGTGTTAATGCCACATCACCCCTTCCACCTCACTCAAATGTAGATATAAAATCGGAGATACGTAAGTTCTATTCAGTTGTGTATTTGTGAACTAAAGTCTTTGAAAATGTAATAAGTTTTACGAAACGCGCCCGTGTCGCGTCAGACTAGAAATAAAAATGAATTTTGGAGAATTGATTTTTGATTTACCTCCAACAGTGAAGCGTAATGTACGAAAGATTGAGAAAATTCGTGTTAGAATTATTAATCTTACTTTTTCGGTCATATTTAATAATATATATATATATATATATATATATATATATATATATATATATATATATATATATATATATATATATATATGAAAACTCACACCCCAGGCTTGTTCGTATTTGTGTTCCTCACGTGTGCCCCAAAGAATGAGGTGATTTGATAAAATACTATGCCCAAGATTACCATCCGAGTGCCGGCAGTGGTGGGGGGGGGGGGGGGTTTGGCTCAAATAGCTTCGGCTATCACCTACTTATATCCGGTCGTGATGGTCGAGTGGATTAAGGTGTTCTGTACACACCAGTTGCATTGCTCCTGGCAGTATGGGTTCGAGTCACTTCTGGGGTGTGAGATTTCAGTTGCATATAGTCCTGGGGACCATTCAGGCATTAACCATTAGGCTACCCTCAGATCGTTAAAGGGCGGAAATTTGGGTGGGTTTTCCACCACGATATCTTAACCCCCCCCCTCCCCAACGACACCAGAGGAATAGTTTCTGATAAACACTCATTTTCTATCAACCACATTTACTATAGAAAACTCGAGTCTTGAGTATACCGTACACTTACATGAACTCACAAGCAATTTAACAAACAGAACACTTCTCCATATGAGAGAGAGAGATGGACAGGGGGAGAGGAGTGAGAGAGAAAGAGAGAGTATAGAGAGAGATGGGAGAGCGAGAGAGAGAAGAGAGGGAGGAGAAGAAGAGAGATAGAGAGAGAAGAGAGTGAGGAGAAAAGAGAAGAAGAAAGAGAGAGAAGAAAAGAGAAGAAAGAGAGAGAGATGATGTAGATTTGACTAAATGTAAACTTTGTCAGCAGAACTACTCGCATACTTTGCGTCATTATATAATGGAATGTGGAAAAATCGCGGAATTTAGAGATAACACCATCAACAGTGTCCAAGAAATGTGTAAGTACTACATTCATAATGATGTGCTGCCCGAAATCTTAGCGAAGTATCCAAAATTTGCTTACTGTAAGTAATGCATGCACATCACTGTAAAGCTGCCGCCCAGTTGGGTGGGTGTGCAGCAAGACTAGTAACTTATCATAGATGTAAAGTGCCTTGTATAGTGACTGTTGTGAGCCTCTTGTTGAATCACTTGTGACACAAAAGATTATTGATGTGTGTATTTATGTGGGTGATTAAATATAAATGTGTATGTATAAATATGTATACGTATATATATGTACATGTATGTATGAGTATGTGTACATGTATATATAATATTAATAATTTTGTAATTATCGTCAAAAGATTGTTATTTGCTTAACTAAACGAACTAGAGGGTTCAGTTCCTGAACCGATTATGTGCCTCTGCAATCCTTTACACCACCGCCCACGGGATGGGTATGGGGTGCATAATAAAGAAAGAAATTGAATTTAATTGTATATTTTCTTCAGTTCCTCATTACAAATTATAATGGTAAAAATAAAAATAAAATAACGTGGATTATTATTTACTTCCCAAGATGATATTTGACTACAATAAGTAAAGGGTTGCTGAAGGAAAAGTGTAGAGTGATTGATGTTCTCACAAGCAACACATTCTGGTCACATTAAGGCTTCACCAGGTTCCTGATAAGTTCAGGTGAGTGTACTTGGTTCAGGAAGGAAATATATGCAGCAAGATCAGTGTGTTCCATTGCTGAAGGTGGTGTTGACGACCAGGATTCCTGCATTTATTCTGGTATTATGAATACACTCTGGCTGCCTGTCCCCCGGCACAATGAGTTATTATTATTATTATTATTATTATTATTATGATCATGTCTCAGATCTCAGAAGGATGACAAAAGGGGCATCTTTAGTATTAACTAATTGTTTGTTGCGTTTTCTTTACATGACTTCTTGACTCTTGTAGCTCTTCCTTTTGATTAAATATGAATCCTGAACTCCAGTTTATGTTGTTGGCAATATTTTCAGACACAAAATGTTGTTTAACAGAATCTTTGCTCCGGCTCGGTTGCTGTTCTATGTACTCTTTAATGGTTGTCTGTAGACTCCCACGAAGAGAATGTTGTTTGTATGGTTATCTTGAATAAAGAAAACGAAGGGTCGGTCACACGTGAACTCAAGAGTCTGTTTCATGATTTTAAGGTCAATGATTATGCTTGTGGCAGCAGCAGCCTCGGAGCCCTCCTCGTTCACCTCTACCACGGCCTTGTGGATTCCATTGGTAACCACCAATCTCCCACTAGGATCGAAATTCGTGAGATCAGCAGCATTGGAGAACAGGTCGCTGATTCCCAGGTGCTGAAGAGCCTGTAATATAGATGAGATGGCTACAAGCAATTCAAATGATGATTGTTTCTTCAATGGTAAAGTCTTCCGGACAACATACTAATCAAAATCAGAAGTTATGGCTCAGCGTTTTCGAACATTCTTGTGTTCCATGTAATAGAATGACTGGCGGGAATTAACAAAAAATGAATGATTAAGTTCATTCAGATTTGCCCATTCAGTTTTTTTGACAAAATGCTCAGCCATAATTTCTATTTTGTCTGTCTAAAATTGGTGGGCAGACGCTTTGGGTAAGCCTCACCCAAATATTGTAGGGGGGGAATTGTCTGGGGTATGGGACAGACATAGGCTGTATCACATGCCAGTATCACTGTCACATGTGTGTTAGGTATAATATGTTAGTAGATGTTATGTGTCATAGGTATCACATGGTAGAATGTATCTGTAGGCCATTTGCATACCTTCAGGACATCTGACTGTTAAGTATGAACTTGACTCCACTCTGGAGAGTGCTCATGTAGGAAGTCAGAGACACTCTAATATTGATTATGTCATAAATACATTTTGGCCAATTACAGGAAAAATATGAGTAGATTTATTCAACCTATTTTGAAATTTTCAGTGTATAATAGTTAATGATATGGTAAGAATAACTATTGTTTTAATTTTTTTTCCTCGAAAGTCAAGACAGTCCAAAAGTCACCAGGAGTTAATGGGGTTCTCTGTGTTATTGTACATTGCTGTATTTGTGTGATTAGTTACACATCATTAGTTACACATCATTAGTGTAATGTTGTTGAAGCTTTACAAAGAGATCTGCAGCAATTCCACAAATGGTCAGATGACTGGTAAATGCTTTTTAATATTGACAAATGCAAGACCTTGCATGTGGGGCACAACTACCAAATTAATAACATTACATTACAGCAGAGTGATAAAGAAAAGGACCTTGGAGTCAAAATCCAACACTCATTGAAAGTTGCACAACAGATAGGGCCAGCAGTCAAAAAAGTATCCAAACGGAATAATCAAGCATACCTTTGACTTCAAGGAAAAGAAGAAAGTGATTTAATTGCATAAATATCTGGTTCCCCTTCCCCCCCCCCCATTTGGATTACTGTAACCAAGCATGGAGGACCTCATCTTCAGAAGGATAAAGCTGCTCTGGAGAGAATACAACACCGGCAACAAAAATCATTCCATTGCTAAGTTAACTCGTATCAGGAACGGTTGAGGGCCACAGGCTTAACAACATTGCAAATCAGGCATGACAGGGCGCATCCTATTGAAACTTTTAAAAATCCTGAACAATATGGAGGATGTTGATCCAGACATTTTTAAAAAAAAAATCAGATGTAACTCAGACAAGGAGCAACGGTTTCAAGCTCAACAAGTCACATTGTAGGGCTGAGAGCAGGAGTTGCTTTTCACTCACAGGGTTGTTAATACATGGAACCGTCTACCCGCCGAAGCCGTAAATGCCAATTCCCTATTAACTTTTAAAGTAGAGCTGGAAAAGATCCTCAAGGCAAATGGGGGACCTTCGACAAGTCCCCGTCTTCCTGTCTTCGTCGAACCCACTAGTGTTAGTGTCTCTCGTGTAAACTCAGGTAATAATAATATAACTTCGAAAGACTGATGACTCACCCCTAATAGTTCATCGTTGATTGTTTCCTCTATCTTGAACTTTGGCAACTTGAGATTGACTTCCTCGTATGTCATTTTTGTGAGGGCATGCTTGAAGGTGCGGTGGGAGAGGCGTTGCAGCATGGCGTCAAGGGGTGTGGTGGCGTTGGCAGTGGTGTTGGCAGTGGCGTTGGCAGTGGCGTTGGCAGTGGCGTTGGCAGTGGCATTGGCACTCGTGTTGTGAGGCAGAAGCACCAACATGGAAACCGCCTCTCCCTTGTATGGCATCTCTAACACTGTCGCTCCCAGCTCGCTTGAGTCTCCTGCAATCACAACCAACGAAACCATTAACCACATTCAGCATAGTCCTTCACCTCTCCTTCAACCTCTCCCGTCACCGTGTCCGTCCCTACTTAACTAGCTCAACTAGTTACTGGGCACAACTCCTGTGCCAGGCAAGTACAACCTGCTCACCATAACCCGTGCTGCTTGCAACGTTTTGTTCCGAGTAGCTGAATCTAAAATAACAACAACAGTAGCGACAGATGGCGCAGTAGCAGTTGGAAATGTAGCTGTTATAATAGCAGAATTTATTGTAGTAATAGTTGTTGTAGAAGTAGCAACATTCGTTATGGAAGTAGCAGTAATAGCTGTAGAAGTAGCATAAGATGATGTAGAAGTAGCACAAGAACCAGCAATAGTGTTTGAAGAAGCAGGAATGGTAGTTGTTATCTTACAAGTAGAAATTGTAGACGAAATTTCAGTTGCTAAAGAATTAGCAACTATGCTAAAATTTGTAATAATACTTGTAGAAGTGTCAGTAGAAGTTGTAGAAGTAGCTTAAGTTTTTATCCAGAAATTAACAATATAAACAATATTTATAATAGTTGTAAAAGTTGCCATAGTAGTTGTAGAAGTAACAGTAGTAGCTGACATAGTTATAGAAGCAACAGAAGTAGCTGACATAGTTGTAGAAGCAACAGAAGTAGCTGACATAGTTGTAGAAGCAACAGAAGTAGCTGACATAGTTGTAGAAGCAACAGAAGTAGCTGACATAGTTGTAGAAGCAACAGAAGTAGCTGACATAGTTGTAGAAGCAACAGAAGTAGCTGACATAGTTGTAGAAGTAACAATAATAGTTGAAATAGTAATATTTTTTATATAGCAGTAGCTGTAGTTGTTGTTGTGGTTGTTGTTGTGGCTGTTGTAGTTGTTAATTGTAGAAGCATTCTCAAGTAGAAATTGTAAGAGAAGCAGCGTTAATTGTAAAAGTATGAGGAATAGCTGTAGAGTAGCGGTTGTAGTTGTCCAAGTAACAGTCGTAGACGTTAAGTAGCAGTCGTAGATGTCCAAGTAACAGTCGTAGACGTTAAGTAGCAGTCGTAGATGTCCAAGTAACAGTCGAGGACGTTAAGTAGCAGTCATAGTTGTCTAAGTAAAAGTCGATGCCGTTAAGTAGCAGTCGTAGTTGTCTAAGTAACAGTCGTCGCCGTTAAGTAGCAGTAGTAGTTGTCTAAGTAACAGTCGTTGCCGTCAAGTTACTGTCGTAGTTGTCTTAGTAAGCGTTTTTGCAGTAAGTTGCAGCCACAGTTGTCTAAGTAACAGTCGAAGTTGTAATTAAGTAGCAGCTGTAATTGTATAAGTAGCATTAGTAGTTGAAGAAGTATCAATAGTAGTTGTAATAGTACACAAAACCTTTGCTCAAGTAACATTGCACAAGGAAATCGCATTAATGTGATACATCAATAAGAAAATCAGTAGGAGCCGTGAGAAGGATTCGAACCAACACTCTGGGTACTCCCAAGCGTGAACCACTCGGCCACGACGTGCTCAAAACCAATACAACCTGGGATTCAATTGAATCCTCTAAGGGTCTTGAGGCGTGTACTGGAGTGTTAGAGGTGGATCTTTAAAACTATAATAATAATAATAATAATAATAATAATAATAATAATAATAATAATAATAATAATAATAATAATAATAATAATAATAATAATTCATTCACTAGAAGGTACAATGGGTTGGTGAGATTACATAAGCTTGCTATTTTTACATTCATACAAAGCCACTAACACGCAATGCGTTTTGGAACGGTTCTTACTCTAACATATCAGGTAAGATGAAAGAGTACATTGTAGCAAGGTTTTTATATCAACAAATATCTACAACATAAGTTGACAGAGGTGGTTACACTGGTAAGGATATATGTCTTAAGTACTAATATTGAGGAAGTGGGTAGTTCAAGATACAGTGTGAGTTTGAAGCACAAGGTAGGAAACTATGAGGATGAAATTAGGTACTTTTTGGTTTTACTTTTGAACATTGCATAGGCTGGATAATTCTTTATTTCACCGGGGAGTTAGTTCCAAAGACTGAGCCTTTTTATTTGCATGGAGTGTTTGTACAGATTTAGTTTGACTCTGGGGATATCAAAGATATATTTATTTCTGGTGTGGTGCTCATGGGTTCTATTACACCTATTAAGGAAAGTTTCAGATCAAGATTAGCATTTATGAACAAGGTTTTGTACATGTAGATAGCACATGAGAATGTGTGGAGTTAGTGTATGTTTAACATGTTACGGGACTTAAATAGAGGGGCTATGTGCTGTCTGAAGACAGAGTTTGTTATAGTTCTGATAACTGATTTTTCCTGGGTGATGATGGGCTTTAGGTAGTTTGCAGAGGTTGAACCAAATGCACAGATACCGTATGTAAGATAGGGTTAAACTAACGCATAGTATAGTGAGAGGGGACCAGAGTTAGGGACATAATATTTGATTTGATAAAGTAAACAACCGTTTTTGAGTCTTTCTTGGTTATGTGTTGTACGTGGGTGTTGAAGCTGAGTCTCTTGCCTAAGTATAGGCCAAGGAACTTTCCATCATTTTATTGCTAATGTTAACAATATCTATCTGAAACTGAATTGCATTTGTTGATTTGTTTCCAAATAAGATGTAATAGGTCTTTTTTATGTTTAGTGTGGGTTTGTTGGTTGACATCCATAGGTGGATTTTTCTTAATTCATTATATATAACATTATTTAGTGTGTGTGGGTTGGGTTACATATACCGTTGCCAGAGTGCATGCGGGAAATATGTGAAATCCTTCAGTGGAAGCCTAGCTCAGGGCCGCTAGAGGATTTAGTTGAATCCCAAATTGCATTGCTTTTTGATCATGTCGTGGCCGAGTGGTTTAGGGGGCATGTTTGGGAGTACCCAGGTGCAGGCTCCTACTGATTTTGTCTAAATCCCTTAATAACAATCCCATAGGTCAATCATGTTCATCAATATATTGTCAATTGTTGTTCGTCAATCATTTCAATATGGTTGGTCCCAAAAGAATCACAGAGGCATGATATCATCAATGAGATGATCACGTGGATCAATGAGGTGACTTGAAGCAGCCATCTAGTGGTTCCCTGATGCTGGTTCAAGCCATCTCGTTGCCTCAAATGATCTTCTCAATAAAGTTGATGTGGAACCAATAATAATGTTTTTTACAGCTTGCAACATTAGAATTGACAAATCACTTTCAATATTTCAAATCAGTTTCCTCTTTGGGTTTGTCAAATTTGTTCAATGTTTTGCGACTATATATTAGATCCCTCTCATAATATTATTTATTTGAGTGTGCTTTCACATAGTTAAGTTAGTGATGGACGAAAAGATGTGGGATTATAGATTAATAGAAGAACGATTAATAGAAGAAAAGAATAGAAGATTAATAGAACATTAATAGAAGAAAAGATTAATAGAAGAACGAGAGGGAATAAAAATCTGACGAATCGTTTAGGATATAATGTGAAACCCTTTGAAAACCAGTTCTGATACGAATAAACAATTAATTATACAATAAATAATTAAATGATACATTACACATAATGTTACACATACAAAAATTAAGGTTAATACAAGAATTACATTACGACAGTGACTAAAAAAAAAAATTCCCTCGCACAAAAATTGAAAGAAACTGAAAGTTGCAATTCTGAAGCGATTTGATATGGTCGTGTTGCAGCTGCTTAATGTCAGTTGAAATACAACACGTTCACAACAAACTGAGAAGTTGCAGCCAAATGCATTCCTGGTGTCATGTGAACATGCAATTCCAATTTTAGAGAGTACATGCAGGTTGAATGACTGGTAAAATTAGACAAACTTACAGCTACTGAATATCATGTGATATAGTTGCACGGTTCCCCGAGTGTATGACACACGGTGGTCACGTGTCCCAACCACATGGAGCATTGGACAAATTACTTTCATAAGAGTATTGATCATAGAGGACAGTAGCTAGAGATAGACATAGTGGACAGTCATGCTTCAGCCTTCTGCAGCCCTCTTCTGTTTTAATCATTCTTATAATTTTAGCATCATCAGCACACAGTAAGAGGAATGAGTCTATTCCTTCTGGAAAATCATTCACGTATATCAGAAACAAGATAGGTCCGAGTACAGAACCCTGCGGGACTCCGCTGGTGATATCACGCCAATCTGAGGTCTCACCCCTCACAGTAACTCTCTGCTTCCTGTTGTTTAGGAATGCCCCTTATCCATAGGAGCACCCTACCACTTACTCCAGCTTGTTTCTCCAACTTATGCAACAGTCTATTGTGGGCACTGTGTCAAAAGCTTTCTGACAGTCCAAGAAAATGCTCATCCTTCTCCTTCTTGCGTAATCTTTGTCACCTGATCGTAGGCTCAGGTGGCAGGTAGGCTTAATTCTATTAAGCCTGTGAGACATTACTTTCCGTCCCTGAACCCATACTGGTGGTGAGTTTCAAAGTCTTTTCTCTATAGATGTGATTTCAGGGTTTTTCTCACGATCTTCTCCATCACCTTGCAGGATATACAAGTTAAGGACACTGGCCTGTAATTTAGGGCCTCCTGTCAATCACCCTTAATCACCACATTCAAGATTCTGAAGGGAATTCAGATATAATTTATATAGAACCATTCTGAAGGGAATGATTCTTTATATGGAATCAAGACATGATCACCACATTCAAGATTCTGAAGGGAATTGATAGGGTTGATAAAGACAGGCTATTTAACAAAAGGGGCACGCACACAGGGGGACACAGGTGGAAACTGAGTGCCCAAATGAGCCACAGAGATATTAGAAAGAACTTTTTTAGTGTCAGAGTGGTTGACAAATGGAATGCATTACGAAGTGATGTGGTGGAGGCTGACTCCATACACAGTCTCAAGTGTAGATATGATAGAGCCCAATAGGCTCAGGAATCTGTACACCTGTTGATTGACGGTTTAGAGGCGGGATCAAAGAGCCAGAGCTCAACCCCCGCTAACACAACTAGGTGAATACAACTAGGTGAGTACACACACACACACACACCAAATAGGAGAGTACACAATGGAAGCAGTCCATAATAGCTGTTTAACTCTCAGGTACCTATTTACGGCTAGGTAACAGGTGCAGCAGGGTAAAAGAAACTCTGCCCATTTTGTTTCTGCCATCACTGGAGATCGAGCCCGTACCCTAGGATTACGAGTCCAGAGCGCTGTGCACTCAGCTATCAGCCCACAAGTGTATAAGTGTGTGAGTGCCTGCGTTTTTGTATACGTATGTATTAACTTACCAATTCTGAAATAATCAGTTTGGGTCATCATGTCCACAAGAGTGTGTTTATCCGGGGTTGTGTAGAACTTCGTCTGGATCGTTGCCTGTTTCTTGAAGGCCGCCAGCCAGAGACCCTTGAAGTAGGCGGCGTTCACCAGAACCATCGGCTTGTCTTTCACTGTTTCACCCTTCACAATGGTTGGTATCTTGCCTCGTGTTACATTCTTCACGAACTGATTGATTGTCGCGGCCGCCTCTTCCTCCTGATTGTTGGAATAAAATATAATTAACAAAATGGAGGAGAAACACTTTATTGAATGTGAAATGTTTTAAGGAAAATAGATGGGGTTGTATCCAAATTTGAAAGTATAATTTACTTAATGAACAGAAATTAATTTAATTAATCGAAAAGGCTTTGTGGTCTTTCTACATGCGTGTCAATGGAAGAGTCAGTGGACGATGCTACTGTACACTCGGGCCTTCAGTAACGTCGTTCACACTAATACGCCCCAGGAACATGGTAATGAAAAACTCCACACCCCAGAAGTGACTCGAACCCATACTGCCAGGAGCAATATGCAACTGGTGTACAGGAGACATTAACCACTCGACCATCACGACCGTACAAAAGATGATGGTAGCCGAGGTTATTTCCCCATCATCCCGACGGCAGTCTGACGGTAATCTTGGGCATAGTTATTTTATCAAATCACCTCATTTTGGGGGGCCACTTAAGCAATACAAATCCGAACAAGCCTGAATGGTCCCCCAGGCATATATGCAACTGAAAACTCCACACCCCAGAAGTGACTCGGACCCATACTGACAGGAGCACTATGCAACTGGTGTACAAGGCACTTTAACCACTCGACCATCACGAGCGTACAAAAGATGATGGGAGCCGAGGTTATTTGCCCATCATCCCGACGGCACTCTAATGGTAATCATGGACATAGTTATTTTATCAAATCACCTCATTTTTGGGGCCACGTGAGCAACACAAATGCGAACAAGCTTTACTTATGTGGGTGTGTGGGTGTGGGTATCTGGCTGATGATTGGACGAAGTTGGTTTCGAGGATTGTGGGTCTTGACATTTCCATATGCATTTCCATATTTCCACTAACATACAGACTGGCTAAGCGACTCAATGGTTTGCTGACTCCTTATGTACCTTGTGCTTTCAGCCAGAAGTCTCCAAAGGAATTTGTTGACTTACTGCGGGGAGCACGGGCCATGGGAAAAAGAGCCTTGTTGGTTGTAGAGTCACTGTTTACCAATGATAAATGAAACAAATCGGGATGAAACAATTGGGATGAGAGCAGACAGAGTGTATCGTGATCCGGCTGCTCCTCTTAACATACCAGACAACATACTACGGAAATTACTCCAAGCCTGCACTAAAGAGGCACCCTTCTTGAGCCCAGATTGGCTCATATATAAGCAAGTAGATGGGATCGAAATGGGTTTTCCCTAGGTGTCCTGTTTGCGAACTTCTACATGGGTACCATCGAGAAGAGGGTCTTAGTTGACATGACTTGTAGGGTAAGGCAGGTACTAGTCAACAACGGCTTCTCCAATGGTTTCGTTGAAGACATCATACAAAGAAAGGTGAAACGCCATGCAACCTCTGAAGAGTGAACTAACACAACACCTGTACCCCCTATTAGACTATTTTACAGGAACTTCTTTTCCACAGCTCATAAAACGGAGTAAAGGGTCCTGAAATATATTGTTAAATAATATATAATATATAATGAAATATATTCTTATATAATAAGAACGTTATCCCTACAGACAAAAATCAGAAGATACAATTGACGATTTACTATAAAACTAAAAAAACGGCCACGCTACTCATGAAAAACTCTCCAGACACAAAGCAGAACGCGTTAAAGGAGACCAAAGTCGTCTATGCCTTCAAATGCCCACTTCGGGACTCAAAGCCCCAAAGAACGCAGTATATAGGCAAGACAACATCTCTTTCCAGGTGATTAACAATGCATAAGCAACAGGACTCCATTAAGGAACATATAATCTCTTCCCACAATCAGACTATCACCAGAGAAGTCTTAACAAACAACACAGAAATCATCGATAGATACATCGATAGCAGGCGGCTCGACATCTGCGAGGCTCTACACATCAAAAAGTCAACACCAGCAATCAACAGCCAATTAATGCACAACCATGTTCTACCCAATTTAAGACTCCGTACCAATATAGAAGCATCAAGAGGAAGCATTGGCCAATAGGCCCTTTGCAGTTACTACCATTATTCCCTCTCATTTATCTAATTAATACCCATTGTTCTGTGTTCTGTCTTGTGTTGGTCAAAAGTTTATTCACCTCATCCAGAACTGTTGCAACATATCACCTCACCCAAATGCGAGTATTTAAGACAAGCTGTTTAGTGTTAGCATAAGAGAAAAACTCTGTTTAGTGTTTTCAGTTTACAGTTGTGTGTGTGTGAACTAAAGTCTTTGAAAATGTAATAAGTAATTTCGAAACGCATTCAAGCGTCGCGTCAGACTAGAAATAAAAATGAATTTTTGAGAATTAATTATTCAATTACCATCGACAGTAAAAAGAAACATAAGAAATATTGAGAAAATTCGTGTTAGAATTATTATTCTTACTTTTTCGGTCATATTTAACAATATATATATATATATATATATATATATATATATATATATATATATATATATATATAATCACAACAATGAACCATGAGATTTCATGACATAAGTCTGAGAAGCAATTATCAAGTTTATAATTGTGCTGCATTTATTGATAATTGATTTAGTGATTTATTGTTGTGATTATTCTATTTTTATTTTATGGACACTTACATGATATTTGATGCTTCGTCATTCCTCCTTAAGGTTATTTCTCTATATAATTCGTAGAATATTTAAATGGTCTGATGTGGCTTTTCAGCAATTTAAGTAAAATAACGTAACTGGGATATAGACTCAGTGTTGTTGCAGTAACCCAGAAGAACTACGATTTGAGATTTTCTTACTATTCGTAGTTTTTTAGGCTATTATTTTATTGCTCGTTGTTGCCATTATTAGCTAGTGTCAGTATTTTCATTTATACATGTACATAAGTTTCAATACTCCTAACTTTGTCGATCAGTAATCCTATTCATAATAAGGCGAATAGGACACTGGGATTTATTAATCGAAGCGTTAGTAACAAGACACCTGGTGTGGTTCTTAAGCTATATCTTGCTCTGGTTAGGCCCCATTTAGATTATGCAGTTCAGTTTTGGTCGCCGTATTATAGAATGGATATAAATTCACTTGAACGTGTCCAACGTAGGATGACTAAGTTAATTCCCCAAATTAGAAATCTTTCATATGAAGAAAGATTATCTAAGCTTAAGCTGCATTCACTGGAAAGGCGAAGAGTTAGGGGTGACATGATAGAGGTTTACAAGTGGATGAATGGACATAACAGGGGGGATATTAATAGGGTATTAAAAATATCAACACAAGACAGAACACGAAACAATGGGTATAAATTGGATAAGTTTAGATTTAGGAAAGACTTGGGTAAATACTGGTTCAGTAACAGGGTTGTTGATTTGTGGAACCAATTGCCGCGTAACGTGGTGGAGGTGGGGTCCCTCGATTGTTTCAAGCGCGGGTTGGACTAGTATATGAGTGGGATTGGGTGGTTATAGAATAGGAGCTGCCTCGTATGGGCCAATAGGCCTTCTGCAGTTACCTTTGTTCTTATGTAAAGGAACTAACCCGTACTTAACTCTATGCTGTGTGGGACGGATGGAAGCTTTCATGTATCTGAGTGGGTCGGTGGTGGTGTTGAGATTAGCGTGCAGCAAGAACTCTACTACTGAGAAGGGTCAACGGTGAGACGGGGCCTCTCTAGTGGTACTGGAGTCACCTTTGCCATAGTGCTAAGGAAGGAATGTGACACTGACCTTTTTAAAGTTGATTCTCTGCACCTCTTTAGGGAGGACCTGTGCGATGCAGTCCCGGATGGCGAAGCTCTCGTTGACGTATATCTTGTTGGCTAAGTCTATCACATATTCACTGGTGTTAGCCTGCCTCTCCACGTACCTACACGCAGACGACTATCGTTCAGTTTAGCACAAACATTTGTAAACATGGATTCGTTGATGGAGATAAATATATCAGAACTCACAAATGACTAAGTGCATCTAAATTCAGATGCCAGCAGGGGAATATCATTCTACTTACAGACGGTCGAGGGCCTTGTAGGTAGCCAGAGTGTTTGAAGAGTCACTGAGGCGAAGAGTGTCCTGCAGCTGCTGGCGGGTCCTGCCGGCCGACCCAAAGTAGGCGAGTACGAGGGTGTTCCAGATGCTGTAGGGGCAGAAGAAAAAGTTTCCTGTGGCAGTAGGTGGATAGAGTTGCTTGAAGAGGTCGAAGGTGAATGGGGCGATGTGTGCCAAGTCAGGTGTTGAGGGCAGGACCAGCTTATCATTGTCGGAGACGCACTGAGGCCTCACCACATTCACCAACGTCACCACCAGTACTGCACCACACAACAGCTTCCTCATTCTGGGGAGAATTGAGTTATACCAATGGCTGTGTGAATATTGATGTAGTTTATTATATTACAAAGCAAATTACGCTAACTAGATAAATATTCATATTAATAAGAGAAACCTGTTGACTGTGAGTGGTAGTAACAATGTTCAGGGATATTGACGACGAGTGGGGATAATAGTGATGGGATATTGCTATAGGCAATTACTGTAGGTAACCGGTGGTGTCCGGTCGGTCTCTCTCTCTCTCTCTCGCTCTCTCTCTCTCTCTCTCTCTCTCTCCACTTTTCTCTTCCCCCATCCGCCTCTCCCTCTTATTCTTCTCTCCCCTCTCCACCCTCTCTCCTAATCTCCCCTCACTATCACCTCTCCTCCACTCCTTTCCCAACTAGTTATCTGTCTCTTTCTACTCTCTCCTTCCTTCCCTTCAAATATTCCCCTTTTCCCAGTGCTGGGAAATGTTCAAATACTCCCCTATATTGTACCGGGAAGGAGTCAGGATAAGGAATATGGATGGGACAGGGGAAAGGAATGGTGCCCAACCACTTGGACTGGACGGAAGAGCTACAGTCTCCCTTCATGCAGGTCGACGTTCATTCCCCGACCGTCCACGTGGTTGGGCACCATTCCTTCCCCCCGTCCCATCCCTAATCATTATCCTGACCTCTTTCCAGTGTTATGTTTAGGCCTTCTGCAGTTGCCTTTGTTCTTATGTTCTTATGTTCTTATTTGTGGAACCAATTGCCGCGTAACATTGTGGAGGTGGGGTCCCTCGATTGTTTCAAGCATGGGTTGGACATGTATACGAGTGGGATTGGGTGGTTATAAATAGGAGCTGCCTCGTATGGGCCAATAGGCCTTCTGCAGTTGCCTTTGTTCTTATGTTCTTATGTTCTTATATACTCGTAATGGCTTGGTGCTTTCCCCTGATAGTTCCCCCCCCCCTCTTCAGACATCCCCCCCTTTTTCTCCTTGACTCTGCCAAGGAGAGTGGTTACCTTTCTTTGGTTCTCAATCTCGAATATATCTTCTAGTAAGATTTCTAACTCTACTTTCCGGGCCATCTCACTCGGTCTGGACATAACATGACAGTTTATTCCCAAATTTAAGAGAGTTTGGTCTTTGGTGAGGTTGAGTCCGGCGAAATTTAAGAACCATCCCTGGGTCGAGGAACCATCTTGAGGTTATCTTGAGATGATTTCGGGGCTTTAGTGTCCCCGCGGCCCGGTCCTCGACCAGGCCTCCACCCCCAGGAAGCAGCCCGTGACAGCTGACTAACTCCCAGGTACCTATTTACTGCTAGGTAACAGGGGCATTCAGGGTGAAAGAAACTTTGCCCATTTGTTTCTGCCTCGAGCGGGAATCGAACCCGCGCCACAGAATTACGAGTCCTGCGCGCTATCCACCAGGCTACGAGGCCCCAATAATATAATAATGGGTCCCATAATGGGACCTCCGAATAATGATCTCAACAATGCACAAACAACAGGGCTCCATCAAGGACCATATAATCTCCACACACAACGAAACGATCACCAGGGATATTTTGACGAGCAACACCGAAATAATTGATAGATACAGTGAAAATAGAAAATTAGACATTAGTGAAGCGCTGCATATCATGAAATCTAGACCATCAATCAATACCCAGCTAATACACAGTTACACACGGGGGGGAGACGGTCGGCCGAGCGAACAGCACGCTGGACTTGTGATCCTGTGGTCCCGGGTTCGATCCCGGGCGCCGGCGAGAAACAATGGGCAGAGTTTCTTTCACCCTATGCCCCTGTTACCTAGCAGTAAAATAGGTACCTGGGTGTTAGTCAGCTGTCACGGGTTGCTTCCTGGGGGTGGAGGCCTGGTCGAGGACCGGGCCGCGGGGACACTAAAGCCCCGAAATCATCTCAAGATAACCTCAAGATACACTCTACTTACTTCAAGACCCGGACCAATGCAGAAGCTGGACCGAATGACCCTGCAACAGGAACCGAAGCAACCAGAACATAAGCTGCCAACATGTTACACTCTTAATTTAATACTCCATTAATCTAAAACCCAATGTAATGTCATTCATTCATGTCACCTAACTACCTCACCATAAGAGGATATAGCCAGGTGCAAACACAGTAGAATTTGTCTTGTGAGGTGACACCTTACGCAACGCATCACTAGGCGTCAGGACCAAATAAAAGGTAAAAATTAACTTTAGAGAGTTAATTTTTAATCTTCCTGCTTCAGTGAAGAAAAAAAGGAATATCGAAAAGATTCGTGTCAGAATCATACAACTAAAATTTTCCGTCGTTTTCAACGAAATATATATCAATATAACACACAGAAATCACAATAGCTTTATGCATCAAATGAACAATTCCACAAGGGCCGTGACGAGGGTTCGAACCTACGTCCTAGAGCATCCCAGACGCTGCCTTAATCGACTGCGCTACGACATGGTAAAATAATTGCAACCAGAAGTTCTACTGCCCTTACTTGGACCCTGTAGCCTCTCCGAGACACAAAACAGGATTTTACGCAATTCTCCCATGCACTCGAGCTATGTCAATAGGCCATTCTACCTCTTCGCCCTTACTTCATTACACACAGAAATCACAATAGTGTGATGCTATTGTCGTATTCTTTTATCATGTCGTAGCGCAGTCGATTAAGGCAGCGTCTGGGATGCTCTCAGACGTAGGTTCGAGCCCTCGTCACGGCCCTTGTGGATTTGTTTAAATATCTAAATAAATAAAAATGTAAATGTTCGTTTGTTCAAAATCACTAATATCCGAAAGTTCTTCACCGATTGTTTTGAAATTTTAACACAACGTTCCATTCACATACGAGCGTGTTTTTATATACCTACTATATAGATGTCATGTCTGTGACAGGTAAAAACATGCTCTTTGAAAAACTGTATTTTTTATGTGACTTTTCATGTGATGGAAAGCTCCGAAACCTCTTTACCGATTGCTTTGAAATTTTGACACAATGTTACATTCGAATAGGCGCATCTTTATATATATATATATATATATATATATATATATATATATATATATATATATATATATATATATATATATATGCACAGACTACCCTATTCCAGTAGCTGAAGTTTATAACTTTTTAGACACTCAACCCACCAGGGGACTCGAACACTGGCCAACAAGGTGGCAGTTGCATGCTGTATCCACTACACCATACTTCAAAGCCATAAGAGAGGTAGGAATTCTGGGGTATTTAACCAACCAGAACTCCACTCCTCTCCCAGGCAATGAGATAGTGTGGGACCTCTGATGCTCTTTCAATATATATATATATATATATATATATATATATATATATATATATATATATATATATATATATATATATATGTCGTACCTAGTAGCCAGAACGCACTTCTCAGCCTACTATGCAAGGCCCGATTTGCCTAATAAGCCAAGTTTTCTTGAATTAATGTTTTTTCGACGACCTAACCTACCTAACCTAACCTAACTTTTTCGGCTACCTAACCTAACCTAACCTATAAAGATAGGTTAGGTTAGGTAGGGTTGGTTAGGTTCGGTCATATATCTACATTAATTTTAACTACAATAAAAAAAAATTAACCTCATACGTAATGAAATGGGTAGCTTTATCATTTCAAAAGAAAAAAAATAGAGAAAATATATTAATTCAGGAAAACTTGGCTTATTAGGCAAATCGGGCCTTGCATAGTAGGCTGAGAAGTGCGTTCTGGCTACTAGGTACGACATATATATATATATATATATATATATATATATATATATATATATATATATATATATATATATATATATATATATATATATATATATATATCACCATCATTATATGTATTACTATCACTCTGTATCACCATCCTCGTATATACCGCCATCAACCACACACACAAACTGTCACTTTGGATTCAGTGGAATGATGCTGTTTTACTCCCTGTACAAAGTTACTTAGTCACGTGCTCACAGTGAGGTTACTTGCCTGGCAACAGATGACCGGGTCCCAATGGTGTATGTATTATTACCTCACAACTGTTGGGGTCTGCTCCTGTATATCTTACAGGACGTCTCGAGCCTAGAGTTAGACCACAGGTGAAGGTGTGACTATGATAGGTGGGTGTGACCAGGCAGACCGCTCTTATATGTCCTCAGCTGACTCCGCCCACCCTGACTCCGCCCACCCTGACTCCGCCCACCCTGACTCCACCCTCCCTGACTCCGCCCTCCCTGACTCCGCCCACCCTGACTCCGCCCTCCCTGACTCCGCCCACCCTGACTCCGCCCTCCCTGACTCCGCCCACCCTGACTCCACCCACCCTGACTCCGCCCATAACTTGCTCCTCCCATCCCCGTGACACTTCACAACTCGTAAGTGAAACTGATAACAAAATTATATGGATAGATAGATAAATAGATAGATAGATAGATAGATAGATAGATAGATAGATAGATAGATAGATAGATAGATAGATAGATAGATAGATAGATAGATAGATAGATAGAAAGATAGATAGATAGATAGATAGATAGATAGATAGATAGATAGATACATGAATGAATGAATGTATAGATGGATGAACAGATAGAAAGATAGATGGAAAGTTACATGGAAAAATGAATTGATAAAAGGACAGATGTGTGATATCAGAAAAACTCTTGCTAGAGAAGGGGTTTGAACCCTGGGCAGCCAAGCGCCCCCAACACACCTTCGCATATCCAGTACCATACCTACTACACCACACTCTTAAAACAATCAGAAATTTGTTAGACTTTTAACCCAATTCTTAATATCACCCGGTGGCCAACGGGCACAGATATTTTCATCAAATCAATTCACTATATCTATGAAAATATCTGCGCCCGTTGGCCATCGAGTGCTGTCGGCAATTGGGTAAAAAGTCCAACAAACCGCCTGCTTCTCTACCTCTAATCATCCCCACCCAGTCAGTCCCTCCTCGCTTCACTCTGCCTGTTGGCTCCTCTGGTTAGTGTTCACTCCTGACCAGTCAGTCTCCGGATGATGACGCCGTCATCTGATACATTATCTTCGTCAACATAGTCAGAATAATTTTCCCAATTCATACGAGGGAATCCCTTCACGGTCTTTGTCACTCGTGTGGGGAAGTTTCTGTGAGCTGACGAGGAGCTGATGAAGTTATTGTGTTGTTGAGGAGAAGCTGTTGTTTGTGTTGCTGAGGACAAACTGTTGTTTGTGTTGCTGAGGACAAACTGTTGTTTGTGTTCCTGTCGAGGGTGTTTTTATTGCGAGTGACGTATTGAAGAGTTAGTGTGGTGTGTAATGATGTGATGGGCTTGTGTTGTGTGTGTGTTGTTGTGGAAGGTTGGTGTTGTGTGTTGTAGTGGTGGGTTGGTGTTGTGTATTGTAGTGGAGGGTTGGTGTTGTGTGTTGTTGTGGAAGGTTGGTGTTGTGTGTTGCTGTGGTGGGTTGGTGTTGTGTGTTGTGGTGGAGGGTTGGTGTTGTGTGTTGTGGTGGAGGGTTGGTGTTGTGTGTTGTTGTGGAAGGTTGGTGTTGTGTGTTGCTGTGGTGGGTTGGTGTTGTGTGTTGTGGTGGTGGGTTGGTGTTGTGTGTTGTGGTGGAGGGTTGGTGTTGTGTGTTGTGGTGGAGGGTTGGTGTTGTGTGTTGTGGTGGAGGGTTGGTGTTGTGTGTTGTTGTGGAGGGTTGGTGTTGTGTGTTGTTGTGGAGGGTTGGTGTTGTGTGTTGTAGTGGAGGGTTGGTGTTGTGGTGGAGGGTTAGTGTTGTGTGTTGTGGTGGAGGGTTGGTGTTATGTTGGAGGGTTGGTGTTGTGTGTTGTGGTGGAGGGTTGGTGTTGTGTGTTGTGGTGGAGGGTTGGTGTTGTGTGTTGTGGTGGAGGGTTGGTGTTGTGTGTTGTGGTGGAGGGTTGGTGTTGTGTGTTGTGGTGGAGGGTTGGTGTTGAGTGTTGTGGTGGAGGGTTGGTGTTGTGTGTTGTGGTGGAGGGTTGGTGTTGTGGTGGAGGGTTGGTGTTGTGTGTTGTGGTGGGTTAGTGTTGTGTGTTATTGTTTAAATCTGGTGATGTATTGACATATACTCAATATGCTAGATGCTTATATTATTAAAAATATTTTAATGTGTGCGGATATGCACTATGTTTGCATTCACAGTTTTAACTCTACAGTTTACCCCCGACAGTTTTAACTCTACAGTTTACCCCCGACAGTTTTAACACCACAGTTTACCCCCGACAGTTTTAACACCACAGTTTACCCCCGACAGTTTTAACACCACAGTTTACCCCCGACAGTTTTAACTCTACAGTTTACCCCCGACAGTTTTAACTCTACAGTTTACCCCCGACAGTTTTAACTCTACAGTTTACCCCCGACAGTTTTAACTCTACAGTTTACCCCCGACAGTTTTAACTCTACAGTTTACCCCCGACAGTTTTAACTCTACAGTTTACCCCGACAGTTTTAACTCTACAGTTTACCCCCGACAGTTTTAACTAAACCTCAGAGAATATTAAAGCAAAATGTTTCTTCGTATCTCTCCCCAGTTGTTGAATTAAGATTGTTTACCGACCACAATGTTACAGAGGGCACCGTGTGCTCTAGGAGAGGAGTCCGCCCAGGCCCCTCCACCTATCAGGATGTTACATCCGGTCGCTCATGCTCAGACAAATGTAACTATTTCTTTTGACCATGATACGTATAGAGACAATGTAGGGTTAGCAGGGTCCATCATGTCTGGGTAGCAGGGTCCATCATGTCTGGGTAGCAGGGTATATCATGTCTGGGTAGCAGGATCCATCATGTCTGGGTAGCTGTGTCCCTCATGTCTGGGTAACAGGATCCATCATGTCTGGGTAGCAGGGTCCATCATGTCTGGGTAGCAGGATCCATCATGTCTGGGTAGCAGGGCCCATCATGTCTGGGTAGCAGGGTCCATCATGTCTGGGTAGCAGGGTCCATCATGTCTGGGTAGCAGGGTATATCATGTCTGGGTAACAGGATCCATCATGTCTGGGTAGCAGGGTCCATCATGTCTGGGTAGCAGGGTCCATCATGTCTGGGTAGCAGGGCCCATCATGTCTGGGTAGCAGGGTCCATCATGTCTGGGTAGCAGGGTCCATCATGTCTGGGTAGCAGGGTCCATCATGTCTGGGTAGCAGGGTATATCATGTCTGGGTAACAGGATCCATCATGTCTGGGTAGCAGGGTCCATCATGTCTGGGTAGCAGGATCCATCATGTCTGGGTAGCAGGGTCCATCATGGCTGGGTAGCAGGGTCCATCATGTCTGGGTAGCAGGGTATATCATGTCTGGGTAACAGGATCCATCATGTCTGGGTAGCATGGTCCATCATGTCTGGGTAGCAGGGTCCATCATGTCTGGGTAGCAGGGTATATCATGTCTGGGTAGCAGGGTCCATCATGTCTGGGTAGCAGTGTAATCATATCTGGGTAGCATGGTCCATCATGTCTGGGTAGCATGGTCCCTCATGTCTGGGTAGCAGGATCCATCATGTCTGGGTAGCAGGGTATATCATGTCTGGGTAGCAGGGTCCATCATGTCTGGGTAGCAGTGTAATCATATCTGGGTAGCATGGTCCATCATGTCTGCGTAACATGGTCCATCATGTCTGAGTAGCAGGATCCATCATATCTAGGTAGCAGGGTCGATCATGTCTGGGTAACAGGGTTCGTCATGTCTAGGTAGCAGGGTCCATCATGTCTGGGTAGCAACGTCCATCATGTCTGGGTAGCAAGGTCCATCATGTCTGGGTAGCAGAGTCCATCATGTCTGGGTAGCTGTGTCCCTCATGTTTGGGAAGCAGGGTGCATCATGTCTAGGTAGCAGGGTCCATCATGTTTGAGTAGCTGGGGTCCCTCATGTTTGAGAAGCAGTGTACATCATGTCTGGGTAGTTGGGTCTCTCATTTATGGGTAGCAGGGTGCATCATGTTTGGATAGCACGGTCCTTCATGTCTGGGTAGCACGGTCCTTCATGTCTGGTTAGCTGTGTCCCTCATGTCTGTGTCTCAGGGTCTATCATGTCTGGGTAGCTGTGTACCCCATGTCTGGGTAGCAGGATCCATCATGTCTGGGTAGCAGGATCCATCATGTCTGGGTAGCAGGGTCCATCATGTCTGGGTACCAGGGTATATCATGTCTGGGTAGCAGGGTATATCATGTCTGGGTAGCAGGGTATATCATGTCTGGGTAGCATGGTCCATCATGTCTGGGTAGCAGGGTCCATCATGTCTGGGTAGCAGGATCCATCATGTCTGGGTAGCAGGATCCATCATGTCTGGGTAGCAGGGTCCATCATGTCTGGGTAGCAGGGTCCATCATGTCTGGGTAGCAGGATCCATCATGTCTGGGTAGCAGGATCCATCATGTCTGGGTAGCAGGATCCATCATGTCTAGGTAGCAGGATCCATCATGTCTAGGTAGCAGGATCCATCATGTCTGGGTAGCAGGGTCCATCATGTCTGGGTAGCAGGATCCATCATGTCTGGGTAGCAGGGTCCATCATGTCTGGGTAGCAGGATCCATCATGTCTGGGTAGCAGGATCCATCATGTCTAGGTAGCAGGATCCATCATGTCTGAGTAGCAAGGTCCATCATATCTGGGTTGCAGAGTCTACCATGCCTAGATTACATACTACCATCAAGCCTCGGTAACAGCGTCTACCAGCGTAGGTACTAAAATTTACCGTGCCTGGGTAGCAGAGTATGGCATTTTTTGTGACCCAAGCGCACAAAAAAACAAATGAACCTTAATGTCAAGTAGGATATGTAAATTTTTTGTTTCCTAAAGTGTGTGAAGGAATAAAAAGGAAGGAGTGTGTGTGAAGAAAGTAAAGTTCTACCATCAGTTGACGAACTGATGGTAGAACCACTGGAAAGGCTTTGTGGGACGAAGAACAGTTCATGACAAGAACAAAGTTTATTTTATTACTATAAAATGAAGGAGAGCAGGAGGTAAGAAGACTCACAGTGAAAGATTTACACTTCAGATTGAAAGAGGTTCAGATTCCCAGACTTGATAGAGGTTCACAGTGAAAGATGTGAAGAAATAGCCTATAGAAAAAACAATAATGGATGAGGAGATACGGAGTCATATGAGA